ATCATAATGAGCTTATTCTAACGAACTTATCACTATCTTTGGTGACCTGGTTTAAATTGATTTAAATACATTCATAACAGATAAAAATTTAATGCTTTATTGTATTTTACGTTTCTTTTTCTCTATTATAGTTTTATTTTTATGTAATTTTTAAAAATTTTAATTTTGTTAATCTTTTTGCACAGTTTTTTTTTATTCCTTGTGTCATTATATTCTTTTTATTTCTTCCCCCTTTTTACTTCCTTGTACGAAGTAAAAAGGAAATATTGTAATCACGAACAGTTTCAGGCAGCATATTTCAACGAAAATATCCATTTTGACCACTATCGAATGCAATTTAATGATGTTTTTGCATGATATCTGTATGTAAGGACAGAATAAAAGACTCGATTCCTCCAAAAAAATTATAAAACTGCTTTAAAATTAATTCTGAAGAGAATTTTTTGTGGCATCTGTACGAACATATGTACGTATCTCGCATAACTCAAAATTGAGTAGCCTCAGAACGTTTAAATTTTGTATATAGGACTGCTATAACATGTAGATGTGCACCTCATATTTTGGTTGCAATCGGCCGCACCAAACGTATATAAATATACTTATATATATATCCACTTTGTTACCCGGCTCAGTGATCTCAGTTTTTTTACTCTTATAGGTTTGTAAATTTTTTGCTTTAAAAATGATTGAATTATGTTGTTTTTATCTTCCGGTTAAGGTTTTTATGCCTTTAGTAAATCTGTATGCAATATTTTTAGAATTATCAACAATTTCAAAGTTGTTTAAGTGCCGCTAAGCCTTTTTTTTTTATAGCAGCCATTGATTGTTTACATTTGAAACAGCAGACTAGTGGATTTTTTGCCAATCTAGAGAAACTTAGCTTCCCAACAACAAAGATAACACCTTCGTTTATTATTGCCAATTAAATCATGCTTAATCCTTTCTGGAATTTTTTCGAGTAAATAAGTGTTTAAGATTTACTTTGTAATTTTTAATATAGATATTTTGAGTTTTTATGTATTTTTGCTTCTCGCGAAGTGGGAACTGAATTAATTGAATGAGAAATACTCAATAATTAGTGAAAAACTGTTTCTTTTTTGTTTTGTTTGCTTAATTTCTTTTATACATCGTTCTAGCTTTATTATAGTATTTGAATAGAACATGTGGCAACGATTAGATAATTCTATTCTTTAAATGATATAAATTTTGTGCATTATGAGTTATAACATGAACAAAATATAATACTGTTAAGTGAATCTAGTGCCAGAGTGTCACTATGGTAAACAAATACTAGAATGAATATTAAAGAATGCTTTATTCTATTGTGGTTTATGCGCTGTCGGCGAAGTAGATTTAATTCAATCCAATAAGTTTAAATGAAATGCAAGAAAAAATGCGTATAATTTAATATTCCGTACAAGAAAGTCATGTGGTATACACATCAGATTTTTTACTTATAGTAACTGTATTGCATAGATTTCCCATCTTGTAGAGATTATCATTAATATATTTACATTTATAATATCTTTAATCTGCATTATAAATGCATAAAATGCTGCAAATATTTTGACAGTATTTACTATAATCAGCATAACTGCAGATAATAAATGCCACAAAGAACATTATTCAATAATATAAGCCTTTTGAAGAATTGATTAAATTGGGTATGGAAATGAATGAAAAAGTGCCAGGAAGTACTGGATTCGACTTGAGTCATTAATAAAACAAAATAAATCTTTGTGAATGTGAAAAGCTTCAAGAAAATCCAATTCACTAATTGCAGAAGCTCTTCAAATAATTTTTGAAGACCCAAAATCAAAATTATGATTAAATTTCCAACTATGATTAGCTATCGAAGACTTGTTAAATTTCGCCTTTTTGGACATAAGCTTCATGTTCTATGATACAAGTTTGTTTCTCAGAACCTTTGCTTTCTAATGATCTCAATTATTTAAGATCAGTTGGCATTGACTAAGATTTTCTCCCATGGGACATTGATAAAGCCTTCAAAAAATTGTCATCTTATCAATCAAAGAAGGCATTCTGCTATTAAAAATAACATTAATAACCTTTAATTCAAAAGTCAAACAACAACCTTGTTGTACTTCCATTTCATCCTTCTGTTAGTTGTAAAATTTTCACAGATTCGAGTCATTTTCTCACCTATCACTAAAATCCATGACTCGATTTCTAAAGGTTCAGTTTCTGACTTTAATTCTTGGGGAATTTACAGCATAGCATGTCAGTGTGGTCTGAGATATATACAAGCCAAACTAAAAGTTACGTATCAAGGAACATGAATCTTATGTCTGGAAAGGAGAAATTAAAAGGTCTTTGATAGCTAATCATAGTTGGAAATTTAATTATAATTTTAACTTTGGATCAGCAAAAATTATTCAAAAATCTTCTGCAAATGGTAAGTTATATTTTCTTGAAGTTTTACACATTCACAAAGATTTTTCTTCTTTAGTTAATGACTAAGTCTAATCCAGTCCTCCCTAATGCTTTTAAAATTCTATTTTTTTTTCAATTTTCCTACTATTTTTGACAACAGATGGTGCTGTTTTCTTGTATACTTTACTGCTGTAGGGTATAAATACAAATGTTGCTTTCCAGTCTTGCAGGTTTCTTTGCTTCTGATGAAGAGGGACCTTTACCTGTTTGCCCTAGAAATCGATTGATTTCTTGGCTAATCTATGCCAAACACAGGGTTGTTGCTTTGCTAATTTTATGTCTCAGCTGAAAGTCAACATAACATTATTGTAAGTTGTATGAGAAGCACTTCACTTTAATTTGTTATTACTTCATGCTTTGCAACATCCAATAGAAGTGGCAACATAAAGTTTCATTTAAGTTTTATATTTGAGTTGTACCTTTTGTGTTAATAGTTTACCAAGGCCAAGATTTGGAGTAACTTCTGAAAATGGCTACTGTGTTTAGGAGAAGCAGTTTTAAGTTATTTTACATGAATGAGTTATAATCAGATTTCTATATTAGATTTTACTGCATTTTGATGATAAAAATTGAAGAAATAATAGAATACTTGAAAAAGATGACAGTCACATAGAAACATGAAATGTTAAATGAAAATCGGAGTATAAAATTCAAATCACCAAATATTAGTCATGGCTACAGATCATTTTGAAATGATAGATTAGTCATACAAATCCTGAAGCATTTAATATATAAAATGCTACAAATTAGTTTTAAAACGAAGTGAAAAGAAATTATTAAACAATTTAACATGGAATTACCTTCATGTTTTTGCAGCATTTCTAATGACAATGGACGAATTTAAATAAAAAATACTTGCCAAATATGTATTTTTTATTTTTATAAAATTACATATAAAATCTACAAAGGTAAAATAAACATGAGATATGGTAGATATCAATACTATACATACCCTCAAATTAATACATGTATTTCAAATAAAATATGCTTTAAAAACAGATTTTGGTACAGATAAATGGCAAGTGAAATATACAGACTGCATATATTAAATGGATAAATAAATATAAAATTTATACTTAAAAATCTACTGAAGTGAGACTAGGTGCAACCATTAACAAATATAAAATATCCTGAGTGAATCCATCCATTTTGATTTTTTTTTTTTTTTTTTTCCTTCAAAATCTACAAAAGTATATTTATATAGTAATAAATAAGGAAACAAAATGCATTATATAATCATTTAACACATGCTCTGATAAATATTATACATTACGTGTAATTAAATTTATGCACAGAATAGAAACACAACTGAAAATTATTACATTACCTAAATTTTTAACTTACAAAGCAAACATTATAATAGAACAATTTCAAAAATATTATTTAATACATGAGGCTTTCTAATATTTTGAAAAAATAGTTTTTCTCATACTTGAAAGCATGAATTTCCTTGCAACAGACTCAGTCACTGATTTTTTAAAAACTTTTTTGTTTTCAAATTCAAAATTAAGAGTAGCTTGCAAGGAAACAATGTAATGTAAAAATATAACCATTTTAATGAAAAATGAATAGACAAGGAATAAAAAAGCTGCAAGAAAAATAAAAGATGGTCAATTAATAAGGATTTCAAGAAATAAAATTAGAAGCAAAAAGAATAAATCTCTGTGGGGAGAGGAATGTACACGAAAAAGGTTTCACAGATCAAAATTAAACAATTTAGATTATTAAAGTTCCAATAAATAGTTCCTTTAAGACATCAGAATAATAATACAATAGTTAATTAATGATTATAAACTATTACAGTCAAAAGTTGTTAATTCGGACACCCATAATACGGAATGATCTATAATCCAGACCTCAAAGCTAAAAACTTTCTGCGCATGCGCTGCGTTGGCACTTGCGCACAGGCGTTTTACGCGTGCGCGTAAGACCTTGACTACGCACATATGCGTGTGCGCAAGTGCAGAACGTTTTCGCCTGCGCGTTTAATGTATAACGGCGGTGTAAGCTAAATTATCTAATTTCTCTATTTCAGTTAATGTTAATGATTGCGTTGTTCCTTAATCTTTGAATTGGATCGCGCTTCTTATTTTTGCAGCTGTAGAGCATTTTATAAAAGTAACTTGAACTTTCGATTATGTCAAATAGAATTTCGATGCGGAACTCCAAAGGATCTACAAACGAAAGTATGTTCGATGTCAACGAACAAAGTGGATAAAGACATGAGAATGTGACAGAGAGGTAGTGAAAACGAAAAAATTTATTTGACAAGTTTTCGGTGCTCGGACAGCAATTAACGGGACTTGAACAGCGGAACTTTGTACTGAACAAGAAATTATGTTGTTTATAGAATAAAGAGAAAGTATTATCACATAAAACGAAACAACTTACATTGAAAGACATGTTTAATAAAGTAAACAAATAAATATGAAGCTTTTTTTTGTAAATTTTGATACCCTTTAGATCATAATGTTCTTTATTTCTAAATTCGTTTTCATATTTTTAATTTTAGAATTCTGCATGCCATCTTACGAAATTTAAAACTGATGATCTATAATCCGGAATCGCCGAAGTCCCGACGAGTCCGGATTAACGACTTTTGACTGTATTAGTAAAATATATTTGCAAAATTAAAAAAAAATCAACTAACAAATTTATATTTGTTTCATTATCAGCAAATACTTAGTTTCCAGAATCTGGAATAGCTTAATTTATAGTTCCTATATTTTCATTTCAGAAAAATATTTATCTAGCATATTACTTTGAATGCATTATGGAATTCACGATTAATGTGATCCATAAAACATTTATACTCAAATTTATTTAGTATACATTAAATTTAAAAGCTAAATTTTTATTGAAACTCATAGATATATATAGAGAGAAAATGCAACACTAAACAACATATATAATTTTCCACCCTTTTACAAATAAATATATCAAAATTAAAATAATCTGTTATTGTGCTGTGTTTAAAGTATAGTATTTAAGACTATTAATATGGCAAGGCAATAAGGCAAAAATTGGAATATAGAAAATATTATAGAAACTGATTATATCCCACAAATTCTGATAAACATTTGAGAAAAATTATTATTTAAAGGCCTTATAGCTTATCATTTACAAGGCCTAAGCATATTATATATTGTAATGATTATGTCTCCAGCAAACTATACAAGAACACTTTTTTTAAATGTATGGAGCATTTCCTCTTCATTTATAGTTAAATTCTAATATTAAAATTATTCACTCATATAATGTAAAGAAACTAGTATATAAATGAAGCAACAGAAGCAGATTTTTAACATAAAATTTCCTTTTGTATAGGCATTGGTTTCTCAAACAAAACAGACTAGTTTAATCATAATGTAAAAGTAAGGGGAGAATTCAGCAGTTTTTTATCATTAACAGAAAGTAAAGTATTGTTTACATAGTACTCTGCCTACACACATCCTTAGAATAGAGAAATACTACTTTTCTGTAATATTAGATGCTCAATATCATTGCATATATGGTTTATGCTGTCTGCAATGAAATATAGCAAAACCTAACAACTATACGAAATTTAGTGAAATACGTATTTAAAATATAGCAGTATAAAACACGTTTCAAACTTACGGAATGAATGCAATATTTGCATTTGGATATGTATAAAACATGAAATTAATGATGTCAAATGAGATTCTAACAATACATAAAACTCCCTTCATGAGAAAAATGGAACATTTTGCAATATCACAAGATTTAAAAACCCTTTCCAACTATACCATAATAATAGAAGCGTAAAAAATTTAGAGCAATTTTACACAATTTAAAAAATATATATACACATTGCTCCATCTTGCTGCCACCTACCCAGGTGATATAAAACATTTAAAAAATATAATTAATAAAATAAAAACAATACATAAATCAAACAGATCATTTTCTGAAAACATTTCTAGACAAAATATGCTGATCAAAATAAAAAGTGTATAAATGATTATTACATCATAAACAAAGACAGAGCATATGCAAAAATTAATTTTAAAATCGACCATCTTAATTATAATCTAAAACAGCTGTTGTAATTAATATAGAAGGACGGAAATGAAAAATCACATGTCAAAAAGATAACATAAAAATAAATAGACAAATACAATTACTTCTTAACATCTGAATTATCAGGATAAACTCAAGCTGCACTCACTACATATAAAAAAAAATTATACAGGTTACAAATTTCTCTAAAGTATTTTAATGCTTATGTTACTATTCAATAAAATATTTATAATTCAAATTATTTTAAATATTTTTAAACAACTACCAGAAGCATTTTCAATAAGGCAGCATTCTTTTATTTACAGTTTGCAAAATCTGAAAATTTGCCAACATCCAAAATGAAAAATCAAAATTTGTAAAATTAACAGATCTATGTTCCAGAGGAAATAGAGGTGGAGCTAAGCACAGACTTTTCTGCAAGAAATCATCATGAAAGTCAAAGCTCTTTGAAAGTTTTAGTAGAAATATTTAGCAAAATCACAATGTAAACTTTGAACACTAAATAAATGAGATTTCAATATGAGAAATTTAAAAAAAACAATATTTACTACAATGTATGCACAGAAACGATATAAGATAAAAACAGAAATTACAGGAAACTCCTTCAGAAAATTAAAAATAATATCGTGTGAGAATAATTTAGATCTGATGATCCCAATTTTATTGATCACATGCAGGAAAGGCTGAATGCAAAGATAGTAGCATTTGTGTAATTGTTTAGTAATAAAATACACATGAAACATAGTTCATTGAAGTAATAATGTGCTAATGATATACATCGCACGAGATATTAATGCATATTTAAAAAGATATAATTTTCATTTTCCAGATATACAAATGACCATTTACATCACAGTGCTATACATCAACAACTATGTATTTGACTTCATTGAATGTATTACATTACATAAATCAACTCATTTTGCCATCACATTCTATTATATGATCTATTTTATGGTCATAAAACAGTAGTTTTTTGAAAACTTTTACAAGTTACATTGATGAATGTATCACATCAGAAGCTTCCCATGCATTATAAACAAATAATTTTGTACTACAAGATTTCAAATTATTCAATCACAAAGTAAATTTAGCTAAAAATTATAAGCTTCTAAAATAATTAAAGCCAACAAAAAGTAAGTCTTTTATCGATCCATTTTCCTGCAATTTGGCAAGGGAAATTTGTTTTCTTTTCTTTAATGCCTTAAAGAAGAGTGTTTTTATACATAACATAACACTACATAAATTTTGTGTCTCCACAAAATACAAACTGTTTGCCATTTTACTCGCAAAACATATTTCTTTTTGCAAGCATTGTGCACAGATATATTTTTTGCAAGCCTTGTGCAAAAATAATTCAAAGGAAAATGTGCAGTAAATGTCTTAAAAATTAATAGAAATTGTTGTCACTACATTTGTATGAAAAATTTGCTGCAAGCCTTATGCACAGTAATCATGTGAGCAAAATGCACAGCTATGACTTTTCTTTATTAAATAAGTGCAGAAGTCTCCATATGTTATTAATTTATGATGGAATATCATCATAACAAGTTTTTTTTTACACCTATACTTTGGTAATGTTTTCAACAGTTAATTTTAAATACTTGAGTTTAATCTGAATTAAAATAACATGATGAAAAGCGATTTAGTGGAGGTACTGAGGCAACAAGAATAGGTGTAATGTTCGTGCATTTCATACACATTATCTCCTCAGCACAGGTTTCTCTTTAATCATTTGCCCTTCTTTAGCTGAAGAAGGTTTTACGTTTAAACCTTTGAAACTAGTTCCGCAAATTTATGAACATTATGCTGATTCTTCTTGCCTTAACACCTACCATACTTGGATTTACATTTGATATTTTTAACTTCAGGAGATTAATTCTTAACGATATTGATGCATATTACACTATTGTGTTTTATTATAATATACAGTTACAGTCAATGAAACATATTCTCTGCATACATGGAGGTATTACTGTAATTTTTCATTGAACCTTCTGATCCTACAGAATGTGGTCATATTTATTGGGTAGCTGTATAGTTTAATATTAATAGTCTAAATATAAAGTATTGTCGTTAACATTTGCAACTTAATCAATAGATATGTATAGGCTGTACAAAGATATATTTGCATATATGTATATGGTGCTTTTTAATAAACTAGCTTGTCCCTAAACATATGAAGCACTGCAAAAGTACATGATATGATGTTAGTAAAAACAAGGGTGGTATCATGAAATTGAATAAATAAAAATTTTAATTAATTAAGCAAAAAGAACACATTTAATATGTATAGCAAAAATCACCGGATCAATCCACTAAATAAAAATTTGACATATTTTAATATATCCATTAGTGAAATATGGTGACAAAACATACATTTCTTTGCATATTAGTTAAGAACATACATTTCTTCACATATTAGCTACTGAATAACTGAATTTTAAAACAAAATATACACAGAAATCATTCAGCATTTTCAGCACATATTTTCAAATACTCTAGGTACTCAATCAAACAAACACAAAATCAATATCAAAATTATCCATCTTAACAATAGATTAAACAACAAACTTCATATAAATGATTTAACTTATGATGCATTATATCTGCTGTACGTCGTAAATGAAAGGAATAATAATTGTACAATTATTAAAAAAATAGAAAAAGGACACTTTTAGTAAATAACTTTTAATCAGGAAATTAAAGCAGCAGTTTAAGCAAAGAGAGATACCAACAAAAGAATTGCACACTCACAGATATAATGCTCTTCCTAACATAAACTGATGAAGTTTTATGCAATTATGTTTATGCACTAAAAGAATTATTTACTAAATAATTATAAAATACCATCAAATTTTCAAAAAGTAATTTGATGACATAAATATTTTTAATACCATGTAATTTTACCACAATACCATATATTTTCTGCAGGTAAAAGTACTTGATATTAAAAATGTTTTCCCACTATTTAACTAAAATAAAAATATTTATAACATAATTTTCTAAGAATCCAACAAGCTTTGACAGCATGAAATCTAAACAATAAAAATGAGAAATATTATAAAGAAAAACTACATGAGTTTAAAATAAATATGCAACCTGACATAAACTTTATACCTAAATTTACGAATAGCAGTTTTGACAAATCAATAACATGTTAAAAAATACTTTTAAATCTGAATATAAGAGAAATGCAATTTAAAAAGCAAATGCCTATCATTGAAAATTTTAGGTGGACTAAGAAATGGGGAAAAGGGGGATTCATTAAAAAGGCATGAATGCTATGCTATACAAATCTTTTTCCAACGATAGGTAATGAAGAAATACTTCAGAAACATGGTCTAGAATAGCTAAAAACGATACTGATTTTGAACACAATCAATATCACATTTTGGAATTGTATGCAATATGTACAACACACATTACAAAATAATATAGTCCAAAATATAACTTGTTGAGCAAGGCAACAATACGCACCACATAGGGCATTTATGTAATATTTTCCAACATTCTACAAAGATTTCTTCATATAAACCATTCTTCCTTTTTAGGAACTCCATGGCCGGTTTTGCCCATCCTCACAGCAGTATCAGCATCAGGAGCATCTTTTGCTCCAGTGTCTTCATGTGTTTTATATTCACCTTTATGGCGTGACATATAACGTCCGATCAGGATAGCCATCAATATGAGTGCAATAAATATCAGAGCCAATATACCTAAAAATTAAGAGTTAAATAATACATCAACCACATACTTTTGTTGGATTTTTCCAAATATATTTCAAATGAACAGTATTTTTTTATTTCAGTGATGACTGATAACTATTAGATTTGTTATCCCTTTAATTTGCATTTTGTTCAGCATCCAAAATACCCGACACATTAAAACACTTTTCATAAAAATATACACAGTAAAAACACAAAGTTTATAAAGACTGCTACATTATTTCTTCTTCTTCTTCTTTTTTTTTTTTTTTTTTTGGGGGGGGGGGTCCAAAGATTCGTTTTATCCAAATCTTACCATCCAACAATGGGGAGGGAGGGACTTCTTAAAAATATTTAAATTTCTCAGTTGCATACCTCCATCATTTCCAAGTAATATGGACAGCTGTCTGCTAAGTTTAGATCAAGCAAAAGTAAAACAAAGTGCACATTTGATGAAACGGACAAGTTTATGCTCATCTTATTCTCAAATTAGTATGCCCTTCGGGTAAGGGCATGTCAAAGTGGACATATTGCAGGTGGCAAACATTAAAAAATTTAAAACATGCACAAAAAAAAAAAAAAAAAAAAAAAAAAAAAAGGATTGGGGGGAGATAGCTTTGCAATCAGTTTTGTTATGTACTTGGAATTACTTTGAACAACAGGCTATTGTTGATAGAAATGGAAATTTAGTAAAGGTGTAATAAAAACCTATTTCTGATAGTAGTAACAGTATGTGCTTTCAAGTGCTTGTTATTTTTTTTTTTTCCAAAATTAATTTTTTAAGTCTCTTCTAAAACTACTATTCTTTTTCTATAATACTACTGCAAGTAATACATACATTACACATACGAAATAACTACATATGAGTACTTATTTAACAAAGCATTTTAATAAAATGCATGGCTAGAACTATCTTTGAAGTTCTAATATTAATCTGATATAATACAATTACATTCTTCTATCCACTAATTCAGTGTTTACAGTTCACAGCAAGACCAAAAAAGCATTGTTCAAACTTTTAAATGCATACTAAATGACAACAGAATATAACAAAATGAAATACCAAAATACAGCAGCTTTAATATATTCAATACTATCATCTTTCCAACAAATCCTGCTTATGAATACCTGCAACCTCCTTTTGAGCTGACAGAATCTAACACAGAGAATATAATGACCACAGTAAAACCTCATGTTTGCTTTCAGCTACGGGTCACCTTGAAGATTTGTGTTTTTTAGTTTTCTTTCTTCACTACCCTACTTGATAGCTATAAATGTATTGGTATGGGCATCACGGTTTACTCTGCGTCATAAACAGAAGACTCAGGTGTTAGAAACACTTGTCAGCAGGAACCCGAGTTATAAAACTACATCCTATGTTGAGCACATGCGAAAATGGCATAACTTTTCTACCCTAACGTGACAAAGTTCATAGCTGAGATAAAAATCTCGTGAAAGGAAAGCCACTTGTCATATAACTCATGTATATATTTCTCATTTCTCTGAGGTTAGGGCACTCTCTACCGTCATCAGATTTTTTTTGTTTTTTTGCATTGTCTCTCCCGCCATCGAGTGACCTATCATAAACAGAAATGAATATTCATCTTTCTTCTTTTTGTTTTGTTCCCATACCCACACCTTTTCATTAAAATTTGGTTCTAACATTCTCCCAATTCCTATTAGCGTTATATTAGTCATATTACTTTTTTATCATTTTGTTGAATCAACAATGACTTTCATTTCTACTTGTTTTATGCATATTAAAAAAAGTGTCAAAATTCCTTAATTTCATAAGTTTTAAAGAGAAAGAGTACACTCCAGTATACAGCATATCTTGCATTGCTCTTTAATAGTATGTATGTAATTTAATGCACTTGTGGGGTATACATTATTGAACATTGGTGATGTTCTACATTTTATAATTTATCAATATACTTAACTACTTTTAGGTATGTTACATGAATATCCTACTACTTACATTCTCTATTAAGTCTTGGAATGTATTTCCAATGAATTTGACATAGTGCTATTGCATTTAATAGTTTAATTTTAAAACTGATAAGAGGTGAATGTAAAAAAAGTCAGTACTTGTTTGTTTTGCTGCATGCAATGATATCTGTTAACATCTTTTAGTCACATTTTTTTCTTCTTAACTTTTAGCAGATTTTTTTCCGGCAATCGAATTCAAAACGGCATCATATAGAATGTTACTTTCTGCAGTCAATGTCTGCCTCTACATGATAAGTAAGAACACAAGTGATGATGAGCCATACCAAGCTGACAGTTATTCTCTCATTTTGCTGATCCCCACTCTCCCTAAGTTCGCTTTAAAAAGAGAGAGAGAAATTAAAAAAAACTCCTCTTTGCAGACGAATCGAGAACAGTCTCTACAATAGCCAAACACTTGCAAGAACTGAAAGTCATGGGGCATAATTTTTGGTGATGCAGTGCAGCAGTTATTGGACAACCAACAAATACAAAAATTTATTTAGAAAGTTAATTTTAAATAGTAGGAACAGCATTTTTCAATAATTGAATGAAATTTTATAGGATCATGACATCACCTCACCATTCATGCTCAGTATGTTTCATGACACTAGCTGCTGGCCAAAAAAGGAAAAATACAAACCTCCTAATATTGCTGAATCATCTGCACCAGCTGTATGTGCCTCAATGTGAACTCTTGGCAAAGAAGGGGGTGGTCTTGTTGCTCTTATTTCAGGTGGATGAGTTACTGGCTCAATACCACAGTCATCTTCGCGAATGTCTTCAGGGAATGAATATACCAATGATGATCTACGACTTTCCTGAAATAATCTTCGCAAAGGAAAGTGATCATCAAACTGCACACGTGAAATGCATCCACTGAATCCTTCACCACTACCCATAGTTTCTGAGAAAATAAAATAAATTTTATCCTCTTCATTCAATACATTAAGCCCCTCAAAGCACATATATCAATAAATGAATAAACAAAACTACAATATCTAATAGCTGTATAATGCTTTAAAATGAAAATGCATTAATTGAATAAAAGTAATGAGTAAATGGATGAAAGGGCGGGAAAGACTTTTACCAAAAGTCTTTTAGCTGAATAATTTTGAATGACATGTGAATAGCAAGAATATAAATATATTCTCAATAGTTTCAAAAATAAGAATTGAGTATTTTAATCTTTAGGCACAAATACAGTTCTTGTACTTAAAAATATAAAATACAATAAAATAAATTAAAACTCAACATTTGATACATTGAAAGGGGAAATGTGAATAAAAAATGCAACAATTTCTAGAAATAACATCATCTTTCAATATAGTACTTACCATTACGACCAATGTATATACTTTTCAATCTATTGAACTGAGCATCAGCTTTTTCATCAATTTCAAATGTATGTACAATTGGGGCATAGTTATCCACCTAAAATTATAAAAAGAAAGAATTTTCAATGTGATTAGTACAAAATATGGCACTTAATACAAATTTACATTAATGTACTTACATATATTGTAAGCTTTGCCCCTTTATCACTCCTAATTATGCGGAGATCATGATGTTGGCCTAAAGCAAAATTCTCATTTTTAATGATTATCTCCTGCCTTTCAAAACCAAAGTCAAATACCAAACGTAGATAGCCTAAAAATTACCAGATAAAATTATAAAATTAAACATCAACATTAAAAAAATCAATACATATTTTAAATTAGGCTTGAAATCAATATTAACATATTTTTTCTTATTAGTTTTATTTAAATTGTATTTATTTTTAACATCTACATTTTAGCTGAATGCAGTTGTTTGCTAATTTAAACTTACTTACTACATAAGTTTTAAAAGTATGCAACATAGGATTTCACACAAGAATGAATTTCTATTTTTGGTCTCTAAGAAAAATTAGTTCTAAATTTCTTACTTTATGTCTTTACTGATATGTATGTAATGTAGATTCTCATACATTATTGGTGTTGTGCAGTCGAGGCAAAAGAAATGAGACAAAATTTCAAATATAAAGAGATATGTTTATTTTAGCATCCATCTCCCAAGCATTCCTCCTGTATATTGAGGAGAAGCCCTATTTATAGATATGTGAACATCATGGTGCTCATCCAATCAGCGATATTAATTGAGATCACAAGGTGATGCTATCTTCTCATCAGGAGTGTTCTATAAGGACTTTATGTAATATGACAGATTTATGAATTTGGCGATTTGATTTGGCGGGCATCAAGAGGTTAATATAATTTATAAGAAAGAAGGGATTTTGCTAAAAATTAGAAACAGGGATGCAATTTAGGCAGAGAATTGCCAATACATTATTAAGCAATATGATTAGAATTTAATTAATTGATTTTAAAATATTATTACATATATATATGTATATCAGTGCTTCAGTAACATTAATGCCAGAATCTGGTATAAAGAAGAAAGTTCACAAGTTTACTCTCCCCTTCTCAATTGGTGAATTGTTGACAAATCTCATGAATTATTTTCATTTATTCATTATTTTTTATGCTTATCAAAGAAGTACTATAAGATTACTGGAAGATATAATAAAAAATATTAAAGCATACTTAAAAATATAGAAGACATGCCAAGATAAATTGAAAGTGGAAAACTATGCCAAATCTAAAAAAAAGATCAAAGTCCAGCAAAAGAAATTTAAGGAAAAAAACTTACATATATATAAATATAAGGGCCTGAAATAATTTCGAAAATCCAGTAGCCCCGAAAATTCTAGTTACCACCACCCCTTGCCCCTTTCCCCAAAATTAATAAAAACTTACCAGGACTAGCCACTTTTGACATACCCTCTCAGCTACATCATCTTTATCCAACGTGTGCTTCAGACACTCTTTGGTTGCATTGCTAATGTGTTTTGATGTTTTGCTTCCCCCCCCCCAAAAAAAGAAGTCTGCTTGTGGCTTAAAGTCTATTGGTGAAGGTATATTGAGTTTAATAATCATAAGGTCACTGACAGTCGCATTGTCTATGCATATTCTAAGATTAGTCTTAATGCTATTCATCTGGCTAAAATATCATTATTCACAAGATGGTGTGGAAGATGGCAAAACTTCAACTATTGACAATAATTGGCTGAGAACAGAAAATATTTCTTTGTGTGAATTTGCTTTGGAAAGTAATCCATGTATTTTTGCACCCTAAAACTTTGAAACTCATAACATTCATTGTGTGAAGATTTCAAGTTTTACTCTTTAAAAAGACTGGGTTTGAAATGATAGATATCCTTTGAAGTGATTGTATAAAGTAACAATTTCATCCTTTCCATAACTTTCCAAATTGTTATGAGGCCACATGAAAGCATCAAAACCTTTATAACACCCACATAACCATTCTGGGAAATATTTCTTAAGAAACTTTATTCCATGTAAAATTATTTTCTGTTTGTTTGAATCAAAATCTTCATGATTAGTATTTGTACGTTGAATGTTCTTAAACTTCCCACTAATAGTAGTTGAATCGACAAACAATTGCACATTTGAATATAGAACAAAATTAGCCAGAAATAAGATATTGCTACAAATCAAAAGTTTTTCAATTATTTCAACAATCTTCTGGGCATAGAACATTCTTTCCCTTACTGTTAACAGAGCAAGAAGGTTACTAACTTTAATTGATGTAAATATTTCAATTTCAAGAGTTTTGAGTGCAACAGCTGAGCAACATGGCCTAATTGCCTTAGCCTTTTTGGAGAATTATTGTAAAACTTATACAATTCCTTAAAAACTAGGGCTGTGGAGTCGGAGTCATGGAGTTGGGCAGATTTTGGAGTAAAAGGAGTCGGAGCTGGAGTTGCTAAAAATAGGTTGACTCTGACTCCAGTTTTGTTGGACAGTTTGAATTTGAAATGAAATTAAAATGAATTGAAAAAATTAATAACAAGCTGAGTTATTATTTTTATTTAAGAACTGTATACATTAATAAATAGTTATTTTGACATATTAATAAATAAATATAAGGCAGGAGGATGGATGTGATATTTGCCATTAGTGATTAAACTGATTCATTTAGTTACAAATATCACTGGTAAATTTAGGTAAGCAGCAATAGCAGCAAGAACTCCCAAATTTGATGCCATTCTTAGGAAGTGAGCAGGAAAAAGAGCAATAATTGATCAAGCAATGCGATAAGGAAGTACATATTTGATGATAAAGAGGTTTTTAGAATTAAGGACTTTTTTAGAAGATGTAGATAACCCTAATGTTTCACTAACAGAAAGACTGTGGAATGATCTTGCAGAATTAGAAACTCTTTTTTTCTACACCGTATGTAGCCACAAAAAAGCTGCAATCTGAAGAATTGACCAGAGGCGAGAATGGAAGAAAGGGATGTTTGTTCTTTCTGAAATGGAGGGTTTATTGCAGAAGAAATCATTTCTTCAAAGGAGAAAAGAAAAACTAGTTTGCTAAACAATGGGATCTTGCTGGATTCAATATATGTAGATCCAAAACACCGAATTTTCTTGGATGACGAACAAATTAAAAAGGCAAAAAAAAGCCATCTATGAACTTCCATTAAGAATGAAATTATTCTCAGAACAATTGCAGAATTCGAATCAGGACAGTCAAACTGCAGACACTGCAATTGAGTCTCTATCATCTTCTTCCAGTGATGAATTCGATTTTGAGAAATTTTTTTGGATAATATTGAAAAGAAAAGGCTAAGGCAAAGTGAATGAAAATAAAGAACCAAGAGCCTTTAGATATAAAAATGAAAAAATACAAACAAGATTTCTACACGGCCTTCCTTTGAAGAAATAGAGAAATATGACTGGCGCTTGCAAGACACCTCTTTTAGAACTTTTTTTAAATTTCATAATAAATGCTAATTAACATAAATAATTTCCTATTTAATCAATTTTTTTTTTCTGTAGCATCTATTACTTCTTTTAGATTAGAAAAAATAAGCTGTAACCCATGTGTATATGTTTACATATATATGTAGATATATATATATATATGAGGCAGTCCTAGTCGAGTCGGAGTCTTTAAAATTCCAAGAGTCTGAATCAGAATCGGACATTTTCCCTACTGACTCCACAGCCCTGTTAAAAACACCATTCAGTTCACCAAGATAACTTGAATTCACTATGCCACTTCAATCTATGCCAAATAGAAGACTCTTACTTTGCCTAATTTTATGTTTTGCTTTGTCATGTTTCTCTTCTCTCTTGCTGAAAATACACCAGCTCAATTTTTACTCAAGAATATTAAAATGAATTCTGAACACAACAAGATTTGGTATGATTTATATGATCAAAGCAAAGCCTCAAGGCCTATCTGCCTAAGCAGAGGAATGCCTTCGTGGAAGACTTTCTACGGGATATTGGATCATATACATGCTACACATGGGCAAAACCACAAAAATGCTCATGCAGCCAGCCTGTTCACGGGATTCAAACTACTACTGTTCAGCAACTTTACCACCCGGCCACTAGTGGGCCCCGAACACAATAAAGACTTAATACAATATTTTATCCCCCTTTCTACGGGATATTGGATCATATACATGCTACACATGGGGAAAACCACAAAAATGCCCATGCAGCTAGCCTGTTCACGGGATTCAAACTACTACTGTTCAGCAACTTTACGACCCGGCCACTAGTGTGCCCCGAACACAATAAAGACTTAATACAATATTTTAAAAATACTGTGGGGGGGGGGGAGAAAATAAAAGCAAGCTAGAAAAATGGGCACACAGTTTCCTTTAACATCATGATAATGCTTAGTGTCATACATTATTTTGATTACACAGTTATCAATTAAATAAAAAGCTTATGATGTATTCCCAATAGATTGTTATGATTCTTCCCCAAAATTAAAATCAGCATGAAAGGTAAATATTTTGAATTGATTCAGGAAATTAAGGCAGGTACAACATCAGAACTAAAGACACTCACAAAACATGATTTCAGAAGAACTGCTTTAGATAGTGGCAAGAAGAGAAAAAACTATTTTTACAATAGAAGAGGAAAAAACTAGATTATCAATGAGACTTAAGGGACTGTTACATATTCTTTATTTTATACACATTCTTTGTTTTTGGTTTGCCTTATTTAAAATGACTTTAAAAAGACCCTACTGCAAATAAATAATTTATTACAAATTATATAATTATGGAACTCATCACTTTCTTTGCAAATTACGTTTTAGTCTCCACAGGGAGAAGAAGGAAAAGGAAGGGAAAAAAAAAAAACTGTACTCACCACTTGTAGACATCATTAAATTAAAATACTCCTCACTGTAAGATGATATACCAACAATCATGCCAGTTTTGTCAGTTGTGGTAAAACCTACACGAATGTATTCTTCAAGAGTTGAAATAGAATTCTCAAAAGTATACCGAATAAAGTCACTAGTTTGCAAATTTACGCCAATTTCTATAAAAGATAGGGAGAAAATATCATTTGTGAGAATTTAAAAAAAAATTCCAATTACTATTTCTGACAGAGAAATGTATTAAAATAATAATTAATAAATTGACAAAGCGAATTTACACTCACCATCAGCACATATAGGTCCTTTGAATCCTGTCCACTGACAATCACAAACGTAACTTGAGTAACCCTCAATACATGTTCCATTATTTAAGCATGGACTACTCTGACATTTTCCAACGCAACCATTATTGATGCCATATGGATATTCTAAAGCCATTCGCTGCAAATCAACAATGGCACCATTCAGCATGAAAGCTCGTATGCAGCCAACAAATCCTTCTCTATAATCAACAGTAGCACCTATAATAAATAAATGAATAAAAGTTATTACATAAATACTTTGGCACTTATGTACTATTCCATTAAGCAAAAAATTTGGCTACCATAGAACCATAAAAGTTGGCAGAGATCCCACCAATTGTTTCTAGAGAATTCTGAAGGAATTGATGTCTCTTTATTTTATAAAATATCAATATTCGACCTACTTCGTAAGATGTTCATCAAATTCTACTGTTTTGTTAGGCTCTCTGATTTTACTGGAAACTTTGTTTTGAATGATATGACTACAAACTTCCCAATCTATTACTGTTTTTTGGCCGTATCCAGCTGTTGTTTTTCCCATTCAATACTCATATTTTCTCTCAATTAGCTGTAAATGAAACAGAGTGCAGTCACATATGTGGTTCTACAGCATGTTCATTTTCGAATACATGTTCTCTTGTCACAGTTTTTCACATTGCATTGCCATTATTTACACTTTCTCAAATAAAGTATAAGATTATATACATTAAAATATTTATTTTATGGTAGGATCCTTTAACTTTGAAAATAATCCAAATGTTGCTGTTTTGTAGAAAGCAGATCCCAAATTTTGCTCATTCAAAAAAAAAAAAAAAAAAAAAAAAAAAAAAAAAAAAATTCAATAAAGATACAACAGTAACAGTTAATCTATATCCTCCTTCATAAAAACAATAGGTAGCTTATCAAGAGTAAACTGAAATTAAATCAAATGAAACAGCAGATACTGTGAATGTGTTGATCTGAAACGTGTATATCCATAACTGAGGCTAAATGTTGCTTAGTACCAGTTTTATGATAGACAGGATAAGAAGTAAATACCAATACCCTTTTTAAATCTGACAACTACCAAAAATAAATAAATAAATAAATTGAATTAAAAACATGAATAATGCAAGGACACGAAACTCGCTGCTTACTTACACAATAAAAAACTTATCTGTCTTATTTTGTCTCAAGATACGCTACTCAGATCACTTAATTATCTTTCTTGTGGAATATCTCTAGTAATAAGCTCATATGGTGTAACTGGAAAAAAATAGCAATAAGCTTTGTTTCTTTAAATGTAGATCCTAGGCGTATATTTCTATTCATAAAGTTTCTCAAAATAAACAACAGAATTTTATAATTTCAGCCTTTTGAGGGAGGAGGAGAGGGTTCTGTAAATATAAATTCAAATTTTCATATGGTCTCCACACTTCAGAAATTTCAATTAGTACAATATTCATCACGATTTTAGGAAGTATATAGAAAAGATTTTCAAGCTTTTACATAGAAAAATTATGGGGACATTAGAGAATAAATTGACAGACTCAAATCACTCTTCAATACTCATTATTAAATGTTTTTGTGCAGATTTAGAAGAATCTAAAAAATTACTTGTTTAGGTGATTTTTCTGATTCATACTGGGTAAAACATTATACATTACTAACTTTACAGTTGTTTCCAGGAAATTAAATATTAATACATCCATGAATTTTGTATACAGTAATACTTCAAAGCTGAACAAAAGGTATGACTGAAGAAAAGCATGTAAATCAGGTCAAACTTTACTCTTGGCTGAAATATGCACAAAGATAAAAAACATGAGTTTAGAAGAAAAACTTATGCAATAAAAAATGAAGTTTTCAAATATATCAATATGAAATAGTATTAAAATAAATATAAATAAATATACTGCTTAAAACACAGTTGTTTTAATGTCAAAACCTTAAAAAAGTTTAGATTCCTCTAATAATTCAGTTAAAACAAAAGTGGGAAAAAAAATAGAGACATAAAACTCTGTTCTTCATTTTTTTGGGGGGAGGGGCTACCAAAGATCAACACAAATACACAAAAAATAGCAATAAACTCTGTTATGCATATGAGCATAAAACAACTGCACTGGCTGTGAACAAAATTATAAGTTAAATGCTCAGGAGCACTTTTTTTGAATTATTGACAATTAGAAATGCAAATTAATTAGAAGCATAAATGTGTTAAATAAGGAAAGTAAGGAGCTGCATAACTTCATATAAATCGAAATTTAAAGTATGGAACATTTTGTACTTAAATCATTTTACTATGATAAATATTTTACTATTGAATTTTTTTGTTTTTATAAACACTAAATGAAGAGTAAATTTTGGATTTACAAAAGCTTCCTGCCCCCAAAGGACAAACTGTTTACACAAAATTGGTTATTTATGAAATTTTGTAACTAAAAGCACATGGCATTGCATCAATAAATATTTTGGAAAATAAAGCCTTTTTCACCCATCACATGTAGGAGGTTTGTGAGAAAAGTAATAAGACTGGCAATGCTGTGGGCGATCTGGCAACGTTGTATCTTAAGGCCTGTGCTAGATCCGTTTGTTTATTCCACTTCCTCAGTCCGAGTTACAACTCCATACAGCTAACACAGTAGTTTTGACTGTGCCATACGTGAAGTTGTGTTTTTGCTGTGTGTTACAGAAATGGAGCATCAGAATTTAGATCAACGTTGTGCAATAAAGTTTTAAGTTAAACTTGGTGAATCCATGAGTGTGACTTTTGAAAAGCTGAAATAAGTATATGGAGAACACTGTTTATCAAGAGCACAAGTTTTCCACTGGCACAAATCATTTTTGGAAAGCCAAGAAAACGTTGAAGATGAACCTCGCTCAGGGGAACCTGCAACTTCAAAAACTGACAAAAGCATTAAACGTGTGAGGGCTCTCGTGAGATCAGACTGTCGTTTAACAATAAGGATGATATCTGAAGAGTTAAATTAAACACTTTCACCATACACAAAATTTTGACAGATGATTTGAACATGCGAAAGATTTATGCATAAGAACATGCCAAAGTGGTCCTGAAAAACCTCACAACTCAACAGAAGGACAATCGAAAAAACATGTGCATTGTTTTTGAGAGGATTGCCAATGACCAAGACTCTCAATTGTTGAACTGTGAGTACGATCCTGAAACAAATCAACCTCCGCCGAAGAAATGTCAAAATAGCAAATCAAAGATCAAGACTATGCTGATTTTTTTTTTTTTTTTTTTTTTTTTTTTAACAAAAAGGGTATCGTGCCCACAGAATTTGTTCCACCAGGACAAACTGTGAACCAAGTATTTTATAAAAGTGTCCTTGATAGGCTCAGGAAAAGAGTGATTTGTATGAGACCACACATTGCAGACAAGGGGATGCTTCATCATGACAATGCCCTGTGTCACACGGCCCTTTCCATCAGTGAATTTTTTACCTCAACACGCATTAACTGTTGTTCCTCAACCCCCTATTCACCAGCTTTGAGTCCTTGTGACTTTTTCCTTTTCCCGAAATTGAAACATGTCCTAAAAGGGTGCCATTTTGGAACTCTGGAGAACATTCAAAAGACTGTGACCAACCAGTTAAAAGCCATACCAGTTGAAGACTTCCAGCACTGCTATTAAGAGTGGGAACAATGACTTCATCGGTCTATAGCTGCCCAAGGGAACTACTTTGAAGGGGATAACATTGCTGTTTGATAAAACAAAAAACTTTGGTAAGTACAAACTCAGTCTCATTACTTTTCTAACACATTATGTAAGTTACCTTATATGTGAAAATTTATTTTCCACCTCAAAAACATTAAAAACACAGGACTTTACAGGGTAATTCAAAATATGTGGCACAAAAAGAAAACTTATTTGAGACTGCTGGAATGAACTTATTTCACAAATACCAAATGAAAGTTGGAATGTTTCACTTGCATTTGTGAAATAAATTCTTTACAGTACTCATATATTTTTTCTGTTGTATTCATTTTGAACTCTTGTGTATATGAGCCAGCTTTATATTATGGTCAAAACGGAATTTAAAAAAAATTAATATAGAGTTATTTATCCTTCCTCATTCTTTCCCCTTTAAGAAATTTGGATCTTCTCCATAATAGGACAACATACCCAAAGATAAAGGAAGATAAATTTGCCAACATAATACTTCCAATGAGAGAAAATTATGTGAACCAGAATCAAGACAAAAACAAACATGAAGAAACCATAACTGACATTGTTGTTTACTGGCCACCTTTGATTTTAATGTTCTTTCTTACATGACATAATAGTGTTCTTATTTCCAAACTATTATTAAAAAAAAAAATCCCTGCTATTTTTTTTTAATCACTTTGTTTCTTGAAATAACTAACCTTAAAGATATATGACACATTTTTTATGCTTAAGAAAATTTTATTTTCATGTTCTATAACAGAAAAGAGCCAAAAGTTCTTATATTTAATAACTGAACAAATTTTCAGCAATATTTATCACAATTTCTATCAAAATGAGAGCCAAAAATAAATTATGTACAATCTGATTACGCAAGAAAAGTTTCCACATACCAATGACCAGTTTGCTTGTAAGATACAGAGCCCGGACAGGACCAGCTCTTTCTCTCACTTCACCACTCAAACTCCCATCAACAACAACTCTTGCTTCTTTTCTATTTCGTTCAACTAATACAGAATGCCAGTTGTTGTCATTCAGTTTATACGAAGTTTCAACACTAACTCCCAGCGGACCATTTCCAGCATGATATTGAAACTGGATTTGATCTCCTTCTGCAAAATTCAAAACAGAGAAAATTTAAGATCAATTTTGTTTGTTAAAGAAAAATATAAACATTTTAATTATCAGCTTTTGGGCATTACAATAGTATTACATAAGTATTTGAGTGATTTACATGTAATACCATTGATAGACATTCATAATTTTCAATCATTTCATAAAATCAGAATACATGCATACTTTGCATTAATTTAAAAAAAATTAATTCTAAATGTGTAAGAAAGAGCAATAAAAAAGGATTATTTCAAATATTTATTGGTTTATAAGCTACAAGAAATGCTAAAAGATGGCAAAGAATGATTACATCAAATGAATGACCTTAGCTAGTCTGTTAGTTTTCAATTTTACAAACATAAGTTATTCAGCAAGATTTCATATAACGTGCCATTGAAAGAAAAGATCAAAATTTTGATATTTTATATTGATTTTAAGTTAACCTCCAAAAAACAACAATTTACAAGGGATGAAAAAGCAATAACTTTTGGAAAAATGAATTCACAAGCAAATAATTTCCTTTTGGTTCAATGAAAATTAGGAGAAAGCAAGCTACAAGTAGTCACTTGCACTTTAATTACACTCCAGATACTTATTCAAGAGCACAAAATGATGAATACAATGTGTGTACGAGTTATGTTTGAGATTAGTTAACAAGGGATATGATTTTAAAAAAATTAAAGTAAACTACTGGAATTTATACAATAACATAGTTTGGGAAAGTCAATTAATTGCATTAGATTAAATTGATTATGGCAAAATTACAAGAAAAGCCAAGACCCTAATGAAAGGAATGATTTTGATAACTTTTTAAAGAAAAATTAGCTTGTATTTAAATTAGACATAAAGAAACACATGCAGCTATAAAGTCACTCCATTCAATCACTTAATATAGATCACAAGATGAGCTACTAATATTTTAACCTAATAACTGGTGGGGTACCAAATGGTTGAAATGACATGTTTAAATTATAACAATTAGTAACATGAAAGCATTAAATGTGACACAAAGAGATCAAGAACATACTGCATCCAAAGCAAAAATCTAGTTTTGTATGAAGGCTTCAAATGACTTCTATCATATTAATACTTGTAATTACATATTAACACAACCACCCTAGAAAACAGTCTGGCTATCTTTTGCAAATGAAAATCAAATTGGTGGTTTTCAAGACTTAAACGATTCCTAAAATATCGATATTTATGTTGGCAGATATTATCAGTATTTGAAAAGACAACCTATTCTGTTTTTAACAATTTAATATACAAACTTTAATTGTTAAATAAGGAATACGTAATACATTAAAAAAATAAAACACTCACATTCATCTTCAAATCTTTTTGTAATTTTTTAGCACTATTCTTCTCTCCAAAAACACAGTTATATATTTTCGCTTAAAAAAAAAAATTAGAAAATTGCAGACTTGGAATCGCACAAATCTCTGCAACACCAGCTAGCTACCTATCAAACATATCTTTTTGTTGTTTCCTTTAGATTTTGCAGCAAAATTCTTTATTCCAACAGAAATTTCACAAAGTTTTTCTCCATTGCTGGCAAATTCCACATATTTTAAGAAAGAAAAATTACCCCGATTTGGTCATAAAAAATTTGTTTTACCTGAGATTGTTATGAGAATGGATGCCTGAAGAATTTTTATGTGCATGGCTGCCAGACTTGGCACATTCTGAAAATTTGGCGACTTCTATTAAGCTGACTGCAATAACACATACCTTCATAACAAAACATCGAATTAATGAATGACACACACAACTGCTTAGGGAAAAAAAAAACTTTATCTAGAGATCAAAGTATGTCAGCTGGATATAAATTGAATGGTCTACTATTTCATCCTAAATAAATACAGAAAATGAAATAAAAACCAAACAACACTATTTTAATCATGGATAATTCCAGATTCAATTTAGAAAACTCCAGTCACCATATCACAATCCAGAAAAAAGACAATGAACCATAAACATTAGATTACCAAGTTAATGCTGATATTAAATATTCTACAATTATTGCTTATAATATAATGCTGATATTAAATATTCTACAATTATTGCTTATAATATAATGCTGATATTAAATATTCTACAATTATTGCTTAAAGACTGTAATGTATATTAAAGGTACTTTGCTGAACTCTTTCTTGAAAATGACTGTTGCATATAATGGCTAGTGAAATGATTTCATCTAAATCCAACAAAATGCATTAAAGATCTATTAGAAAGATGGAATTCAAAGCTTTAATCACCACAAAATGTTCATTAGAATTCTATCATAAAATCAGGAATGAAATTTATGCTTCTATTTCACATTTAAATAGCAACAGAATTGTCATTGCTATGAAGACCATGACACATTTAACTAAATCAGTGCATTTTCTATAAAAGAGAAGAGGAGAAGTATGTTAAGTAACTGTGTAAATATTTCTCCATTTTTTCAAGCAATGCACATTTTTAAAAACTTTTTACTTATAGGAACATTTTTCATTAAAACTTTTTTTTCTATAGTAAATTCACTTATATTATGAAGATAAGGACTTTTTTTTTTTAATCTATTTCTCTGTCAAATTTAGAAGTGCACAGTCAATTAAAAATAGAAAACTTTGAACTTCATTTTCCATTTATAATAAAAATTACTTTTCTCCACAAGTAGAAAAATAGTGAAAATGTTCTTAAATATTGCAATCAATGATAAATACATACAAATTAGGAGATAACATTATTTAAGCATATTAAATATTCAAACAGTATCAAAATATAAAGTTGTGGAATAAAACGGGGGAAAAAAAAAATCCAATATCAAATGCCCAAGTTGATGTATCCTGAAGGTTTATAGCTCTTGTAAAGGAGCAACACAAATTTATATTTTTCCCAGCTATATTCTGGAAAAAACTATTTCCAATAAATAATTTATAACAGTAAACAAAATATAGCATTTAAAATTTATAAGCAGTTCATTACAGGATTTAAATTTCCAAATTTTAAACTTACCCACAAGCATAACTTTAATATAATCTGTCGGTCCTCTACTGTTAACTAACACACCATTCTCGGCAGTTGTTTTAAATTGAAAATATATGTCACCAGAATGCCCCATATCAAATGTGGGGAGATCTATTGTTGCATCTTGATAGTAAAATGTCACTGTGTTATCAAATATTGCTGAGGAGAGAAATAAAAATTAAAAAGGAATTAAAAAAAAAAAAGACATCACACAGCCACAGAATATGAGGAAAATAGTAATATAATTTTATCACGGCATGAATTTTGGCAAAATTTAGATTTTATAAGACTTCATGTATTTTAGTTTTCCCTCTTAATCATTCTCTAACTGTATGACTTTTTTCTTCTTATGTATAATATTACCTTTATCAAAATTTATGCAAAAAAAAAAAAAAAAAAAACTATGAAGTAATCCAAATCAGAACTTTGCATCCACAGAATTACTTCTGAAGACTCCAGAACCAGCTCTCATTGCAGTTTTCAGGGATTTTTACCCAACTATGCAACAACTAGTTAAGACAAAATTATTAGTTAAATCCCAGACAGTGAAAATTTTGTGAAATTTTAGGACCTTACTTCATGACTACTCAACAAATTTGTTTTTGTTGTCCTCAGTAAAATTACTACCCTAAATATAATTAAACCCTATATATATATATATATTTGTCTAATGCTTCAATGTCTAGATGAGTTGCTGATTCCCAAACTGCACATATAAACTGGCAGAGCTGTGAAGATGGAAAGGATGAACTTGCAGAGACAAACATGGCTGAATTTTATTATTGCACCTTTTGGGGAAACCAAATTTGCTTCATACTATTTATAGGTGTAGTATGCACCCCAGAATTTTAAAACTTAGCCCATCTTCAAACAATGGATGATACAGTGACTCGAGCAGCATATGCAAGCTAGAGCATGAAAGAAGGGCAAAAGACAGAGTGTAGTTGGATTACTTCAGTACTCATAGTAAAATTTTTCTTTAATCTGATTAACTAAGAGCTATCTATTTACAATGCAGAAGATTAAGATGAAATCATGCGGAATCAGTTTTCAGATATGATGCAGTTTCGAAAAAGCTATTACTATTTTTAGAATAGTGAGGGAAAAGTGCCCAAATTAAAAAGAGGAATTACGAGTCTATAGCTAATTTTAATTCAAAGTCACATATTTTTTATCTTATATATGTATATGAACTAGACTGTCTTGAAGTTTTTCACATTGACAAAAACTGATGATCTTTAAATTAATGACAAATTCCAATCCAGTCCAACGTATTACTTTCAGAATTCAAATAACTTAGTTTTTCAGGTTTCATGACTATTGCCCTTGACAATGACGCTATGTTCCTATTTGCTTTATTCCACTTTCAGAATTCTAACACCTTAGTTTTTCAGGTTTTATTACTATTTCCCTTGGTACCGATGTTATGTTCCTACTTGCTTTACTCCATTTACTGCTTTTGATATAAAAATGGTTGTTGCCCCTTCCATTTTACAATCCCCACCTCTCTACTAAGGAAGAAAGAGGGATTTGTATCTGGTCGCTCTCAAAATTAAAAGTTTTCATTTAATATCTACACAAAATTTATAGTTTTCATTTAATATCTACACCAAATTAAAAAAAATCCCTTCCCCAAATTTCAGACTAATGTATAAAGAATAGTTCCTAATTCAGGACTCCTACAGGAAAAATTTTCAGATATTTTATATAAATGGATGAATGAAAATAATGTTCAGTGCTTTACTAAAAGTCATATGAAGTTTCTTCGTTTTAATACCTTATTTTACTAAATTAAGAATAAATTTTGATTATTGAAAGAAAATGCAGAAAAGTAAGATGGATAGATGGCAAAGCACATTAAGAATATCTGCCTATGAAAAAAATAGGTAATTTTATAGGATAAACTGGTTCATGTTACACTAGAAGTAACAAAAGTTCTCATTTTTAGATCCAGTATAAGACTGAATGATTTACAACACAAATGATGCTATGAAGACTGGAATCTTGACTAAGTGTGAAGTAATAATCATATTAAGACAACAAGTTCATCAAAGTAATTCTTATGACACCAGCTTTATACTATATAAGCTGAATAAACTGGATGACTTTCTAAGAGAAACTGGCCACTGTTCAAATAACACTGGAAGTGTTTAAAAGATACTATCTATATGCAATGCAAATTCCAATTTAATGACATTATACATGACTACGTGATGGCTAAAATCTTATACCCACAAAATGTGAAATAATATAGCATACTGAGTCACTGATTCTTCAGAGTATATGTATCCCTTTTATAACACTGTTTCCTACAATACTGTTTTGCTCTTGCATGAGAAGAAAAACTGCAGAAACTCTCATATAGCATGGTTTCATTCTAGCACATTAATGAATATGAACAAGCCCTCTTATAACATTTTATATATGCATATACTTTGATAACATGATTTTTATTCTAAACAATTACAAAATAAAGTTGCATACTATGTCATCATATGTAGGACACAATAACAATCTTTTTATTTATACACATGAAATAAATCCGTGGAAAACTAGCTGTCTAAGTCTTTGTTTGTCTTAAACTTGTTTTCCATCCTTGCTTTACTCTGATATTATTTACAGATACAGTAGATCAATTATATTACACAAAATGGATCCGTATCCATTCTATTAATCCATTAATAGACATGCCATTCATAATGGCCAAGACAACCGCATTCTCTCACACTGAAATTCTTCTTAAACTGAATCATAGCCATTATTTACATAATATATATCTTGCGTTCCAAGTGTTCAGTAAGTAGATTACATAAATTATATTATTGTAATTTTTGAAGAAACTTTAAAAAAACTTTTTGGATTTAACTTTGTTGTTTTCAGACGTAATTATTGTGAAATTATATATAAATCTCATCTGAAAGCAAGAAAACAACTTTTAAAAGAAAATTATTTCTTTGGAGGTGAAAATACAAACCTGAATCATTTTTTTAAAAGGAGAGAAAGCATCTCATCTTGCAAAGAACCTAAATTTAAATGAAGTAACAATGAGAACTTTAAAAAAAAAAAAGGAAGGGCAATTATTACAGGATCTTCAATATCTGCAAAATATGCAGCTCATCCCCATGTGCCAACTATTCAGAAAATAGAAAAGGCACTCAGCATTTTAACATTGCTATGCAAGGAAAAAAAAAAAAAAAGATTCCATAGGTCAGTAATAAATATCATTAGAGAAAATTTACAAACATCTGAAGCAATGCAGAATCTTCTGTAAAGGCACTCAGCATTTGAAGAATGTTGTGAAAAAAAAAAGATTTCATTAGCCAGTAATATCACTACAGAAAAAGCTCTAAAAGTTTACAGACATTTAAAGAATGCGGAGAATCTTTTGTAAACCCAGAGTTTGGTGAAGAGTTGATTTAAAAAAATTTTAAAAACATTTTGCAATTCACAGCATAAAAATTCAAAAAGAATCCACATGGCTAATAATGAAGCTGGCGAAACAGATCCAGAAAATATTGGTACTCTTCTGCTGCTTCGTTGAGTTTGTTAATAAAAAGTTCTTTAATGTGTGACAAAATATGAAATAGATAATAAAACAAATTCTAAATTAGGGCTTCCAGATGCCCATATTTGGTAAAGGATTACGTTATTCAAAATTTGATCGCTCTAGGTACCGTTGTTTTATCACAGTGAGAGAAACATACATACATTTATGCAGATTCTTCACTATTTAATTTCTTTAAGTATAACAGTACAGGGGCGATAATATTTGGTGGCTACAATTTGAAAAATGAAACGGACATTTAAAATTTTTGATACAAAATTCCAAAATGACATTAACAGCCCTTCTGGGCTAAAAACCAAAAGAGAAAAATATATCCAGCTTTAAGGCATCCGAAGATCACATAATGTCACTTTTGTGCAACAATGTGTGGAAGAATTAATGAAAAAGCTCTTGCTAGTTTATAAATCTTTTAATTCCCATGTGCTAAAAGCATGAATAAAAACACCTTACTAATACAATGGAGAGCAAACTCAAAAGCTTAGGTGAGAGGAGATTCAACTACAGACTGGTTTTTCAACTATTTTGTGCTGGAGTTTGAAAATTACTTTAGAAAAAAGGAGGGAAAGCTTCAAGGTGCTTTTACTACTAGATAATGCTCCAGTCCACTCACTGATATTAACACATCCTAATATCACAATAGAGTTTTTCACCACCGAACACTACTCTGCTGCTCCAACCTTTATATCAAGGTACTGTTAATACTTTTAAAACGTACTACATAAGATGATCATTTCAGTCGATTTTAGACTCGGTTGTTTCAAAATCAATTGACATAATGAAAGCTTGGAAGGAGTTTTTGATTAAAATTTGTACTAAAAACATATCACTTTTGGTAAAAAAACGAAAAAAATCAACTTTAAAGAGAAGCTATGGGTAATATCCATAGATAACTTGCTTGAATCCCTAGAAAATAGGATTCAGAGGATAACAGAATGTGTTAAATTGATTGCATGCAAAGGTGTTGTGAATACGGCCAATGAGGACATCCAAGAATTACAAATGAAGATGAAATCAACTAAGCAGATTTATCAGGAAAGGTGTCTAAAATTGTTAATCAAATTGACTTTATGAATAAGTTCTGATGAAAGTTATGAAGTTATTAATTTTACACTAAAAACATTACAGGAAAGACTTATTGAAAAATTCTGAATCATTTTATTTTTCACTGAAGACCCTTGCACTGAAAGAAGAAAATTCAAAACAGAGCTGAAAAATTGCCTTTTATACAAGATTTACTACAAACTTGAAAAGGCCAGTAAGCAAACTAAAATAACAGATATTTAAAAAGAGCAGAAGATGCAAAAATTCTTAAAGAAGAAATGAGTTCAGTGATGATTTTTTTTACCTAAAAAGTGCCCCATTCATTGCACTGAAGAATGATGAAGAAGAAATTTAAGAGCTTGAATTAAATAAGAGAAATTTTTGGTCTACTTATGTTTTTTATATCACATATGTTTATATTTTTAATAAAAATTCCTGAGTTAAAAAAAAATTGAAGATTTTGGAATGCATCCCTCAATATTGTATTGATTGTTAGTCTTGTATGACATGGTTTCATGCAACATAGTGTTTTCTAGAAACCAATCCACTGTATTATAAAAAAGATTTCAGTCATTTAATGATTTAATGAAGAACACATTAGATATCATTTATTAAAAAAGTTTGACAAAGTTAAGAGGAAATAAAACATTTTCACTTGGAATGACAAATTACAAGCCTTTGTAAACAGCCCATCTGCTCCATCAGCAGGAACTGGAATGAATATATTGATCAAGGTTCGCTTCTTTAACTGCTGTCTCCTGCAGAGTTGCTTGGTTTTCCTGTTTCTGGGGGCTATGTATGAATAACTGAAATGATGTAATACAGTTTTGCACTCTAGTGCAACCACAGTCTTGTGGCAATTTATAATGCTCCTTTAATTTTTTGAGCTTTTGTGCCCCAAGAATTTTAGCTCTATTCTATTCAATTATTGATTTTGGATGTTTTAAGAAGTATTTTGCCAAAAGTGTTATTTCTCTAGCTGTATTGGTTGGCAGATAGTCTTTACTAGTCTCTACTCTTGCACAAGGATGCAGCTGATGAAATAACATGTTGCAACTTTGTTTCAGAAATTCTAGAATGCAGGTAAAAAATATAATTTGTTAAACCTTGTTCTGGATACCCATCAACAGTTTCTAAGGACGTTCACGACCAAGTCATAATGACTGACCAACATTCAATTTTTCATGAATTAGCAAAAACATCATTGGTACACGAAACTACAACTGAAAAATTTTTGTCCATTTGTGCTTTCTGAGAAGCAGTGAAAGAAGAAAGTAGGTAATTATGTTTCTTTGTTTTGTTATTAAAAAAAATCAATCAGTTTTGGAACAAATTGTAATGAGAGATGGGAAATGGATATTGTACTGTGATATCAAGCACTGAAGGACTGTGTGTGAAGTTGCTAGGTCTTTGCCATTTATGTCAAATGAAGGACTGCATTCTCAAAAAGTTTTGCTATATGACATCCTATTCACACATACGCACACATATATAAATATATATATGAGAACAGGATGCCGACAGCATAGTTTATTGGAAGGTGCTTATATTTAATGAAATAATAAATGCTGACCTCCACAGCAGGCAGCAGGGCAGTCTAAGAAGACTGTAGGTATCTAAGCAGTCAACAACCATAGAGGCTGGTGAGTATATTATTATTTATATAAATATATATTATTATTATTTTCATGATAATGCCAGACCTCAAGTTGCCTTGATCAACCACTAAAAAAAAAAAAAAAAAAACTTTGGATTGAAATATAGAAAATTGTTAACCTTTGCCAGCTTCTTATAATCCTGCATTAACAGATTACTACCTTTTTTAATCATTAAAGAAAACCTTCTTTTTCCAAACCTCTGATGATGTAAATAAGCATTACAAGACTTGTTTTTCAATCTAAAGCAGAGCAGTTGACCATTGTGGGATAAATCATATATAGTTTCCTTTTTGTGTTCTTTGCCTTTTGCTCTTTAGAAATGAGTAGGAATTTTGTATATAACTACCAGAAGCCCAAAAATTAAAAATTAAAAAAAAAAAAAAAAAAAAAAAAAAAAAAAAATTTAACCCTTCAAACTTCTGGTAGCAGAAACATTGCCGATTATAATGTTTCACAGCTTTAAAAAGAGCAAGTACAGCATGCAGAAAAGAGCCTATATCTATATCTATCTATATATATATAATTTATTTATATTGCTTAATGAAACTTAAAACTGGGAATGCAAAATTATGATTAAAATGCTTGGCAACTTCAACATTCCTTCAATTTGCACTTTTCTTTCTCCCCCCCCTTTTTCTTTCCTAAATATTTTTGAAAAAGTTATCATTTTTTCTGATTTTTTGGGAAAAGTTTGTATTTCCTGTTATCATTTTTCAGACTTTGCAGGAATTTCCTGATATATAGAAACTCCGACACAGAAATGTTAAAAATTAAAAACAAGAGAAACAATTACACATTAAATTTACACATTTTTTTCTTATCATATTTACCTGTTGAGTTTGAATATCAGAACTTTAAAATATAAAAATCAGAATAGTTACAACAAGGGCCCATATTTGATGACATACAAATTCACTGAAAATGCCTTAAAATGGCCAGAAAATGCACTTAAAATTAAAAAAAGGGGGGGGGCTTGAAAAGTAAAAAAAGTCTCCCAAAAATAAAATGTAAAAAATGACACAATTACTAAACACTGACAACTGATTAAAAACCAAAGAATTACATATACTTGAATTTTATTTTTTTCTTCATAAAAGCACACTTGTCAAACATCTTCATGGGGTTTCTAATCTGAAAGTCTCTCTTTTAAAAATGGAAAAATCCATGGTCATAATGCTTTAAAGAAGGAAAATACTTAAAAAATGCATATGTCATCAAAATCTACACCCTGGTTATAACAATTGCATATTTATATAATGCTACCAGACAAACTACAATAATTATACATCACAGAATGTATACATAAAATTTTAATACATACAATCGCCTTCACAAATCAATGGACCAAGGTAGTATCGGCCTCTTTTTTCATCCATAGTAGTACCAGTATCGCCAAAACGTAACTGTCGTACAGGCAGAAACTCCTTCTGTGTTAAATCACCTTCATCTGACAGCCAACCTTCATTATCATATTCTGAATCGCAATTGCACCATTTACTTGGATCTTTGCATGTACCATATAGACCACAGTTACATTTTCTTGAACCGGGGAGAGATCCACCCCAGTAATCCATTTGTCGATTATTGCGACTAACCCACCAAGAAAATGGATCAAATTTTGCAGGTTCTGGAGCTAGTAAAATTAATAAACTAAATTATAGAACCTGTGAAAAATAGATGGGAAAACTGCAAAATTAGCTTACAAAAAATAATAAGTAAATTTTAGAGGTATTTTTTAGTTGAAATTTAGCAACTACTTGATTATCACATAGGGGCCTAAGGGGTCTCGGGACTGGGTAAGGCTCAGCAGGGACCATACTGGTACTGCCTTGTCAGCTCTTGCTCTGTGGAGTCGAAACATTGTAGATTGATCAGTGGGTGGGGTGGCATTAATCCCATTTGGCCAGAATCCTTAGGTCAGGAGCCCCCTACTCCAAGCATTTGTGTAGTTAAACAAATGAGCCAGAAAATCATTGAGTACAACTCACTCTACATAGTGAGACCTCCTCAAAACAAACAATTTTAAGTGATTTTGGTCACTTTACAATGGCCATTTTAGAGTGCATGATTATCACTGGTGTTCAGTGCCATTACTAATTATGCTGCCAAAAATACTGATCACTCTGTGATGATGAATTTAACATGTGATTACTATGAGAATTTCACTTCACATTACATACTTTAAACACAGGACAAAAGTGTTAAAAAAAATCGAATTGAGTTTTATATCATGTAACACTAACTGCATTTCTAGAATAGATGACAATTTATTTTTAAACATTAACAATAATAAGCGTGCAGTTGTTTGTGTTGTTAAACACCCCCTCGCCGGGAGTTGACTCAGGCGAATGCCTGGAAAGTACTAGTTAGGATCTGTACCTAGGCAGTCTCAACCACGGGGGTATATAATCACTCTTCACAGAAGGCCTAAGGGGTCTCGGGACTGGGTAAGGCTCAGCAGGGACCATACTGGTACTGCCCTTGTCAGCTCTTGCTCTGTGGAGTCGAAACATTGTAGATTGATCAGTGGGTGGGGTGGCATTAATCCCATTTGGCCAGAATCCTTAGGTCAGGAGCCCCCTACTCCAAGCATTGTGTAGTTAAACAAATGAGCCAGAAAATCATTGAGTACAACTCACTCTACATTTAAAATTCCTGCAAAGGTAGTTTGGGCTGTTACCTGAACAATTTATGTATAAGGGAGATTTAGGGCTTATCAAAAAAGAAATGCATAAAATATAATTCAATGTTTTTTTCTTTTAAAAAAAGTTCTACTTATCAAATATTTTAACTAAGTTAAAAATATTTGACTTAAAAAGAAAAGTTAATAAAAATCTTTAACGCCTTTCTACGAGATGAAATATTCAATCCTATTACTCAAAGATACCAGTTTTATCAAGGATATCAGATATCAGGTTCAGTAAAGACAAGTTTTACAGCACAGTAAAAGCCCAGTAAAAGCCCAGCACTCAACTAAAACGAAAACTCAAGTAAAATTGTGCTTTAGAATTTTAGAAAAATCTCCCCCCCCCAAAAAAAAAAATCTAATAAATGCGAGATTTTAATGCCATTATAGAGCTTGTAATATTATTAATACATATACATTGTTGCCAAACAGTAAGATTTAGCGGCAATAATGGATAAACATGATGTCACAGCACAATCAAAAGAAGTTCTTTTGGGTTTAACATAAATTTGATTCATTCTCGATAAGTCAGTTTTTGTAAAGAAAGACATAAATTCTGTTTTTTTCCTCACACTTTTAAAGTCTGATTAATATTTTGGACTGCATGAAGTAAAGTATTTTGAAAGTTACAGAAGTAGGGTAACCAAAAAAAGCTACGATATAAAACGATGGTGATGTCATGTGAAAAATTATGATAAGCGATTTAAGTTTTTTATATCCTACATCTGTAATTTGTGTTCTTTGTTATATAATAGTATAAAGAATGATCTGTTTATTTAAATTTCTACCAGGAATGACTAGCGACATCTCTGCCAACTTTCATGTTCATCGAGATTTCATAATAATTGAAATACATTGGCTTTTATGACTGATTTTTTTTTTTTTTTTTTTTAAACTCATTGGATCCTTCACTCTTATTCTATATTTGGCTCCTTTCTCAGGCTTACAACAATGCCTCCACTCAGGCTTGAACTAAAAATAAGAACTAAACTGTTACTAACTAAGAGACTTAACCCAGGCTAAGACAAATATCTAACGTAGTTGGCCCTTAATTTAAACTAGTCGGCGAATATCAAAAGGCATGTGCTATACGGCCGTGCGTAACAGCTTCAAGACAGATTTAGCCCAAAAGCAAACACGCGCTACTCAGGATTCTTATATCTCTCTCTCCCGAAGTAAGTTGAACCTTAAGTACTGCTTCTAACTCATTTGCATTCAACACGATTCTAAAAACTCATTCTGGTAGGGAGTTGTAAGTGGAAACAAGAATTGAAAGGAGAGGACTCTGAAATTAAAATAACTGTTATAAAATTAAAATATACCTTAAAATTTGATATAATTTTAAACATAATCTTTTGATATTCAAGTTGGAGCAAATAAGATGATTGTTTTCATAATTTTAAAGCAGAAATCTTTTTCATTATTTTGGTTCTAACATGAATTCTATTTTTTATACCATTTTTCTAAAATCTAACAAAGACCACAAATTGTAAATATTGTATTAAGGAATAATATTCTGAAAAAATAAATAAAAACAACAAATTACACACTGTTTAAATTTAGAGTTTTAAATTTCAGAAAATTATTAAAATTTATTTGTATCTTTTAATAAAGACTATAACAGATTTAAAAACATAAATTTTAGAAAGTACCTGCTGAACCAAATAATCGAGCTTTGTAACACTCATATCGCAAATTCTGGCGGCAGTTGTATGAGCGGTTTACAAGTTGTATAATTTGCTCCATTTCAGCATTATATATAATGTTCTGGATAAAACTGCCTGGTTTGCTAAATCCTTTTACATCTGTAGGTCTTTCATTCTTGTGGTGGAGTATTGTAACGGCTGGCCCTTCAACTAGATAAATAAAAGAATTACACATAAAAATTAAACAAGCTGTAAAGAGAACAGCTATAATTCTATTAATATCAGGATATCACCAGCATTAAAATGCATACAAATTTTACTTAACGTAACTTATTCCTTATTGGTGTTGCATTTAATATATATATATATTTTTCTCTCTCAATTTCAGTTTTCCCCCTTTTAAATACTGCAATTTAAAATTTAATTTTCTTCCTTTTATTTTCTATTTATTTATTTTGAGGGGGGCAGTTGGGAAAGTTTGGATGTTGGAAATCGGAGATGGAGACTTTGGACTCTGTTTTGTATTTCAATTAATTATTTTCAGTCTACATTGGCATTAAAAATATTTTGCGATTTGGATTTTTACTTGCAGAACCCCCCAAAGGAGTTCAAGGAACTTCAAGGTTCCACATAACACAATTTAATGACCAGTAGCATAAACCATTAAAAAAAGTAAGCTGATGCTGCTCATGTAACTAATTGTATGTTGCAAACCATTTTTAGACTTAATAAAAACCATTGTTAGACTTAAATAAACATATGCAATGAACTGAATGATGACAAATTTTCAAATCTGAAGTGAAAAAATTCTAATGATGATAAACTTAGTAGTAATTTATTTCCACCTAAAGGCACTGCAGCAGAGTTAGAAGTATATTAAAACAGCTTCCCATATTGCAAGAAAATTGTATTAGTATTCGTATTTTTATTCACCAGTAGCTGAATATTTACGCAGACTAAATACCAACAGTTCGATTTAAGTTCAAATTCTGGCAAATAACTTGGTTCTACATTGCTTTTTCCAAGTGCTTTGTGAATATGAATCACTTTTCCTCACAAAGTCCTTCAAACATTTTTTTAATTAGGCAAAAGGTTTTGCAGCTTTGCTATACTCAATTCAGTAAATATTTTCATTTACTACTGCCAGCATAAAATATGAGAATAGTATACATGCAGAAAATTTGTACAACCTCTTACAAACTGAAATGTTTTTACAGCAATTCAGAAAATAAATATAGAGCTGAAGATAGTAACAAAAATAAATAAATAAAAGCCAACTTCAGCTTTTCATTTCAATGGTTGTTCTAAACTGTTTTATCGAATTGTGAAATATCATCACAATTTTACAAAATTAGTATTATAATTAAAAACATGGACAGTGTTCATACCTGTAATTTTTCTACTGTTTAAATAATAAAAAACCAGTTAAATGAACTGGTGACTATTTGAACATTTTATCCATATAAAGTAGCCAAATGCTTGAAGCCTTGATAGAATTGCAGTGTACTTTAAAATTATACTTGCAAAATTTCAAAAAGTGGTTACCATATTGTTCTGGAAATCAACTATTTATAACAGTGTCAAACAATGGAAATCCATTACAACATAAAAAGGCATTGTTTTTGGTAATAAACAAATGCAATTTCCAGACACTATTAAAATTGATGAACTAGGTCACATAACTGAGAAATTAATACAAAAGAAAAAGGCATACACATTACAGTAAATCAATCAGTATCCATATACAGGACTACTGAAGCCTTACTGCACATGAAATGTTCAGCAGATCTTTAATAAAAACCAAAAAGATTCCATTGAAAAGATAGTGCTGATCTTGCATTTTTATAATACTTCAAAAACTTAAAAATTACATTTGTATTTTTATAGAATAAATTTAAATGTGCTATTTATTTAGATACAGAATAAAGCATAAAGTAAATTTTATGTTTAATTTTTGAATTAGTTTCCTTTTGGCAGTGATCTAGAATAATCATCATTATTGTTATAATAAATGCAAGAATAAGATAAGACAGTATTGATTTCATACATGGATATTCACAGGTAACTGGGAAGTATTTTAAAGGCCCACTTCCATCAATGTCAATATTTATATCCGCTCTCCTACTTTTAGGATGAGATAATTTATAAGCTTCACAGGATAACTGGTTTACAGCTGTAAAAAAAAAAAGAAAAAAAAAAAAAAAAAAATCATCGTAAATGAATTCTTTATTCTGATGAGTATGAAAAAATAAAGAAGCAGCAACTGATAAAAACTTACGAATATGGCAAACTGCACCAGTATATCCAGTTTTTTCACAATCACACTTAAATTCTTCCCAGTTCTGTTTACACACACCACCATGTTCACAGGGATTAGGATTACAGCTACAGCAAATCCAAAAATGAATTTTTTAATACAAATTCATGAAATAAATAAAGGAGCAAAAGAATATTTAGTGCAAAATTTATTTACACTGCACATAAGATTTTAAGTATTTTGAATGTCTGAACTTCCTATTATTGTTCATTTGTAACTGGAACATTTATATAACTTAATGTATATGACAGCATTTGTAAATTTAATGATAATACCCAAATAAGAAATACATTTGTATAACCATGTAACAAACATATTAAGTACTATAACCATCAATTCAGATTAGCACATAATTTTCACATTAGTAAACTTAAGCATTCAAAAATGAAAACATATTTAATAATATTGAGAGAAGCTTTTATAATCTCTGTGGGAATATATTAGGTTTAATCAAACAAAAAGGTCACAACAACCCCAAAATATTTTCCTATCACAACACAGAGTAACCAATCATTTTCAAATGTAACCTTGACCTTACCAGATGTTAGCAGAAAGAAACAGATTCCTGACATTACTTTATAAGGAATGACTACACACAATAATTCAATATGTAGTACTGATTGAGTTCCAGCTGGACAAACATACCTGACAAGTATGCTACTTGAAAACAGCATTTTAACTGCAAATTTTTTCAATAAATGGAAGGCATGAGGTCATTTGCATTTTATGAACCAAAAGCAAGAAGCCAATCAGCATTAACAGAAGAATAGTTGCAATAAACAGTAAGCCTCGTTAAAATCAAGACCTTTGTGGTAAAAATAATTCATTCTAACTGGAGACTATTAATTTTATTTTTGGAATCATTTTTCTTCACACATTAACCATTTACAGTATATAGTTACACACTTAGTACAATCTATTGCATGTCATTACAAAAAACACTACAATAATACATTAATTACAAACTTGAAAAAAATGAAATCACACATCAATTTTAGATGAACGGTTCCTGTATACTATGCTGTCGCAGGCAGGAATGAAAATGTCTGGAATTTCACAACCAACAGTACTCATGGCTTCCATAAAACTAGAACTGAATTCAGATATTGCAGCAAAACATTCTACAAAGGCATGTAACTTTTCGTAACAAGTATGCAGAATGGCACTTCTCTTCTGATGATATTTCTTGGATGTGAGACACAATTGTTTGCATAGCAGCACGCACAGCAACACCATCATCTGCACTAACAAACTCCTCAAAACTAATACCAGGGTTACATATTGCAGACTATTTCTTTCTTTTGTCAGGTGAAGTGGTATCGTTATCATAATCTAATTCATCAACAGGATTAGTACCTTCAAGCCTCCAAATTCTGCTAAAACAGTTCTGTATGTGTTCCGATGACATGGAGAATAGTTTCCATGATTTCCATGGTGCTGTGATAGCTTTAATTGTATCAAGCACACTCCAAGTTGGTGTTCCATCCCCTTTTCAGCAATGCGAATTCCAGCTCCTACATGTCGCTTACAGCAAGACCTCTTCATAACTGCAATAAGGGCCTTGATCCAAATATTGAAGATGACTTGTTACATTTGTGGGATGGAGAGTGAACCTTTACAGTGGTTAAGTTCAGATCATGTATGTTATAGGCTGTACACCTGCTCAATGACATAAGTATATGGCTAGTCTGAGCCACCATTCAATAATTAAATAGAAGATGCCAATTACAAAATGATGAGCTGCCAATCAAAGCTTTCTTATGGTGCCTTGAACCAAAGGTTGAAGATGACTTGTTACATTTGGGGGGGAGTCATGCATGTTATGGGCTGTACACCTGCTCAGTGTCATTAAGTGTCAAGCCTATAAGCTTGGTATCATGCCTATTCTGAGCCACTACTCAACTATTAAAACAAAGATGTCAATTACAAAATGATGAGCTGCCGATCCACGCTTTCTTATGGTGAAAGTAAATAGATGCAAGGTTTCACTAGGTTACCACTATTTATGTTTTTTAAATAATGAGATTTCTTAGACTTATGGATCTTTAAAGGACAGTATTTATTGTTGAGTTAATGTTCTATTTTTGTTTTCTCCTCATGCAAATTAGATCAGAGGTCAATCCAGCAATAAACTACCATGGTTGCCATAGATGATGTAGTATTATTGTCTTATTGCCTATGTTGTGCATTGACATGCCGGAATTATGAACGCCAGATTTACTGATTTTCTTTTCTTGTAAAGGCTACTGTTGCAGCCTAAGTTACGTTATGAAATAAATATTAGTTTTATTTTAGATTAGTCCCGGTCTTTATTTAAGCAAGGCAAAGTATGCTTTTGCACCAACACCAACGGGTTACGGGCCCAGTTCAACTTTGTATGGAAGAAATATAAGGGAAGAGGGCCATTATCTAAGAAAAGAAGCTGAAGTTTTTTAAAAGTTGGTCAAGCTGTTGTGTTCATGAGTAACTAAGATGTGATTACTACCAGAAGGGTTTGAATTGTTGAACCATGACAACTGGGTCTGACAGAAAGTCGACATTAAGATGCTGCTGCTAGACAGATATTGCTGGAGCTTCATAGAAGGTAAAGAAGGAGAACTGGATAAAAGTGCAACACAGCATGACAAGCAGGATTTCATGTTGAGAGAAAATACCGCCTTCACTTAAGTTATATTATGGAATTAAAACTAAGTTCAGGCCATTGATACAAAAATGTTCAAGTGGTAAAGAAGCATGAGAGGTTCTACAGAAGCAATATGAACCAAAAACAAGAACAAGATCCAGCTTCTGGACGAATTTTTCAGCATTAGATATGAATGGGATGAAGAAATCAGGCTATTCATCGCAAGGATAAAAATGACTGCAAAGAGGTGGACACAACTTAGTGGATCTTTTTAAAAGGTTTCAGACAATTCGGAGGTTATCACAGCAATACACTAGGACTATGCAGTTGATTTATAGGTGGAAGGACAAGGATTTTACGACAGAAAAAATTGTCGAAGAAATGGTAAGGGAAGAAGGTCAACTTAGCCAGTTACAGGCGAATGTAGAAGACATCAAGGTACGTGTATTCAATACTATTATCATAAATGCAGGGAAAGTAGGCAAGTTGAAAGTAAAACTAAATATAAGGAAAAAGTGGGGAGTACAAAGATAGGATCTCATTATAGATGTAATAAAAGTTGACACTTAATTTCTCCCTGTAACGAAAATTTAAGTAAAAATCAGAAGTTTAAAATAGATGATAAAAAAGGGCAGTTTAAAGATAAAGAGTTAATGTTAGTAGAAAGCTATGTGTCAACTACAAATTAAGGAAGTAATTCAGATCAATTTAATTGGGTCATATATATGGCAGCTACAACTCATTTCTGTAATGATAAAACTTTGAGGAAATAAATGATGTATATGTCTTTAGCTGTAGGAAATTTTGAAAGTACTAAGAAAAGGTACCATTAAATTTGCAGCAAGAGTAGGCAACAGAATAAATTGGATTCAGTTAGAAAATGTGTTGTATAATCCAAATCTAAAAAGAAATTTACTATTGGGAGCAAGGTTAGCAAAAGCAGGTGCCCATAGTTATAGGTTTAAACAGGAAGATACGGATATATTCTAATAAATGGGATAGATTATGTTACACAAAACAATATGACATACTCTATCACGTAAAACCACTTGAATATGCAACACATAAAAAGGAAGCTGGCAACAATACGAAACCTGGAAATCTAAATAAAGTAGACAATGCAAAGCTATGGCATCGAAGATTTTGCCATTAAATTTTGATTAGATAAAGAATACTAGTAAAAATCAAAGTGTGAAATAAAACAATACATTTCCCATATGAGCAATATTTTCGGCTGTAACTTTAAACTGAACTTGTTGAGACATCCCACAACATTTGCAGCAAATACCAATTTTCATAGCCATTCACTTTTCAACAATAAAGGATGTGAAAAATTTTTCTCATTAAAAAAAAAAAAAAAAAAAAAAAAATTGATTTCTCTCAGTTTGAAGAATCTCAACAAAACATTTTTATTGCTGAGCCATCGAACAGCTGTATGATGAGGCAGGTCAGGATGTTCAGCTTTGATGTCTAAAAAAACATTCATGAAAATAGTGGTGGTTAAGTCCATGACAGTAAATTAGGTTTATTACTGATACAACTGGTTCAATAACACATGATAGACTGAGGTGTTTCCCACAAAGAGCTTGCTAGTGAATAATACAGTGAATTACCAGAAGTTTTAAACATTTAGCATCTTTACAAACCTTAAAAATTTGTCCAACTAATTTTTTTGCCGTTCCAGATATATTTTTTCCACCAGTTCTACCACATTTTAACAGATTTCATTTCAAATTGTATTGTATTAGAACTTTTTCGACTTCTTTAAAGATATCTCCACCTGTAGTTCTTTCACATAGACTAGTTATAAAAGTTAATTCTTCAATAACCTCAACTACAGGACCGAATCGAATACATACCAGAAATTGGACAGTATCAGTAATATCTATCAACTCATCAAGAGCCAAAGAAAACTGTCTCAAATTTTTTGCTTGCCTTTTGATGGACTCTTGATGTAGTTCCCAATATTTTCAAGTCTTCAAACAGTTGTCCTCACTGAAAGATTAACAGACTGAAGTATATCTATTTCTTCTAGGCACATTTCTTCAGCTGCCACAAGCAAACATAATTTTATTAATTCACAATTGGTAACTGGTTCTAACTGCTGCAGCTAATTATATATTTATATAAATAAGATCATTCATTAAACATAATTATGTATTATAAGTTTGTTGAATATGAATAATAAATCCATGAAGCAATTTGGATAATTATAGAAAAATTTAAATAAATGTAAAAAATAAATCTCGCAAAGAAAATGCAAATGCTTATTTAAAAATAACTATTTTACTATTCAGTATTTTTATAATTTTGAGGAGAATCATCCCAATCATCAAATTCAGATCAAATCACTCCAATTTAAATGATAATATTGAAAACATACCGATCAGCCATTTGACAAGCATCAAGAGCTACATTATTTCTTCGGTGTTCAGGTAAACTGGTAACAGCTATAGAATGACCTTCTATTTGAATATATCTCATACATCCAACAAATCCTTTAGAACCATACAAACCACCTAAAATGGAAAAAGGATTATTTTTTAAAGAAATTTTATTATTATGTACAAACTAGTACATTTAAAAGGAATAATTAAATTGTTTAATAAAACAAATATATTCCACGACTTGTTTTATTTGGCACTCACCTCCAACAAGATATTCATCTCCAGTTAGCATAGAAAACTGCCTAGTAGTAATACTTGGTTTTTCATCAACATGCAGCTCAATCCTATTTGTCTGCAATATTAACATTGTTCTATGCCACAAACCATCACTTAAATATCCTAAAAGAAGCACATATAATTCATTTGGATGAGAAAGTCTCATTGAATTGCATGAGCATTCATTGAATTTATCTCATTGAATTGCATGAGCAAAAAACTTTAGATAAGCCATTTGAGGAAAATGCTTATCTAAAGTTTTTTGCTCATGCAATTCAATGAGATAAATGCAAAGCTACATCTTGAAGATTTTCATTATTAAATAAGTGAACAAATCTTCACATAGCATTTATTTATGATGAAATGATATCATAGCATTTTTTTCCTATGATTAAATTTTGACACTTTGAACAGCTCATTTAAATTTGTAAGATTTTATGTTCAAACTCTTAAATAAATATAGAATTAATTCTTAAATGTATGGCATAGCTTCAAACTTTTTAAGTGTTAAACTGAAATCTGCACAAACAGATCAAATTGCCAGTTCATTTTAATCTCATAATTTTCACTTAAATTTTTTTAATGCCTTGATACAACGGTAAACTTTTTAACTATTATTCAAAATTTTTAAAATTGCAATTTCTTGTTATGCTATTTTCATTTACGGATTTTATTTTTTACATGAAATAGAAATATCTGAATAATCTGCATTAATGTACCATATCCAAAAGGTTAAAGTGTGATTCAAATACATTATGTATACATCAAGAATCAAACAGTGCTTGTCTCATGCTTATGAAACACACACATATACGATGAAATGTTTCATCATCCATGAAAGTAAATCAAATCCATGAATGTAATGACTTGCTCATTATGAGAAAATCATGAGTAACTTAGAAAAAAGCATGATCATTAACTACAAGGGCGAGTCAAATGAAAGTGAGCCAATGCGAATATATGACAAACAGAGTACTTTATTTAAAGGTAGTCTCCATGAACATTGAGACATTTATCCCATTGACAAATGAGCCATGTGATCCCCGTCTCATAAAACTCCTTGGGCTGTCGATTCAAAAAGTCTGTAACCGACTCCTTCACGGCGTCGTCCGACACGAATCTGGTACCCTTGAGATGTTTTTTCAGTTTCCCGAAAATGTGAAAGTCGCATGGCGACAAATCTGGGCTGTATGGAGGATGTTGCAGCGTGTCCCACTTAAACTTTGCCAGTTGTGTCTTTAACCACATCAGCGACGTGGGGACAAGCATTGTCATGTAGCAAGATCACACCATTCGTCAATCTTCCAGGTTGTTTGTTCTTGATTGCGACACGCAGCCGATCCAGCGTTGCACAATATCGCGAACTATTGATAGTCTCTCCATGTTTAGCAAATTCAATCAGTAATGGCCCCTGAAGATCGAAATAAAAAGTCAATAGCACCTTTCCCGAGGAAATGACAGCCTTTGCTTTCTTCGGGGGGGGGGGGGGGGGTGAAGGTGAATTCAAATGTTTCCACTGTAAGCTTTGCCGGCGTGTTTCAGGTTGGTAGTGGTGACACCATGATTCGTCTCCGGTCACAATTGCAGACAAGAAGTCGTCACCCTCATTGTGATACCGGATGAGATGAGTCAATCAGCGCCGAACCTCTCCGTCTTCTGGCGGTCGTTCAAAATTTTGGGCATCCATTGAGCACACAAAAGCCGATAACTGAGATAATCATGAATTATGGTGTGAACCGAACCGTGACTGATGTTCACACGCTCTGCCAGTTCATCGATGCTTATCCTCCGTTCTTGTCTAATCAGCTCATCAACCTGTGCAATTGTGTCGGGGGTGATTGCAAGGTGGCTTTGGCCCGGTCTTGGATCGTCTTTGCAACTTTCACGTCCTTCTCTGAACCGTTTGCTCCAACGCTTCACAGTGGCCAATGCGATGCAATGTTCACCGTACACAGCAGTCATACGGCGACTAATTTCATGTTGGGAAACACCTTCAGCTGTCAAAAACCTGACCACACCCCGCTGTTCCCCTTTTGGAGCATCCATTATGTCACGCTACCGTCTTCAACCCAGTGTAAGAGCGCTTTAAAGAACTTTAGCCTCACACTTTCGCGCCACTTTCGTAAATGAAGGCTGTCTCTGTGCTACGCGCATGCGCCGCAGATGATGGACCGAACCATTCTTGCTGAGGAGGGGTTGGCTCACTTTCATTTGACTCGCCCTTATACAAAGTTAAGATTGCTACCATTAAAGAACTTTGTGAAAAGCATACATGCTGCAAAGCTGAAAATGTTCCCCAACTTAAAGAATGAAATGAATTGATATATTAGTTGTAGAACCTATAGATGAGCGTCAGAGACATGCTTGGTTATGGTAATTAATTAGTTACTTGGATCAATAATCTAACTAAAACAAGGTGGTGCCAGCAAGGATTAACAAGAAGGTGCCAGCATAATCAGAAATGTATCCTATTGCACAGTGTTAATACCATAAGTGCACTACTCGAAGTAAGACCCAAATACTACTCAAATTACCCAAAACTTTTTGGGACCAAAGGATCTTCCCAAAACATCACAGTTTTGAATCCACTGATTAAATGGAATACAGTTTATCAGGCATGAACTTTCAACAGACGCTTAGATATAACTGCAGAATACAAGTAGGCTAAAATCAGAATTCCGTACCGGAAAAAGTTTTCAAGGCATTGCTTGTATCTAGCGATTCCCACTAGAGGATCCTGTCTCTAGATTGCTAGAAATCAGATGCACCCATGAAGGACAAAAAGAATGGACATGCTCCTGGAGAATAATAATACTCCTAAGCACAATAAGGCACCTGAAATACCTGTCATAATACCTGAAATATCTATGAATGGTTTGAGGAGTAAGAGTTTATGCTCTTGGTTATCTAATATTTTAAGTATCCCAACTAAACACATGCGAGACTACTTCAATTGATTTATGAGTTGATGAATTTTTTACTAACAGAGTCTCCAAGATGCACCCCAGATAGATAGGTCACAGATATCAGCAGCAAATTTTTACCAACTTACTGAGTCTCCTTCATGAAAAATGACTACAATATTCATTGTGTCACTGCATATTCTGAATATTAGATACATGGTCATAATGATATGACTGAACCCTGTATAAATTAATAGTCCATTCTGCTTTTGATATAATTGGTCATATCTTCAAAAAATCAATTTTTCTTCTTTAAAGGTCCAGTATTCTAACAAAATATTCAACATAAATAATTCTTTCACTACATGCTATAAGTATTAATCCATTCTGACCTATTCTCAAGCTGATGAATAATCCTTTATAATTGTTTGATCATTATGGGAAGAAAAATTATATTTATCCAGAAAAGCACGATCACACTAAGCTTTAACACTAAAACTAAATAAACATTTTACACATTTCAGGTTAGTTGTTTATTTTATGACAGCAATGACATAAGAGCCTTTTCCTTATGCTTAATAATTACAGGATAATTTTTATTGGTAATAATTATATACTGGTGCAGCATAACAGAATAATTGAAATCTTATCAATGACATTTAAAGCATTAAAACTTTATTCATATAAATAACAATATATTCTCATATACAATTCATTAGTACTGAAATCTAGCTATTACAGAATATCTTTGAAATTACAAATAAATTTGAGATGAAAAATACTAAAACTCATTTCACATATCCAAGAATAACTAATAAATTTTTCTTGCTACTTCTATGCATACCTCTGATCAGATACTTTGAATTTAGAAATGTTCAGCATTTAATTGGTCCTTTTAAACTTATAACGATTGAAAAATGTTTCCCAAAGTCATTAATTCACTATTGATATATTTCTAACAATCTTTTTTTTTACAAAATGTATAAATTAAGCAAATCTTAAAACAAGTTAAGATTTAGCTAACTAAGAATCAATTTGCATATTTTATGCACATTTGATATAAAAAATTACATTTTGAACAATTGAAACTATAAAAATTGAGAGCAATTTTAATTGACAAAATCATTACTTGCAACAATAACATGCACTTCGCTATGTGTTTTACAGCTAGACTTTCTGTAATTCATCAAAATAACAGCTAAATAAAAATCAAATGTGGAAAAACTCAGAGCAGAAAACAGAAAGAAATACAGAAATGTTAGAAAATAACTGCTTTCAAAATCAGCAATTAGTTTTTTTTTAAAAAATCAATTTCAGTAAGCTGTTACACCTGATTAAAAAAAAACCATAAATAAAGATGAAATAAAGGAAATGATCAAGAATAGGAGCTAATCGGAATTATTATCCCCAAAGCACAGTTCAAAACTGCAACTAATGAAGGCTCTGCCTTACCAGTCAGCCTCACAAGTTTCAGAGATCTAACAGAATAGTTTATTGAGAGGTTTACTAGGATAAAAAATAAAAATTCTCTACATTGATTTAAAAAATAATTAGTCTGAAAAAGTCTTACAAAATTCATTTTATAAAATCTAGCGAATCAGGTTACAATCAGAACTAACAATAGGAAAATACTAGTTTAATATAAGAAGGTAATCAATAACTGGCAAATACTAATACCAAATACATAAGAGTAAAAAAAATTCCAAAAGCAAAGGATTATTAGTTGACTTGGAATATTTTGACAATGTTTTATTACGCACATTAAAAGATATAAAATAAAATAGTAAAATATAATAGATTTTTACACTGAACAGTTACAAACAGTATTCAGAGTACAATTAACAGCATTCAATGTACTATTCTTCTTAAGAATACACAAACCTATTTTAATGCATTCATTGGGGTGGGAAGCAAAATGGGTAATACCTTCAACCACACTTAATCACTTGTGATTAAACATTCCATACTTATTTACTTTTATGCATCTTCTCCTTCTGCCAAAACAAAATCATACTTTTGTGAAGAAGTTCACAGATAAACAGATCAGAATGTAATCAAAATAAACAGATAAAACTTACTTTCTGACGGTTCTGTAATTACTTTAGGTGTGTTCACACTTTGGATTTCAAGTTTGATTTTGCCTTTTTGAAGATAAAGCTACATAAGAGTAAATTTCAATGCAATTATACAAAAAGAAACTTGAAAAATATCACAACTGGTGTTTATTTTCAAAAATTAGCTTCTCATAAATATTATATAAAATACTTAAAAGCCTATAATTTTATTACATAATATGTAAAAATATTTAGTTTTGGATCTATGAAAAGATTCTTAATAAAATTTGATTTCAACATCTTTAAAAGAGTATTATGTCTAGATAAAACATCTTCAGTATGTAAACCACAATTAACAACTGCTGTTTTATATGTGAATTAATGATCCACCAATGTCCGAATGTATAAGACTATTAAATGTTGGTAGTCAACATGGGTTTGAATACTAATAAATGAGTTAGTAATATAGGCATTTCTTTAGTTTCCACTTTGTGTAAATGTGATTGAGTCATTTTCCCTCAGAAAGTGGCCACAAATCCATCCCTCTTCTATATAGTTAGCCTTTGAATGTCTTGCCCTAATCAATTAAACAGATATGAATCAATACACCTAAGATTATATGCCATAACTCCAACTAGTGCAAATTTATGTAAATTAACTGAATGATTTTTTATAAGTAATTACTAAAGTCATCTTTGCTATACACAATAAAAATTATGATAATCTTTCTATATAGAGTTTATATGCAAAATTAGTAAACATGCTCTTTTGAGACAGGAAAAGTTACATTTAAACTAAACTTTTTAAGCATAATGTGAAGCTTTATTAATAAACAAATTCACTTCAAAAACCTCATTAAAAATAAAAGCAATGTGAAAACTTCTAGAACAGCAATTACATTAATCCCTTAGCCCCCCTCCCAAAAAAGTATATTTTAATTGCAAAATATAGCTACTTTGCTCTTTGTCACGCAGTTTTGATTTTATTGAAAATAATTTTGATAATTAAACTGATCAAAAACATCACTAAATTATTAAAAATTATAAAAACTGTTGCATATTCTTGATGAAAATTTTAATTGAGATAAGCAATAGATTTAATCATCCATGGAGAATGAATATGTAGTATTTCATTCAACAATATACCCACAAAACCTTTTAAGTATATAAATATGCATGCATATTATAATGTTCAAATACCATGGAGGCAGCATATGATAGGGGGAGGAATCGAGCAAAAGGTGAAAAGGATATTTTTAAACATTACTCATACAATATTTATTTCACATGAGCGTTCTGAGGATTTTACATTTTCACAAGCAAATTCTTGGGCAGTAAGAAAACATATTTTGCTATATGTACATGTTTCAAATAAAACAAGCGACTTTTGAAAAAATATCTCATTTAGCAACTAATTGCTAATAATGGTTTTAGTTAAATGGTTTAGTTAAATACAAACACAGTAAACAACAGAATCTTAAGTTTTACTAATGCTGCCTTATGGCATAAAATATTAAAATTTACTGCATAAATATATATTTTGAAAAAAAATTAAAATTAAAATACATAAATACTGCTCTTTTTTTAAAATTATATAGTACTGTCATTACAGCATTTACAAAATGTATTTTCATTATGATGTAAATTATTCTGGAACGGTATTCTAAAATCTTCAGGTATTTCAAGCTTAATTTTTTGTCAATAATTAACTATTGCAATAACTTTGCCTTTAACTTAAATAACATACATATAGTATGTTACATATGAGAACGTATGAGAAGACAGAAAGGCGCAAAGTTAGCATAAAAAAGATTTGACTTTAAATTGTACCATATTTAGCACTAAGTCAGCATAAAAACCCCTCAAGTTTAAAAACAATTAATTACTGTATTTTCTTACATAGCTCCTCTTCTTTAATAATTTTACTTCTTTAAACACAAGACAATTACATGGTGATTACCAAGAGTGGGCAAAAGCACACCGGCAAACTGAATGTGGCTCTTTTAATTGCATAATCCACTCCATTATGAAATCATATGCAATGACATTTTCATCTCTTTCTTCCCAAATTTTACATAAGCTATTGAAATCGGTAACAAAGGTGTCTATCAAGAGTGCTTAACAAGAGTGTATATGTGCTTATATATATATAAATAACTGTACTAGTGGTAAACCTAAGCTGAGAACACCAGATATGCCAAAAAGCATGTGCATCTATTAAATAAAGAATATAGTTCAGCGATTTCTATTCAGTGCACAAATAAGTCTCCACCATTTGACAAAGAATGGGGCCACCAGTAAGTCTGGATTAAAACTGCCTTATGTAAAATGTCATATCATTATGATTGTACATCTGCTACTAAAACATTCTTCAAATGCTAGTGATTTTGTATCAGATTCACCATATTTTTTTTTTCGTGTGAAAATGTCAAGTTTTGAGCCAAATAAGTTTCCTTTGTGAAAACTTTTGTTTTATTTCTTTAATTTGAAGAAATCTGAGATAAATAAGGTGAGGCTGCCTTATGTAAGAGAAGTTATTATGAGTGGTTTCAAAAGTTTAGGAATGGTGAATTCGATACTGAAGACAAATAATGTAGTGGAAGGCCAAAAGTATACGAAGGTGTGGAATTGGAAGCATTATTGAATGAAGATTCAATGCCAAATGCAAGTAAAATTTGCATTAGGAGTGACTCAAGCAATTTCACATCATTCGAAATCATTGGGAATGATTCAAAAGCAAGGAAATTGGGTTCCATGTGAAGTGATGCCAAGAAACGTTGAACACCAATTTTTTTACATGTGAAAAGCTGCTTGCCAGGCATAAGCATAAGGTTTCTTACACTGTATAGTCATTGGTGATGAAAATCAGATTCACTACAATAATGCAAAGGAGAAAAGATCATGGGGACCATCTGACCATGCTTCAACGTTGACAGCCAAGTCAAATATTCAAGGGGGGGGGAAATCATGTTTCATATATGATGGGATAAATTTGGTGTTGTGTATTACGAGTTGCTGAAACTGAATGAAACCATTACCAGGGTTCTCAATGAAACACAACTAATGAAACTGAGTTGAGCACTCGATGAAAAATATACTCGGTACTATTCCAGACACAATAAAATTATTGTCCTGCATGATTATGCTCGTCCACATATCGCAGTGCTGGTCGAAACCTACTCAGAAACACTCAAATGGGAAGTTTTCCTCCTCCCACTGTATCCACCAGATATTGCTCCTTCTTATCATTACTTGTTTCAATTGATGATGCACAGTCTGTCTCAGTAGTGCCTTTAAGTCATATGAAGATACTAAAAATTGGGTAGATTCATGGATAGTCTCAAAAGATGAAGCAGTCTTCCAACGTGGTATCCGTATGCTGCCAGAAAGGTATGAAGAAGTAGTGGCTAATGATGGAGAATACTTTGAATAAAACATAAAATACCATTCTTTCACAATAAATGCACAATTTTTTATCCAAAAAGGCGGAGATTTATTTGTACTCCTGACAGTGCCTTTGGAAATTAAGCAATGAAATATGAATATTGTAGAGATAACACGACTAGTCAAAAAAGGTAACTCAGGGAGTGAACATTTCACCGCTATATTTTTATTTAAAAATTAAACAGCATACATACCAATCATATGATCATCAATAAGAACAGATCCTGTTTTTGGCATATTTGGAGAAATAGCAAATTGCCAATAACACAACTATACTCCCCTTCTCTAAGAAAAACATTAAAATAATAATCTACTCCTACCTAAAGTATGGAAAGCAGTTGTCATGGGGCATTGTGCTGAATTTGCACTTCATCATAAACTGGGGAGGGGACATTTCCTAATTAAAATCACTAAGTTTGGCAAATCACTGGCAAATGTATGAGCACATTGAAGAAATAATAAAACATTCACAAGTGTATAAAATGCTATTTTAAATAGTAACTTTTTTTAGATTTCTAATGAGAAAGTGTAGTCTCCTCAATGCATCCTGGCAACAGTAGGGATACCACAAAAGGTTGTTACACAAGCACTATCACACCTTGTGACACCCTGCCCAAATGGCACACTAAAAAAGACCTTTTTGGTTCATAGTTAAAAGCATTTATCTCCCTTGGTACATATCATTTCTGAAGATTAAGCTTAAATGGAAAACACAGCATATTAAAAGTACATAAGAATAGATGTACAATCAGTTTCCCAAATTACCAGTATCAAATTCTTATTACTTACAAAAATCTGCTTTCTTACCTGTGAATATATTTAACATTAGTATCATAAATTCTTTTATTCATATCATGATGAAGATATGATTGCTTAACAATAGTTGTTTGTTTTGGGTTAAAATCCCATAGCAGGTTGCCTACATGCATGTTTTTGTGATTTTTTCATATATAAAGTGATTATAACCCAATTTGCCCTAGTAAATCCTTCATGAATGCATTCCTCCTTAGACAGAACCCTTCCCATATCACTAAGGTGCTTTTCATAATCCAATAAACCTAATCTAATCTAAATAATAAGCTGAAAGAGCTGGAGGAACTACAGAAGGAAAATGCATGTAAATACAGTTAGCCACAGTTAAACAATAATTCAAAAACTAAAGAATTACTTTGCACTCATATTAACATAATTTCAAATAGTAAACTCAAGTTACATAAAATTCAAACTTAGATTAACATTCACTTGAAATCTTTTCCTTGAAATGCATACAAAATTTTTTATGTATTTCATGGAAAATTGACATGGTCTTGTTTTAAATTTGAAATTGCTGTTTTTCTTCTGTAAAAAAACAAAAATTAATTTATTGTGCATAAAACATTCAGAATAAAAGGATATAAGGATGATTAAGTTCATTATACAATATTTTTTCCTCCCTTTCTCATGCCTTTGTGGTAGGGCACTGCACATTTTACACCTCTCCTGTTTCAAAAGAACCTAATGACTCTACAACTTTATTCATTATGCTAAAACACTCCAGGGCAATTTGCTTTTAAGAAACCTTCTACAGGATTTTCTAAGTGAAACTGGCATGTGTACTTTTTTTTACGTAAGGAGAAAACTGCATTTAAATACAAAAATTCTATGCAGACAGCCTGCTCATTCATGAGTAACAAAGTATGAGTAAGACTACCAGTTTCAGTAGTCTTAACTATTTGGCCTTAGATACAAACAATTATCTCAATGTTTCTTATCGTTAATGTCTCTTAACATTTTAAACCTATAATCTGAACAAACTGCTGATGTATTTTATCAAGGAGTGCATAACATTTAATTATATGATTTGAGGTTTCATAAGTAATAAAATATTTTTTTTAAGGTGCAAACACATTTCTTTTGCTTAAGATATGAATTTCACGATGTTCTGGTTATTGCCAGTTTGAAAAGCTAGTTGGTCATGGAAAGAAGTATTACTAAGACAAAAAAGACTTCTTAGATAAATTTTCAAATATAAAATCAAAACTAATAAAATACACACCTTTACAAATCCTTGTTGAGAGAACTTGTTATAAAGTAGCATTCCATCTTCATTGAATGTTCGAAAATCAAAGCTACAGTTCATAATTTGTTGCTTATATCCAGATATTCTTAAATGTGAATCTGATGAGATGAAAGTTACTGGAGGAGCAGCATCATACTAATAAAAATATTAACACTTTAACAAAATGAACAGCTTGAAATGAATAAACATTTTAATATTCTTAGATAACATAATTATAAATGAAATACAGTGTGGGCCATATTTTTTTTTTCACTTTTGGAAATCAAATTAAAAAAAAAAAAAAAAACAACTTGTCAAGCTTTTATTTTACAGAATATGTACCTGAGAATTTATTTTAAAAATAATATCACTGAAAAGTCCACCTTTGTGTTTTTGGCACTCTTGCAACCGAGCCTACAGATTTTCAAAAGCATTTCGATACATGAGCAAGATATTGTGGCTATTTAATAATGAATATTTTGACTCATTTGGGTTACTACTGTCAGTTTATTTTTGTACTCGTGACTTTTAAGATACCACCATAAAAATGGTCAACAGAAGAAATATCCAGACTGCTTGGAGGCTATTGAGAAACCAATTTATAGAGGAACATTTCTTTAACTGCATGATAATCTTCTTTACAAGCACAACAGACCCTTACAGGGCCTGGTTGCCTCAACCTTGTGCTCCTTCTAGTGTCTTCTGTCTGCAGCGACTCCTCTCCAATTTTTAATTTTCAAACTTTTTAAGTCTTTTTTGATGTCATCTAACCACCTAGTTGGTGGTCTTCCTTTAATTCATGATCCCTCAGGTTTTTTTAATGTCAAGATCTCAATGGTTTCTCCAAACAATTCTTCCGGGAGAATTCCGGCCCCTTAACCTATTAGTACAGATGACTTGTATTATTTATGGTTGCTATATAAAGCCTGTAAGTTCAAAGTTATATCTTGCTCTCCAATGTCCCTCTTCCTTATATTGAGCCAAAAAATACTGTGAGTATTTTTCACTTAAACATGTCCGTTGAGCATGCCTTTACTTAAAGTCCATGTTTCACTTTAGAACAGTAAAATATGTAGTTTTAGTATCTGCATACAGTAAAACAGGTAGTATTAGTATCTTACATATTTGTAGTTTTGTTATCACATGCATATACAAATTTGAAATATGGCATACGCCACAATCCTGCTAGATCGAGGTACTCTTAGCACAGCCTTTCAGTTCTCACAAATCTAGTGCCAAAAAGCTGGATCATTCCTTAAGGACCAGCTGATGCCATATTTTCTTCACTTTGTCAACAGTGTTTATTTAACTGTGTTATCCTGTTTAATTCACGTTTATGGTAGAATCAGTATTTGAATTTCCTGATATATGTTTTAATCAAATTAACCCCGGGGAAGGGGGGTACTGATTAACATCACATAAATCATAGTATAAATAATACAAGCACCATACAGCTGCATAAGAAATATTACTTTTGTAAAAGGTAGACATAAAATGGCTTCAGCTAACTTGTGATGCATTCCATGTGACTAAAATCCTCAGAATTGACATTTCATTAGCCCTTTGAATACCCATGCTTTTTGCATATGGTTTTCTAGAAACACATAACTGCCATCTGCAAAAACTTACAGCCCACCTTGTATAATGAATTAACTTCATGCATCACTGAAATTTGTAATCAATGAATCTACTAATTTTAGTGATTAAAAATTACTACTAGAAAACAAATAAGTGATAAAATAAAAGTACACTTGAGGCATTAAACAGAATTATAATTGTGACACAAAAATTTAGAAAATTATTATACAACATAATTACAACAATCTTACCTTTTGATAGCATAAAAATAATCATTAAACAAGTATCAGATAAATATTAGTCAACATGCCACATTTTTTCACAAAAATTAGCAGTACTTTAATACAGAACTTAGAGATAAAGTTTTAAATTTGAGGGTTGGAACTTCAAAAGTAGCAACTATTTGTTTACCACTGATACAAAAAGAAATACCTCAGTAAAACTTTAACTGTCCTTTGATATAATGATTAGCATTGGTAAAACACATTGCTAGCAATATGGAAACATAGTATCTGAAGTTGCTGGTTCAAATGGAACAAAATATTGCCTGAAAAGTCTCTCAGATAGTTAAAGAACAAATGCCACAATGTAGTTTCTTCTTAAAAATCCCATCATAATCACAGCAGCTTAAATTTAGTGAATATAATCAATGACAGAGCACTTCACAACCAAAATGAGCAAACAAATCAGCTACAAGTTGCACTACATGAATCCATGCAATGACAAGAGGATTCTGAAAAAAACTGTTCTCTTCAGTAGAAATTGCTTTTCTTGTAATACTGGTTACAGTTATATTGCAAAAATGAACAATAATACCATGTACTGATGCTTGACATGTTTTTGATGTACAATATATAATGGAATCATGTGATCAAAGTTGTACACCAGAATCATTACAACTTTCTGCTGGGGTTCTGGTGCATTTTTTATTTTTATAGCAAACAGTAATGATATCAATCGTTCAAATGGTATTTCAGTTTTAACTTGTATGATGTAGCTCATATATCTTTAAAATGATATGATGCAAAGAATTTATATATATATATATTGGTATTAACAGTGTTGCAAATGACTTTGAGCAACACCATATTAAGATCCTGCATTTTCCTCAAATGACATCACATAATTTTTCCTATATGCAGATATTCTTTTAAAATACAATGCACTGTTAATCCTATCTCCTAGACTAACTCACAAACTACCTGGAATCAATCCATAGCTAACAACATGCCAACAGCTGCATGCACTTCATCTTCGCTGACAATAATGCCTCAGTTTAAACATGTCTCCCACACTACGGCACTCACATCTTTATGAACAAAATTAGTATAACACTCATTTAATTCTTTAATCTACTGTGCTACAATTTTGTAGGGCAAAGCAAATTCCCTGCATGCCTCACAAAGACTTGGATAATATTGCCAGATTGTTGAGAAAGACGTGCATTAAATCTTTATTTAGTTGTATGGTTATAGCTACACACAAACTTTGAGCTGACACAAGACAAATACTTTCCGCATGGTGCAAATGCACACCAATAGAAGAAAGAGTACCTTTACTGTGGGGTAGATTAGGATTTTGAAATAATGTGTTAATGAAAAGTACTGGTCATTGCATGGCATACACAGAATGCTGGCATTATTAAACTTTCAAACTATGTATCAATTAAATGTATATTCAAAGAAAAACACAATATTTTTCCTAGGAAATTTCAAAAATAAATATTAAACTAAAATGATATATTATAGCTTAATATTCAGAATGAATGCAATAATTTATTTGTTAACCTAATTAAATTGAAAAGGGATAAAAACACTACATTTGTTGTTATTCTTTGAATGCAAATAAGATGTCATTTTTAGCTTTTTAAGTAAATACATTAAAAAGCTGAAAGATGAAACATTTGCTCAAAAGTTTAGGTCAAACAAAGTATAGTTTGACTGTCACAAATGCAACCTTGGTTGGCATTCTGCCAAAACACTTACAATTGTCTAGAAGTGCTAATTATGCGCTGCAGGGGAGGGATCACATGAGGGTCCTCTCTTTGCTGGAATAAAGAAATTTACTGCAAAAGAAGTGAAATTCCCCATGCTATGGTCCATCTTGTTATCACATTTTTTGCACCTTTGGTTTATATGAGCAGAAATTAAGATTCATATTGACTTGAAACCTGAAAACCAAGCACGCTGAAATTTTTTGTTTCATAATTTATGAATTTTACATGAACAGTCCATATTCGATCACTTACTTTGAAAAATATGGTTACTAAAAATCATAGAACTTTAATTTTTAGAAGTATGCTTTTTGCATTACACAATAAAAAAATGGTAAAAAAGATTTCAAATTATTAAAGCAGGGTATATCCAAGTAGCTGATTTAATGCAACATTTACTAGAATTGTAATCCTAACAATTTACCAGTATGGTAATGTGACATTTGTCAGTATTACAAGAATATTTTTCTTCCCCCCCCTTCAATAAAATAAAATTTGTGTTGTTCCCTCTAGCCAATATGAATAATTATACATATATATTTTAGCACAAAAATCAAAAAGAAATGTAATGATTATTTATTATAGTATAATTACTATACCTAATTATTAACCCTCTCATACTGCTCGATTTTGATACATTCTGGTCCTGAAATATGAGGCGTTTTTTTTTTTTTCCTCTATCTTCATATATTACTATTCACACCTTTATGAACAAAATTAGTATAATGAATGAAGTTTAAAAGTTTTTTAATTTTTAAAAAACATACAAAAAGGCTCACATGATTTTAGCGTGCATGGAATAAAAATATAAAAATACACAAAAACCTTTTTATTTTTATAAATATACATTCTAACTAATTTGTACAGCTAACAATATTACTTATTATTATACAAAAAATTTTTTGGTGTGGTAAACTTTAAAATATGGCTCTAAACATGATTCAACTTTACATTCTTCACACTAAATGCAAGTCTCTTTATGCATTTTTTTCCCATTGTTGTCTTTTTCGGAGCAATACATAGCACACTGCCTTCTAGGTTCCTTTTTTTATAGAATTTGCTGGTATGTGGCTTGCAAAATGTCTCCCTACATTCATACTATCCTCACTAGATGCACCTCAAGATACTTATGGGATGTTAACTGGGCAGTAAACATTTTCTAAGTACCTTTATTAAGCCTTGCTGCTCCTTAAATATATCTGCTTATCTTATCATATAAAATAACATTTGTAATTATTCAGATATTTACATATGCAATATTTGATTTTTTCACACAAGGCATATACTTACATGACAAGTAAACTGTAAATCTCCATACTGTCTATATTGTGATCGCCTTTCCTTTAGTTCAGATATAAGGTTGGTGTTGTTAACGAAAAGGTTTTCAATGCATCCAGTAAAATTTTCTGTAACTACAATGCCATTCTGATTAAAATTGGGAACTCCTCCAACATAAATCTAAAAAAATAATATTAATAACATTTTACACATTGTTTATTATAAAACATGCAAACAATCAACAAAACAACCATTTTAAAACTTAAAATGCATATAAAATTTTACATTTTCTTTGTTAACATTATTTTTAAAAGTTGTTCCCCATTCAGTAAAAAAGCAAAAGATTCTCTAACGATGCATTAGAATATTTACAATTCACTTACTATTATAAGAAACTTGTTTATATTAACAGTCCTAATGAGAGAAATTTTTGAGAGAGAGCATATTCATTAGAGATATATTCCTCATTCAATTAATTCAATTCTCACTTCGCAGCAAGACAAAAATACATAAAAACTCAAGACATCTTCATTAAAAATTGAAAAATATAGAAAAACATAAAACATCAAATACAATTAAAACAATCAAAAAAAAATTTTTTTACGATTAAAATTAAAAGTTCCTGTGCAAAAACAAGCAATTCAGCCAGCAGTCAAGTAGGTAGATTTTTTCGTGCACAAAAGTGAAAGTTTATTTTTGGTCCCACTCGGCCACTGAAGACACTGAAGGTGCAGAAACTGAGTTAACTATTCTGCTAAGTTTCAAATGTAAACAAATATGGCTGCTCTATTAGGTTTAATCACACCTAAGCAACTTTTAAATTGTTACTAATTCTACAACTATTGCATACAGATTAAGTAAAGGCATGAAAACCTTAAGCAAAACATAACAACAACATAATTCAATCACTTTAAATAAGCAAAAAAATGCACAATTTACCAACATATAAGAATAAAAAACTTGAGCTCGCCGAGCTGAATAACAGAGTGGGAATACATATATATACATATGTATACTTTTGGAGTGGCCAATATGAACCAAAAAGGGAGGTGCACAACTACATGTTATAGCAGTCCTATATACAAAATTTTAACTTTCTGAGGTTACTTGTTTTTGAGTTATGCGAGATGCATTTGATAGCAGTCAAATGGATATTTTCATTAAAATATGATACCCAAAATTTTTCGTGATTACAATACTTCCTTTACTCTGTAAAAGGAAGTTAAAAAAAAAAAAAAAAAAAACTACTGCATAATCTTTTACTTAAAAGTATTTTAATCATAGTCTATAAAAACATGCATAATTGAAACCTAATGTGGTCTCTGTATTAAAATTATGATTAAGGGAGGGATATGCAAAATAACAACTTATGTGATAAATATAACACTTCAAATTATACAGATATGGAGTTATTAAAAAGTGTGACAATTAAATAAAAGCATACTTCCAGTTACACAGCGAAATTGTGTTTAGCAAAAATATTAGTAATTCATTCTGTTTAAACTATATTTATATATTTAGTAGAGGAAAAGGGAGAAATATGAATAGCTCTTATCAATACTATTATAAAAACTTATTTTTGATTAAATCATCAATTATCAAATTTTGCACCAAGTCGTATAATTAGCATATGGCAGTAATGAAATATTTTGAGTTATTCAGATACAAAATGACAAATATTACATATAATTATAATATTCAGATACAAAATTAGAAAAAAATGGATTCAAATACAAAATAATTCAACAATTTTATACTAAGCTGATGAAAAATAAATCAAATACCATTTAGTTTTATAAGATAAACATTGCACATTAAATTAATATTATCTTTTATTAAAAAATTATTTTTCTTTAAAGAGAATTAATTATGTGTCATGTCGCATGTTATTAATAGCAGAATAATTTCTTTCCAAGTTCTTCCTTATGTTATTTTAATTTTATAAAAATTATTTTCTACCAACTTAAGATAGCTTTTATTTTACTGAAAAGACTGATTTGTGAGGAGAGCGATTAATTTATTATTCTAACAAAATCTTCAATTTCAATAACTACTTCATACCCAATTACAAACTGATTATAAAAAATAAACAGTACACTATTTAAGCACAAAAACAGCAACAGAAATTTCAGGAGAATCACTCACTTCTCGTTTTAGATTCAATTTTGTAAAGTCTCCTCTTATTTTAGCAGGAACCACTACTCTATCAACTGAAAATGTAATATCTCTTCTGCGACGTGATATAAGCACATCATGCCACATATTGTCATCTAAAAGACTGCCAACTGAAATACTTGTCAAAATTCCTTCACCACCTAAAACAAGAAATTTTGTAATAGCAGTATTTTAAATTTGTGTGATTTGCATATGTAATAAAAAAGTAACTTTAAAATGAACAAGCTTTTTGATACAAAAAATTCACATATATTTTACATGAAATTGTACTACACAAACAAGAAAATAAAATCCAGACACCTAAAATAACATTTGGAAAAAGTAATGTTTCACTTCAAGGAAAAAAAAAAATAAATTGATATGCAGCTAATTTAACTTTATTAGATGTGACAGTTAGCCCTTTTGTTTTGTACCTTTTGAGACTGTGGCATCTGCATCTGATTATCTATATGAGGAGACATAATACCAGCACATCAGATACATGCTTACAATATCTGCACCTGCGCCAAGAGTTGTGCTTACTGACCATGACCAGATACAAATTTACGGGAAACTTATTTAGCGACAGTACAAAGAAATCATGTTTCAAGATTCCACTAAAACAAAGTGACTGTGTGTTTCAAGATTCCACTAATGCTTCTGAGATACTTCTAGCACTTTCTGCTCCTTAAAATTACTGGAAGGCAATATAGGCAATATTAGGGTCGAATTACAGTTACCGCTAATACAGTGATCAATTACATTCATTCAATTACTTACTAAATAATATTGATTAATTCATTATATTATCTCCTAAGTTTAATTAAAGTAGAATTATCTTAAAAGAGTGAATCCATACTAGTAAGTTATATTTTGAAAGATGTTTTGAAGTAACTTGAAATTAAAATGTGAATTAAATCATCATGAAGAACGAAATTTCAATTGTAAAAGGAGAAATTAAATTAAATGCATGTAATCATTGTCATTGACCGGAAATTAGTTGACTTTTCAAGGGGAACAAACCAACTCCCGTTCAATGAACAATAATTAATAAATAAGTACGAAGGTGTTTCATCTTTACTTGAGCATTAAGGCTAAGCCAAACCGGCAATTCAAGTCAGGCCAAATATTTCCGTGAATAGAAGGGATTATGAACCAATGCTGATATTCAAAGAACTTATTCCCATGAAGCATTATAGCCAATTCAATTTTGAGTGAAAAGCAATTTCTGCAGTGAATTTCGAAAAAACTCGAGTAACTGTCCCCCGACACCCTCGTGTTTATGCATTTGAGTTCAATATTATTTGTAAAAAGTAAACATTGGAAACTGTCATTATGAAATAGAATTCAAAGTATAAAGTTGAAATAAACATTAGAAGATTATAAAATAAGATAAATAATGTAAACTTTGTAAAAACAAATCAAAAATAACATAAAAATAAAAAATATAATTAGAAAAGTGAATGTACATGAAGATATAAAGGCCAGAAAAAGTATTAATTAACTTACGTTCTTTCTAGTGGGGAGTCGTCAAAGTGTTCTCTTCAAAGTGTTTGGTTTAGCCTTAATGCTAGAGTAAAGATGAAACACCTTCGTATTTATTTATTAATTATTGTTCATTGAACGGTAATTGGTTTGTTCCCCTTGAAAAGTCTACTAAATTTTCGATCAATGACAGTGATTACATGCATTTAATTTAATTCTTGCCTTTAATTTATTCCTTTTACAATTGAAATTTTGTTCTTCATGATGATTAAATTCCAGTCCCCATTAAAACATTATTCACATTTTACTTTCAATTTACTTCAAAACATCTTTCAAAATATAACTTACTAGTATGGATTCACTCTTTTAAGATTATTCTACTTTAATTAAACTTAGGAGATAATATAATCAATTAATCAATATTATTTAGTAAATAAATTATTATTAACTTACTTTGCAGCAATTGCGCAAGTAGTAGTAACTTGTTTTCGCACTAAATGAATTCAAGATCATACAACATATTGTATATATATATATATGTTATATTATTTTTATGTTATTTATGAAGTGTCCTCTCTAATGTATTTATAACATATGCTTTATTATAAATGTAATTATCAGCAATCTATGTTATATTTTATGCTATATATGAAGTAATCATTTTCTTTTTTACTTCCTTGTACAAAGTAAAAAGGAAGTATTGTAATCGCGAAAAGTTTCAGGCAGCATATTTCAACGAAAATATCCATTTTGACCGCTATCGAATGCAATTTAACGATGTTTTTGTGTGATATCTGTACGTAAGGAGAGAATAAAATACTCTTTTCCTTCAAAAGAATTATAAAACTGCTTTAAAATGAATTCTGAAGAGAATTTTTCATGGCGTCTGTACGAACATATGTACGTGCGTACGCACGTATCTCGCATAACTCAAAAACGAGTAGCCTCAGAACGTTGAAATTTTGTATATGGGACTGCTATAACATGTAGATGTGCACCTCGTATTTTGGTTGCAATCGGCCGCACCAAACATATATAAATATATTTATATATATATCCACTCTATTACCCCGCTCAGTGATCTCAGTTTCTTTACTCTTATATGTTTGTAAATTGTACACTTTTTTGCTTTAAAAATGATTGAATTATGTTGTTTTTATCTTCCGGTTAAGGATTTTATGCCTTTAGTAAATCTGTGTGCAATATTTTTAAAATTATCAGCAATTTTAAAGTTGTTTAATTGCCGCTAAGCCTTTTTTTAATGGCGGCCATTGATGTTTACATTTGAAATAGAAGACTAGTCGATTTGTTGTCAATCTAGAGAAACTTAGCTTCGCAACAACAAAGATAACGCATTCATTTATTACTTTCCGAATTAAATCATGCTTAATTCTTTCTGGAATTTTTTCGAGGAAATAAGTGTTTAAGATTTACTTTGTAATTTTTAATACAGATATTTAGAGTTTTTATGTATTTTTGCCTTCTCGCGAAGTTGAGAACTGAAATTAATTGAAATGAGAAATACTCAATCATCTGTGAAAAAACTGTTTCTTTTTTTTTTTTTTTTAGTTGTTGTTGTTTTGTTTTGTTTTGCTTGCTTAATTTCTTTTATACATCGTTCTTAGCTTTATTATTAGTTATTGGAATAGAACATGTGGCAACGATTAGATAATTCTATTCTTTAAACGATACAAAATTTTGTGCATTATGAGTTATAATATGAACGAAATATATAAGTTAACTGTTATAAAATTATTGGATTTTATAACAGTTAACTTAGTTTCCGTTATATAATTAATATATAAGTTTATTGTTATGTAATTATTAATACTGTTAAGTGAATCTAGCGCCAGAGTGTCGCTATGGTAAACAAATACTAGAGTGAATTTTAAAGAATGCATTTATTCTATTGTGGTTTATGCACTGTCGGCGAAGTAGATTTAATTCAATCCAATAAGTTTAAATGGAATGCAAGAAAAAATGCATATAACTTAATATTCCAACACAAGGAAGTCATGTGGTATACACATCAGATTTTTTATATATATAATCAAATAATAATGCTTTCCTGATTCATTAATTTTATTTATTTTCTTTTAATTTACAAATTCTAATTATTTTTCATATTTTTCATTTTTACTGCCATTTTTAATCACTGTTACTTTTTTTGCCAGCTATTAAGCATCTGTTTATTATTATTATGCAGTTATTTTTTAAATTAAACTAAATAATAAAAATAAAGGTATTGAAAACTTTGCAAATTATTATGTTTGAAACTGATGGAGGTTTTCCTATTGAATACAAATCACATACATCATGTGCTTTGACTGCAAAAATTATTAGGCTTAGCGGTACTTAAACAATTTTTCAATTGTTGATAATTCTAAAAAGATTGCATAAAGGCATAAAAACCTTAACCGGAAGATAGGAACAGCATAATTCAATCATTTTTAAAGCAAAAAATGCACAATTTACAAACATATAAGAATAAAGAAACTGAGATCACCGAGCCGAGTAACAGAGTGAATATATACATATATTTATAAACTTTTGGTGCAACCGATTGCAACCAAAATACGAGACGCACATCTACATGCTATAGCAATCTTATATACAAAATTTCAACGTTTTGAGGCTACTCGTTTTTGAATTATGCGAGACATGTATGCACAGACGCCACGGAAAATTCTCTTCACAATTCATTTTAAATTAGTTTTACAATTTTTTTGGGGGGAAAAGAGTCCTTTATTCTGTCCTTATGAAGAGATGTCAAGCAAAAACATCATTAAATTGCATTCGATAGCAGTGAAAATGGATATTTGCATTGAAATATGATGTCTGAAAGTTTTCGTGCTTACAATACTTCCTTTTTACTTCGTACAAAGAAGTAAAAAGGAAAGAAAGAAAGAAATAATAAAAAGAATAAAGTTATAAAAAGTTATAACAGAATGTATGCAAAGTATAGCAGAAAAAATTACCTAAATCAATGTATGTAAAGAACAGTAAAAATAATTACCTAAATCAATATTAAGTAGAAGCTTGTTGTGCATTAATTGAAGAGCAAAAAAATCACCTTGGCTACCTCTACTGTACATAATGATTCCATCAGCATTGTTCGTTCGAAATCTGAACCTAATCATTTCAGAGTCACTAGCAATTGCATAGCGCAAATCTTTGGTAAAATAACTCTTCCCATCAAAATGCACAGATTCACTAACTGAAAAATAAGAAGATCTAATTATGAAATAGGAAATAATAATAATAATAATGTCCAATTAAAAGCAATGGTTTATAATATTTAATTATGGCTTATATCTGTAACTATGCAATGTAATTTGCATGTATCATACATCATATGTAATAATTTTATACTCACCATAATCACAACCATACAGTTCTACCCTCATTGATATTCTGTCTCTCCATCGAGTAGGATTTATCCTAATCCACTGGGCAATAATTGGCGTTTCAAATTTATTGAACTTAATGGTGTCTCCATCAACATTGCCTCTAAACAGCTATAAGAACATAATATGTGTTAAAAACAAAAACACAACACTATCAATATAATCTTCATCCAACACATAGGCCTCCATAACTATAAAAAAAAACAGTACAATATAATTAAGAATTACAAAACAGAAGGAAAAAATTACCATTTTCCATATTATTTATTACCATTTTTCTATTGGAACATTTTATGTTGCTTTATTTCTTTTAGAACAATCAACTGCACTTATTCCTTCTTAAATTATTTCACATTATTTATTACCTCTTGCCAATCCATGTACCAAAAGTGGCCATAATGTGGCTCGCAAGCCATATGTGGCTCTCAGATGTGATCCTATTGCATTTCTTGTGAAAAAAATGGAATATGGTAAACTCTAATATAAAATAACTAATTTATTTCATTTCTTTTTAAAAGTTATTAGTAATCTAAACAGTTTTCATTTCTTATTAGTTATGAAACTTAAAACAGAGGCTTTTCGCACATTTTTTAGAATTTGATTTGCTGTTTAAAAAAAAAAATCTGTTTGGAATTTTCTTTAACTGCCACTATATTTTTGAAAGTATAAATTATTATCTGCTACATGCTTTCTTGCAAAATATCTCTTTTATAAAGAAGCAATGGCTGGAAGGCTGTGTTCTTTCCAAAGAAATTCAAAATCTAGTTGTGAAAACCATGTTTTTTTTATATCTAAAGCTACAAATGGTAATGTTGTCAAAAGAAAAAAATCTCAAAATTTATCTTTATGTGGAAAAATTGTTCCAAATATGTATCCAAGGGGAAAAAATGAAATGTCTTGAATGTTGCAAAAGTATGCAAATGTTGCAAATACGAAATACCTTCTCTTTAATGTTAAAAGTCAATTCACCAACTAAAAAAAAAAAAAAAAAAAAAAAAAAAAAAAAAAAGTTGCAAAATCACTAATATGTTCAGTGTCAACTGTAAACAAAGTGATTCATGCTGATTTGAATCTTAAAAAGGCAAAAAAAACATAATGAGCATAATCTTTCTCCGTGACATATCGCCAAAGCAGAGCGTGGTGCAGAAATTTTATAAGAAACATTTATCCAGACAAAAATCCAAAATGCTGTCACAACACATGAATCTTTGGTATACTTAAATGACTGCAATAAAAAGTCATGTATTATCATCAAAGAGGGGAAACAAAATCTTAAAACATGGTTCAAGGAATTTAACCCTCTGAGCATTATGGCCGGCTTTATCCAGTCATGAGATTTTTTGTCATTCGTTATATATTAACCTATAATTTATGATATTTTGCTTTCTTACTTTCTTTAATAATATAAATATCATCTTAATAAATGTAAGTTTATGAAAATAGAGCCTAAAGTAAGTAAATATACAAATTTAGCTAATAGTGTCTTTGAATACAGGTCTTCATAACAGATCCAAAAATCGTGCCGCTCAGAGGGTTACAGAAAGTTTTTCTATGGGTTTACGACTGTTGCTGGTTTTTCACATAACAAGTTAAAAATAAACAGAATCGCAGGTCTTCATAACAGATCCAAAAATCGTGCCGCTCAGAGGGTTACAGAAAGTTTTTCTATGGGTTTACGACTGTTGCTGGTTTTTCACATAACAAGTTAAAAATAAACAGAATCGAGACAAATGTTAAGATCAACTCCACATATTATCAGAAACATGTTTTATACCCAATTTTCAAATATGAAATACCATCTCTTTATACATGGTATGATCAATCAGTAGAACTGCATTTAGACAAAGCAAGCAGTGACAGGTCAAAATCTACAATTAACTTCCTGGAAAAAATAAAACAAGAAATGGTGGGAAGTTCTGTAGGTGGAACAAAAATGCATCCAATGCATCGGAAACATTTAATATCATACAAAATTTGATACAAATTAAAAATACTTTTTTTTGATACAAGTTTAAAATAATTTGGAAGTTAATTTGATGTTCGAATTGATAAGAAACTAATGGAATTGGAAGCCTTGGGAATTTCTAATAAATCCGCTGATCGTCACAGCTTAGAAGATATTGCCTTGAGAAAATTTTAAGTCTGTAAAACTTGGAGACATACAATTTGGTTATTATGGAATGAGCATGTAGGGTACATGATCAACCAGAAGCTGATAGTTTACTTAAAAGTTCGTAGTTATTCTGCCAATTCCATGTCTTAACATGAAACTGGCAGGAGATCATGTGCTGGCTACAAAAGATTTTTTTATTATAAATGTGAATTACCAAGAGCTACAGAGTGCAGAACACTAAATAATAGTAAACTAAGAATAAATATGTCTTAAATAATCATTTTTACTTTTCACAAGAGAAGTGGAAGAGATCATGGAAATTTTTTACTGTAGGTCTGCTGTTTTTAGAGAATTTAAAATTTACCATTTCAGTAAAATTGCTTTAACATTCTTATACGTTATACAACATTTCTGAATTAAGTTTTTTTATGATACTATGTTTCAGTCTATGGCTCTCTTCCGTGAATTTATGAGCTTTCCTTAAAATTTCCGAGAGAAAATAAAAAATTCTAAAACATAGCTTAATGGTTTCTCTCTTCCCATCATTTTTTAAATGCAATTCCTTCAAAAACACTTTTTTCCCATTTATTACATGATGAGATGCATAAATTAATGAGACTAGAAATCTTTTAAAATGACTTAATTTACTGCCTTTTTAACATGAATGTCAGTGATACTACAATTGTGGCAAAACACAAGAGACATTTTATGAATTGAAACAAACATGTCTAATATTATGCTGATATGTAATCCTAACAATTTTGGATATGACAATTATTACTAAATACATTTTTAAAAACAAATTAGATAATTAAGATTTTTAAATTAGAAAGGGAAATTTTAAGAAATAACGGGGGAAAAAATGCACTAAAAACAAGAAAAGGCATTTTATAATGCAGCAGATGCATTAAGCCCAAATGGAATGAACTTTATCCACACAATTATACATTGGAAATTTCAAATATTACTTAAAATAATAGGAGCAAGATCATAAGTACAAAACTTTAAATACACTAAAAGCAGAACCATTAAAAACAATTATGGGACGATTATAATGAAGGCTTCAGAAGCAAATTAAGTTTAAATTTAAATTATTATTACTAATGTTCTCTTAAAAATATGCCTTGACATTTTTGAGTATAATCAATGTACAAAAGAAAAGATAACTACTATTTCATGAAAAGTTTAAAAAAAAAAAAAAAAAAAAAAAAAAAAAAGATTTCTATAAAATGTAAAGCAAAAAATAAAAGCAAAACTGAATAATCATGTACATAACTGAACAATATGTAACAATATACTATAGATAATTAGCAATTTATAAATCATTTAGCAATATGCAATAAATATTTAAAATTAGGCAAAAAGGCAATCTTAGACTGGTATAGCTTCTGTATAAAAAATAACAACAATCTATGCCAAACTAAGATTGCTTTTTTGCCTAATTTTAAATTTAATATTGCTGCATTCCTATACCAATGTGATGCAATATATAATTGAACTATATTAAGAAATTAAAAATTTTAACCCAAACTAATGAAACTTTATTTTATATATAAACCAAATAGCAAAATGCTGACAGTAAAATCAAAATACATGATTTTAAGTATAATAATAATAATTTAAAAAATTCAAAAATAATAATTTAAAAATGCATGCAGATCATTAAATTTTACACATCAAATTTTAATTTGGTTATCATAATACAATGTGCATGCATTATACCTACATATATTTAGTTCAAATCAAACTGGAACTTTATCTTACAATTTTAAATACTACATGAAAATAATATGTATGCACTTACAAGCATATACCATGCGGTAACAGTATGCAAATTATTTTTGTAGGTATGGCGAACAGTAGCAGAAATCCTACTGCTATTGTTAGTTATATTTACACACACACAACAACAACAAAATGCATATTATACTAATGCTGCAAGATAATACAATTCACACGTTAAGCAAGATGAAGTCCAGACCTGTCAACAGGACCTGATCATGGTAAACTGATCAAGAAAGAAAAATAAAAGAATGCTTAGCCTAATGTCAAGTATGGGACATTAAGCTAAGCATTCTTTTCAAAAGCACCAATGCCAATTTTCCTTGCTTCTATGACAGAAAAATGGGATTATGAGAAGTTATAAAACAATATGAGGGTCATCTAAAAGCTGAGATTCTAGGTCTGTAGCTAGATGGTAATCGGACTTCGCTTGTTGATACCCTGCATACCCTTGCATGCTGTGATGAAATTTCTTGTGAACACAGGTTGAGTGAAATTAACAGAAAATTTCAAGCACAGTATGATAAGGAAATTTTCAGCTGCAGTCAAATATCTGAACGCTACAAATTGTTAAACCCTTTCCAGCACGCTATCTTTTTAAGTTGGAGTTTTGAATTTAAAAAAAAAAAAAATTTAAAAAAGTAGGCAGTCTAATTAAGCCTAGAGGAGTACACAAGTAAAATTTTGTGAAGATAGCACTTATCCTTTAATTCTGTGGGTGTGCCCAAAGCGGGCACACTTGAATAGAGCTTCGAAAAGAGTGCTGAAACGAGCATTGTTGTCAATGAACTGACCAATGAGATGCGGAGAAACAAAGAATAAAGATTCTCAGTTGCCCTAGATTATCGGTCAGCCCAGTCTGGGCACACCTAGGGTTCGCCGTTTGATTTTAGGCAAGATTTCAAGGTAAAAATTTAAAACTAATAAAAAATAAGACGAAGATAGCATAAAGAAAACAAAACAATCTTTCAAAAAAACAAATCAAAAAAAAAACAAGATTACAAAAAAGGGGGGGGGGGGGGGGGGGGGGTACAAAAAACTAATGGGCATGGGTGCTTAGGCCAAAAAATAAAATAGAAATTTCTTTTCAAACAATTCCTTTTATACCCTAAAAATCTGGAAGATTTCTTTGAAAAATGAGGGTCTTAAAAAACTAAACATGGCTAAAAAATATATGGACTGGTTTGCGTTGAGCTGTCATCTACTATAAATAAAGTTCAGAGTAACCTATAAATTCTTTTTAATTCAATTTTTTCATGCGTACAGAAGGCAATTTTTAGGTGTGTTCAGACCGGTCACACTGTGCCGCAAAGGTTTAAAAAGACGCACATATCAGTACAAAATGATTCAACTTAAGGCAGCTAATAGCCCACTGCAGTCATTCCCAATATCAACATTCAAAGTTATTACTACAGTCGAGAAAAAGGCTGAAATTTAAGCAACTAATATAAGACACAAATAATTTTTTGAGTCCATGAAATATTTCTATAGTACTAATATCTAAGCACTGACAATATAGTAGGGTAATAAAATTTCAGAACTAGAAATTGCTCACATGCTACCCCTGATAACTCAAATGAGCCATTTTGACCTGAACTATGTTATATCAGCAGTGAAATCTTCCTAAGACAGCTCCTCATTGTTACAAATAATGTTTATCCTTGGTGGAGGTAGTCGTCTTAAACAACATAACTATCAGAATGTATACTATTTCAAGCATAGCATAATATGCACTAAATAACAACATAACATGTACTGAAAAAATATATTTAAAAGGGTATCCAACAAAGTATGCATGACAAAGTAAAAAAAGAAAATAAGCTACTGCAGCAACAAACAAATACAAAGGATTTCATGCAACAGAAAGTTAAGCATCAGGAAACAATGTGAACATGAATACAGAAAGCAATCGAACCTGTGTAGAACCGTCAGAAGAAACATAAGTTCTCCAAGTATCACCATCATTACTAAATTGAATACAGTACTCAGATACAAATTGATCTGTGTTCGAACGACCTTGAGTAGCAATAATATGAATAATTTTTCTACGGCGTAAATTAACAGTTAAATATTGAAAATAATCATTATAACCTGCAGTCCATGAGTACAGACCTAGGAAGAACAAATTTAAACATATTCATAATAGTTCAAAACATCTAAATTGAAATACTATTATCATTAAACTCAAAATTAACTTATCTCTAAATTTTTACATTTGTCAAAGTCAGTAAAATTAGAAAAATGGATGCAATTTTTATTAGTGTTAAACATATGATATTTAATTTTTTCTTAAAGAATGATTTTTGTTCAATTTTTCGACATTGTGTCACACATGTTGAGAAATTAAATAATTATTTGACACAATGTGATAAATATATAGCATTTAAATTCTAGTGACAAATCAAATTTATGATAGAAAGATATATTAAAAAAAATCTAACATCACTTAACATGCAACAAAGAAAAAATCATTAACTATAACAGACTCATACATCCTTTTAGAAAACTCTTAATTATGAAGAGAAGAAAAAAGCAAAGATCAATCTTTCAGAAAACCCCAACAAATGAGAATGCAGATGAAAGATTTAGAATCTGCGTCAGTAAAAGGTTCATATTTACAAAATATCAGAAGTCTAGAAACTTATATTTCTACACATTTCAATAAGTAAGCATATATCTTCAGTAACTGAAAAAAAAAATTGGGTAAATTTTGTAGCTGCCTTAGATTCTGCATACCCTTGTGTGTCCTTCTCGATCTTTATATTCAGAATAATCTGAATATTTATTTCCATATTCAATACGATATTCTTGCACAAATTCTGAAGTGAAAGGTCGACCTTGAGTAGCAATTGCAGTAATATTTCGCTTATCACGTAAATTTATAAGCAAATACTGACTGAAATCAGCTGATTTAGCAGTCCATGCTCCATTTCCTGAAAAAATTTTATAGCTGATATTTCACAAAGAAAATGCTAATTTAGTCATTAATACAAATAAACAAATGAAGCAAAACAAAATAAACAAAATAAAAATTTAAAAGTTTATGATTATATTAACTTGAAAAAAATTAAATTAAAAAAAGAAGGAAAGCATTTGTGCAATCATTTAATAAAATTAATTCCATTAAACAAGCATATAAATTAACATAAAATTACCATCCCTGTAATTAAATTAAAATATTGTAAAACAAACAAAAAAACAAAAATTAGCAACATAAATTGGCAGAATTAAGTGAAACACACACAGTACTATAATTTTGAAAGTTAAATCGTTCCTTATTTCTCAGATGAGAGTACAAAAATATACAGATGAAAAAGAATGCACTGTTTGACCTTCCAAACTACAGCATTACATATTTCACTCACATAACGGTCCTTCTTGCTGTTAATTGTCATCTTTTCTGAATTAGATTTATTTCGTTCACTTATTTTGGTATACCCTTACATACTTGAATCAAAGCACACAAAAACTTTGCAATGCAAATATAATATTAAATTTGCAATATTCTTAATGTTTGCTGGTATTCTAGAAGCTCTGTTAAGACACTATAACTGCAATGTCATTCACCCTAGGCACAGGTCGCATAACACCAGGTAACGAGAGGGGGTTCGTGGCTACTTATTTTAACATTCAAAGCTACCCCTTCAGATAACAAGAACATCTGGCTATCCACCACCTGCTAACATGCCTGGTAGCCACTCAAGCCCTGCACAGGGGACAAGACTCTGGTGACATTTGAAAATTTACACATAACAGATTGGGTGATTAAGTGCAAACTTTTCTGATACCAAATTCAATGAAGTATGAAAGTGTTCTAACTTTTATTAAGCTTTCTGCATACAACTGCACCAATGTCTGAAAAACCTTTTAGCAAAAAACTTACAGAAAATTTATAACTTTATCTCCATCTGTAGACATGGAGAAGAGCAATATTCATGTTAGTTTACTTACTTTATGATAAACTCTTCAGTTTTATTCAATGACTGGCTGTGTTTCTTCAACAGAAGTCTTATCATTTGGCTGTAAATTCAAAAATAAAAATAGCCATGCTAATGATATTTTGCTTGCTTCTACACAATTCTTTTGAATACTATTAAATTCTGTTTCACAGTTTAGAAATAAGGCATCCCAAACTGAAGCTTACATTTGGTCCCAAAATTAAAAGTTCTTCCAAGACAGTCTTCTTTCTTTATGGTGACAATCTCATTCAAAAGAGGATTTCTCTTAAATTAACAAGAGCTTCTTTAAATTTCTTTAACTTAAATAAAACTTTTTAAAACTTTACTTCTACTGATGAAGCGAGCAAGGTCACCTTTTTCAAATGAAAGAAGTATATAAATAGTGAAAGAGTTTCAATCACTGATGCTATAGTTTTGAGCTATTTTACACATTACTGTAATACGCAGAAAATTTTTATCATCTTGGTTATAATGCAAGTAATAACTTTCAGTGAAGAAAAATCGGTACTATTCGGTTTCGAGGGTGATAAAAAATCGCCAAACTATTGTTGATGCCAATGCTGCCAAAAATAATTGCGGCAAGAAAGGAAGTATAATAGTAAATAAATATCTAAGATTGATGTTTTAATTTAGATGAAAGGTTAATTTCATATAATACTTTTTTATTATTATAATTTATATCAAAAAGGCTAAACATGACTGAATGGAAGCATAAGAGTGAATAAACTATTTCAGATTATTATATAATATATAAAAATTGCTAAACATAACTGAATGGATGCCTGCATCGCTATTTCGCTACCGACTTATCGCTAAAGCATATTTATCTCGTTGGTTGTTCAAAGTAATAACGATGCCTTTTTTTTTTTTTAATATTCCGGTTTAAAGTGCAGATCGCTCACTATTTTTGCCGCTTTTTACAAGGTGAAAACAATTGAATTTTTGTCAATTTTTTTACTTTTTAAGCGAAAATAGGTCGATGTTACATAGATAAAGTCGGTGGCGGGTTGCAGTGCCATTTTTGTGCTAGGATTTTTTTTTAAGTGAAAATAGGGTCGATGTGCACATGGATACCGAGTATGGCAATTCTTAAAAACGCGTTTAAGAGTGGGTGATTTGCACTTACCCAAAATTCTATTGCCGATTTTCGTCATGGGCAATCCCAAATGTTAAATCCATAGGATATCAAAAAAGGATTTAAAATCAAAAAGGATTTAAAAATTAATCTAGTATGTCAATGGTGTCTTAAGAAATATAGAACTATATAAACTTATGCAATCAGAAATAAACGCATACGCTAGATTTGGCGCTTTTGCGCATACATATTCGCTGCAATTTTTTACGGCCCTCAAAACCGAATAATCTTTTTCAACAATTGAAAGAGTATAAAACATTACCAAATAGCATAAAAGTGACTTGAGTGAGCTTCTTATGATTTCAGGCCCCCGATATATTAGCTACATATATATATATAAATGTATGTAGCTTATCACGCCAGTAAGAACTTAAAAGGATCAATTGGATTTATTACGAGAATGAAAAGTGCATCCATAAAAGTTTGGTACATTTCTGTTATTAGGACTGAATTCAGAAATGTATGTATGTAATGTACTTACACACATACATACATACATGCATACAAAACGTACATTTCTGAATCCTGCCACAATAAAACAGAAGAGATAAGAAATTCAAATAAGAACTACAGTAGAAAAAAAATTAAATACAGTGCTTTTTAGCAAATATAGAAGTCCCTGTAAGATGGTATTTCAGTGTGTAAAGCAAGCATTCATAATTTTTATTACTATTGATATCACTATCAAAACTATTTAATTTAGAAAATGCAGTAGTGATTATTTTTCACGAAACTGACTATTGATACATGCAGAAATGTGTTCAATGGCCAAGTTTGCCTTTTTAATGTTTTTTTTTCACCCAGATATCATAACCTTATATAAAAGTTAAGGAATAAGTCTCATCTCTTCCTTGTCCACTAAAAAAAGAAAAATTCTAATTATATATCTCTCTATCGATTTGTTTTCTAGAGACATTTTTCAGGGTTGATAAGAAACCATAAATCATACTCAAAAAGAATAAAAAATTATTTCCAGGACACCCAAGGCCTCAGAATGAAGCTACATCAAACAGTTTCAAAGCATACAAAACAATTTTATGTATGTATGTAAGACAAATAAGTCAAACAGTTTTCAAAGCACTTGGCGTATTTTAATTTTGACAAAGTTTTTGTCATCATTGAAAAAAAATTTGTCAAGTTACTATATCTGCACAAATAATTAAACACTTCACTAAACAAAAAAAATTTTAATAAAACATACAATATAAAATATGTTGTACCTATGTCGAAACTTACCATTCAGTCTTGCTTTATCTGCACTTCTCTCATTTGATATTGAAGACGAAGCAGAAAATTTGGCATTTGCAAGCAAGGGTTCACTACATTCATCTGGGATGGAAAAAAAAATTACAAAATTCGTTAGTTACCTTCATATATTTATACTTCAGCCGCAGAATAATTCATCAATACTAATTTTTAATTAAGTAGCATATAATTTGTAAGATCAAGATGTTCAATATCAAATTTATGCATAAGCTTATTACGGGCTGTGATGGCACAGTTTTTAATAATGAAGCATATATATGTGCTTAGCTTTATGATGTCTCTTAAAAATTATTGTAGATTATCCTGTCAAATTTATACTGGTAAGTACCATGATTACCTATGGTGCAGAATTAAAAATGGATAAAGTTAATAGCTTGTCATACAATGTTTATTTGGTTCATGGTTTTATTTTTGCCATTCTAATATACCATATTTACTTGCAAATTTTCCCACCTAGCAGCGTATGGCTCTGAATTTTTTTTTTTTTTTTATGTATTCATGTAGATTTCCCCTTCTTAAGGCATTCTTCAAAGCTATCTCCTCTATATTTTAAAATGGATGGTTAATCTTTGGATTATGATAACTTGGCGATTTTTTGGCAACCAACCCTGCTACAGCAACCTGCTAGTTTTTGTTTGGACGCCATTTTGTTTTCACGATGTAATAGCATGTTTTTGTTTTTTTTCCCCTCAACATTTTTTTACAACAATCTGCTAGCCGAATTACGCTTATGCTAGATCTTTTATGGAACAAAAGTGCTTAATTATGACGAAGATTAGGTGTGAAATTGGGAGAAAGTGCAGAATCGCAAACTGCTTGCCGCGTTTTTAAGAATTGCACATACATGGTATCCATGTACACGTCGACCTATTTTCACTTAAAAAAACATCCCAGAATTGCACAAAAATGGCATTTTATGCACACTCTTGACTTTATCCATGTATACTGGTAAAGTCTTAGCTAGTAACCTTTATCGCCTCACCAAAATGTCGCCAAACTACCCGTTACCATATTCCAAAGATTAGCCAAATGGATTTATCCATGTAGAAGGATGGAAACAAACAGGTTGGTTACATAGTTAGTTTTACCCTTGTGTAATGGGAATATGAGTCAGTTTCGCTTAAAAAGTCCTCCAGAAAATATCCCTTTCCTTATAAAGATAGCTTTCAGGCATTTTGCCATATTCAGATAACCTAGCCTAATCTAATTACTACACAAATGTCATAAAAAGTATGCAATGTCAATAAAATTAATATATTCTCTCCTGACAGTACAATAAAAAATTTCTTTTAATATTATTTTTAACTTTACCACAAAAGATACTATACTTTTTAAAGGAAATATTTGCATATTATAAAGAAATAATTAAACAGATGCTTTAATCAATCAATGAAATAGTGGATTACACTTTTTCAAAGGAAATTTTCTTATAAAGAAATAATGAAAAAGATGTTTTAAGGAATAAATGAAATAGTGGATAATTATTAATCTCATATGTATGCACGTGTATATATATTTTAAATTATATATACATATGTATATATATGCATGCATGTATGTATGTAAATGTGTGCATACATACATACATTTCTAAATCCAGTCCTGATAATACAAGATTAGCCAATATTCAAATCCCGGTAAAATCCTGTATACAGTGCAGCCTTGGCATGATTTTGAAAATTATCACCAACACCAAAATGACCCATTTAACTACTTAACGTATATGTCCCGTTTACTGCTTATTATAAATTCGACAAAAGTAGCTTAGTCCCTTGTGCACCGGATACTAGGATTAAACCCAAATCTCTGTACTTTAGACAAAAAAAAAAAAAAAAAATAACCACTAAAATGAATAATAACCAACATGATAAATGCCTTTATTTCAGCTATAAGCCACTACTGCTTAAACAGCAATATGACATGGATTGTAAAAGTTTCAAATATGTTAAAGAAGTTAATAATTCAGAATCATTAGCAAAATTAAACTATGAGGATGTTTAAATTTTGTAACTAATTACTTAAATAAGTTTCAAATTAAATTAGACATAATTTCTAAAATTTTAAATAGATTTATTGTATTGTAAGTGTACTAGGATAAAGGACTTCTGAATGGACTGAATACATTTTATATATATGCTGTTGAAATGATATATATATTTTATTCAACTATTAATTCCCTTTTTATAACCTAAAATAAAGAGCTATATTTTTAATGTTAATTTAATAATCATGTGTTATTAAGTGTTCTTTGCACTTCAGAACTACACTTCTTAAGAGTTCTGTGTACTTTCAAATAATGATTCAAGATGTCGGAATTTATTTAAAAAAAAAGTTGTATGACATTAATGCCAATTCTAAAACTGAATACTTATGTTCAAAATATTATGCTTCGCTCAAATCTAGAATATTTAAATTTAAGCTACTATGCTTGGCTCATACCAAGAATATGTACTATATTTATGCTTCACCCACATCTATCCTTTTCTTACAATACAAGTACAACTGGAACGTAATTGCAATAGATACCTTATCTTTAGTGATAAGAGAGGCAGATAGTAATTTTGCACTTGCAACTCATTACGTTATGATACATATAATGTAGTGCAATTAAGTCCATGTATTTATACGTACCTTCAGCTTTTAAATATATGAAATCATACAAAAACAGAACTATTAGAAATAAAAACTTCATTTTCTCATAGTATATTTATTCTCAGAATATATATTTTAAATGCAAGTGCATGGTCCCGAAATTAGTTGATTACTTTTAAAACAAATTATCAAAACATCACATCCGCGCCCAAAGCATGTTTCCGACAAGTGTACACACCCAAACTGGGATGACGAACCGCGGTAAATTCCATCAAGGTTAATTTAAAAGTACAGAACTTATTTCATAATTAATTAGTCTTTGTTTCTTCAAATCCATTATACTACATTTCAAGCATGGTAATTTTATAACAATAGTCAGTATCGCAAAGATTTCGAATACTGAAATTCCTTATTCAAATTATCACAAAATATTGTATTTTTGTAACCTGTAACTGTAACGTGTTTTTTGTAAACATGGTCCCGAAGCGCCGAAATTTGTCGTGCGTTTATTATTAATAAACTAGGTATATTTAAGTTTTAAGATTTTGAATTATAATGTGTGAGTATTTGTGCTGCATAGTGTTTTTATTCGTTGCTTCAGTGGGAGGCTTCAGTTAATTGTGCACGGTTAATGCGAAAAACAAATGTTCACATATTTTCTGAAGCATCAGATTCGGCTGAAAAAATAAATTTGCTTTTCAGATAATTAGGAGTTTGAGCATATTTCAGTGTACCTTAAAAAGTAATTTTATTTTATTTGCACTAATATACAATTAGTTTTATATAAAAGTCATCCACCCATTTTATTACAGAATCAGATATTCAGATGTAAAATCATGTCGAAATAAATACTTTGAAAGGTTATATAACTGCGGGAATTTTCAGAAATTAAATTTATTCACATTATATATTGATCAGTAAAATTTTAGGTTTTTCAATCAGAGTACTAAAGGCTCAAAATTTTGTGTATGTGTAAAAAAACTTGTTTTCAGAAATGGATTTTTAAAGAAATGAATAAATAAGAACGATCTCGATAATAAAAAGTTCATCGCAGCGTCTACAGTACATAATGTTTTTGTAGGTAAGCTTTTTTAACTGCATTGCATTACCACTCAAAGAACAAGTACTTTTGTAAATAAAAAATGTTTACTGCGTGGCAATGACTTGATTTTTTCCCTCAACTTCTAAGTAAATATTATTACATTTTTTTTTTTTTTTTTCATTTACTTGGTGTCCTAATTTTTCCCTTAGGAAGCTTCAAAAAGAATGATTTTTTACAGTGGAAGTTCGCTACCCTTATGCAAAAGTTCTAAACCAGTTGTTTCTGTAACATTTTTATGCTGTATACTGATAAATTATGCACATTGAATTAAATTTTAAAAATAGGAACACATTTAATGGGAACTTTGAAATTTTCGACTGTATTCAGTAATTTAAAATCTCGATCAGAAGTTGACCAAAACAGTCTCAAATCCATTGAAAAATCTGTTTTCAAATTGTAACTCACTTAACTTTTAAATTGTAACTCGCTTAACTTTCAAATTGTATTTCTGGTGGTATGCATACCACAGAGCTGAGAAACACTGCTCTAAACCAAAGGGCCAATGTTGACGTTATGATGACTTTTATGCAATAGGCTAGATCAGTGCTCCGCAACCTTTTCTCATCTGCAACGCACAAAAAATCTTTCTGGAATTTCGTGGCACACCAAAGAGTTCCGAGTTATCAAGGAAGTGCCGAAAAATTCAAATGCTGACACACAATCACACACACAACCACACAACAGTGAAATATATAAAAACATTTAAAATAGACATTATTAAGGGAAAAAAAATGTCATTGTGTATTAAATACATGATAAAAAATTGCAAAATGTCAAATATATGTATTTGATTGCGGCACACCTATATCTTACTCATGGCACACCAGTGTGTCGCGGAGCACTGGGCTAGATACTAATGCTTTATGATGATGTGTTTATGCATTTAACTTTATTCCATATTTTATATACATACTATGTTCCTAAATTAAAAAATTGCAAAAACTAAAATAATCTAGGTGATAGCTTCTTTAGTTTGGTTAAAACACATTAATGATATATTTATATCAATAATCAATAGAATGAATGAAAGGAATAGAAATATGACAATAAACAATGAATAGAAATGTTTTGAAATAGAAATATTATATTTGAATTGTTTATTTCAGATAGAAATTGAAAAATACTTTGATATTAAATAAACCTTGGTCACTTTTTTGATTAGAGTATACTGAAGGGTAGCCTTTTTATTATTGCGAAGTTGTAGTTTCACTTATCGCTAAGTTGTTGTTTCATTTAAGGTAACCTGAGTAGTTGAATATTCCGTAAATATACTTTTACCTAGAATTGAGTGCTCCTTTGACTTTTTGAGTGAAAATATATCTATGTGTACATGGACAAAGTCAAGGGAGTGTGCAATGACAAGTTTGTGCAATTCTCTGATGTTTTTTTAAGTGAAAATAGGTCGACGTGTACATGGATAAAGTCAAGGGAGTGCGCAATGCCTAGTTTGTTGAATTCTGTGATTTTTTTTAAGTGAAAATAGGTCAGTGTGTAAATGGATACTAGGTTTGTTCAAATCTTTGACTTTTTATTTTGTCTTTGTGTAGCGGCGATTTGTGGTGCTAATATCATCGCTACACAAATCCAAAATAATAAGTCAAAGAATTGCACAAACTTGGTATCCATGTAGCTCCAATTTTCGCCAAGGGGTACCCGTAAATATACTTTTACTTTTTTTTAAAATTAAATTACACACTGTAAAATATCATAAGGTATTTCAAGTTCCTTACTTATTTATTACAATGGAATTTGTTATGATTTTTTTTTTTTTTTTTCCTAAACTTGAAGTTAATTTTCTGCAAATTGACTTAATTTTTATGTATTCTGCAAAGATCTTGGCCATTCACAGTTTTAATTATTTCTGTTTTAGTAAAGAACAGGTTATTAAAATAAATATAAGATTTTTTTTTTTTTTACAACATTGAAATAACTTCCAGAAATATATTAAACTATAGCCTATACTTGTTGGATAATTCTTTGGCTAATTTGTGCCTGAGCAATTTTGCTGTACATGTTATAATCTTATGACTTAAAATCTATAGTCATACATTTTTTCAATTTTAATTACTTATTTCCAATTTAGTTGTTTACTCATTAATATTGGCAGTAGCATAATATGATAAATATTATCAGCAAAGCTTGAAATAATTACATTTCCATTTCGAAGCTATCATCTCATATCATAGACATTCTTCAGTATTTTTTCTTTAAGCATTAGGGCTGTTATAGATTTTTGAATTAAAAACTTTGCAAATAGAAGCAAAGAAGTCTTTATCAATAAGTTGAAATAAAGCATATATTGATTATTCCAAGAAAAATTAAATTTGGTTTCAAGTTCACAGAAATTGAATACATTTAGATTGAACCAAGTAACTAAAACATAGATTTTTTAGCCAAATTAACATATCAGATTTTAAAATTCTCTTTTAAAATATCTACTTGTTGCTTTCTTATCTCAAATTATTGCAGTAATCTAATAGTTAACTTGTCTGTACTAGATATCAAACTTTCAAATCTGATGAACAAAGACCGTCTAGTAATATATTAGCTTCAACTTTGTATCAGGTTACATAATGAGTTCCGAGATCTAACATTTCCAAAAGCCAGTCCATCTAATCTGTCGCCATTATTTTATATAAATTTATTTACTTTTCAGCTTTTAGTTTTTTTTTTACTATTCAGAAAAGAATATGGTATTATGTATTAATTTTTTTTTGGCATCCAATTTATTTTATCACTAAATTTATTCTGTTAAAAGTTTATTTTATCATCATCTGTTAAGATATACAAACAATTGCTTTCACTGAGAGTTCACTGAGAAGCTTATGAAACAATTGGTGCAAATTCTGTTATCACCAGTAATAATTTATTTGGAACTAAAGGAAAAAGAGAGAGAGCAAAAAGAAATAAGATCCAAATGGAAAAATAACGTACCCAGTTTTTTATCATCTAACTACTAGCATGTAATAATTAAAAGGAAAGCATCAAATATTACAAAAGTTATCAGAATAAGTCAAACTGAACAGTAAGAAAGTTTGACTTAATTTTGGCTTTTTGCGATGAAAAAGGCCAAAATAATAACTATGCAATAAAACAGGGTTGTTACGTAAGGGGCCATTTAAAATGTTTACAGTGTAACTGCGGCCATAGGCTGTTATAGTTTACCAAAAACTTCTTTGAATGTATGATAAGAAATAGTGTTTTGTTCATAGAAAAGTTCATGTACATGAAAACTTGCAAAAACTGAATTTGGCTGACATAGGATGTTGACATACTTCCTAGAGACAAAATTTACAATGTGCCATTATCCATTTCATCATAATGCACGTTATAAAGCAAGCAGAGTTGTAGTATCTTTTGATCGATAAGTGCAGTTTCAGTATTGTGCATTCTTAGATTAGAAAGTGATCCCTATTTTAACACAATTACCTTAGATTATCTTATATATCAGATTTTTCATCCTGTGACCTCTCTTTTCTTTCTTGGCCTTATTTGTTCAATGTTTTGAGACAATTCAAACTATCTAAAATCATATAAAAATGACAGCTACCTAAAGAAGCATACAACCAATGCTTTTAATAATGTCCGAAACAGTTAAGCAAATGTGTGTGCTTGAATAAATTCACCTGAAAGGAAACTAAGTGATAATTTTTTTACATTTGAAATAGAATTATACTACAAGCATTTCTCATAAACATTTTGAACAAAGAGAATTAACATTCTACTCTGATAGAAAAAGAGGTCATGCATATTTTTATGTATTTTTATTTTGGTAGTCAATTGGTACGCAATCTACCACTTTTTTAGGTGACAGTACTAAAATTGGTTGTTGTTTTAATCATTACTTTTCCCATCAATGAAGGTTACTTAAAGGTGATAGGCATCAGTCATTTAGTTTAAATAGGGCACAATGTGAAGGCGACTGATATCACCCCCCTAATCCCTCTAACATGAAATTGATTATTTAGAAATGCATTTATGTCGTATTGGAATCAAGGATTCATCTTGTTGCCTTTATGTCATCAGAGTGACATGGGTGGCAACCATCTCAATAACTGCCTCATTATTATTTAAAAATTTTTTAATGACAACTCTTTTGATGCTAGTTTTAATTCTTATTTTCATTCGTCATTTTACTGGGCTGCTTGTTGCTTAATGGCAGAAGTGCCAAGGACAGGTGTAGGTTTTTAAAAAAAATCTTTTCCTGACCATTTTCAAATTTAAAAATAATATTTCAATTGCGCCATCTAAGAAATGAGTAACAAACTAAATGCAATAGATTATACACTACACGATTACCTATTTCCCCCCTTATTTGGTATACTTTTATTTTTTCTACAAATTTTATTTAATTTCCAAGCCTTAGAATTTTCTTTTAATTTTAAAGAGCAGTCTATGGGTCATATATTGGAGAAATTCACAAGAATGCTGCTGTTATACTCTTATGTTCGATAAAGATCTCTGTTTTATGTTGTAAAGTTCACAAAACTACAGGATAATGAAGTTAAAATAAAATTTCTCAAACGAGACCAAAACAAGATAGATTGGAAAATATAAACTTTCAATACATCTGTAAGGTTGCTAAAGTGAAAAGTGTTATTTATGAATCCTGCAAAATATTCTCTAATAATTATATTTTTGTAGAATAAGAGAATAAATTTTCTACCTGTCCTTGCAAACTTGTATTAAGATTAAGTGACTCGGGAGTTATTCCAAACCTGGAATTTTTCCTGGTCATTTAAAAATTATAGTTATTAAAATTACAAGTACATTTATATTGAAGTAAGCATTATTATTTGGACATCAAGAGGTCCTTGTTTCTCATCAAAATTACCTTATTAGTTGTTATAATTAATTTAAGTTCTTGATTTTTAACAAGTAATTAACCTAAAGCTGGTTATAAATTTTCCATGTGTATTCAAAAATTTATAGTTTTTATCGAAATTTTAAAATGATTCATTTTATTATAGTTTTTGCTGCCATCATGTGAATGCAGTATATTATTTAAATAATAATTCCACTTTCAGACTATCAAAATACAAAATAATTATTAGGAAATTTGGTAATTAAGTGGTAATAATTTTACATGTAACCAGTTTAACAATTTATTCATATTTGGCCATAATATAGTATTGTTCCTATGACAATAGATGCATTTTTCACAGGAGGTTCAGTTGAAGGATTTTACTTGTGTAATAACAAATTAATTTATTATTTATTAGTAAATTACATTGTGTAATAACAAAGTGCTTTATGTGATTTTGGTAAAAAGTGCTGAGAATTCAAAAGTAGCTTATCACAGAAGCCTGTAAAACTTTATTATGAAGCTTATCAGTATAACATCTTTGTAGCTGGGGTGACATATATAAAATAAATTCTATTTAAATGTTATCTAACAAAAATGAAATATTCTTTATCTTTAGCCCAACAGGAAGATAATAAACATTTGTAACTATAAATAAGTAAAGTATTACTATGCTGAGATCGTTGGGAGTTTCATGTAATAGGCACTCACGAAGTTGTTGATTATTTTAACCACTGCAAATTATCTGCTATTACTTTCTTAGATTTTTTTCCCTCCCATTATTAATTTAAAATTTTTAACATTCTGATTTAGGGTGTGGTGTAACTCATGCATAATAACTCTGAATCTCAATCTCAATGGAAAGAATGGTTTCCTCACTGTATTATAAATGGAGGTTTGTATTTTATTTTATATTTTTATTGCACGTAGCAACTTTTCCCATAATATAAAAAGCATTCATATATTATAAGAACATTTTAAAATAGAGTACAAATTTTGAAATTTTAACTTTGTAATTATCATTTACTCTACCTCCATTAAATAATTATTAAATTCTTTAAAACTTTTAACTGGTTTTTAGCAAATGTGATTTAACTAGCTCCTCAAAAATACATTTATATTATTAAAAAGACTAACTTAAAAAGAATCTTAAAGTCTTAAAAAGAATGAAGTTTTAAGTATGAAAATTTTAAATGATTCAGGCAAAAAGTCTGTTATATGTGTCATTGTTTAGATTTTACATACAAATTGTTTTTAAAAAAATTCCTCTTTTTAGTAGCTTTAATTAAATTGATTCAGTTGGTTTATCTAAAAATGTTTCGTAATTGTATAAGATATTTTGGAAGAAAAAGAATACTTTTAGGTAGTCTCCGCCAAGGTGGTTAGTATTTAAAATGCCTTCCTTAGCCCCTCCCCCCAAAAGAAAATTATCTTTTTATTAAAACAAAGTTTTAATTGATAAAACTTAGTATATGAACCTTAAACTACATGTATGACTAACTTTTTTATTATTTCAACGGGGAGTTTTTATAAATATATCACTCTTCAAAAATTGAATGGCTTCAAAAATTACAGAAAGATTTTACTTGAAAAACATGATTTTATAATCTTCCATTCAATAATAACGACTGTATTTTTTAAGTTATTGATATTAAAATTAGTTTATTTCTACAGAGATAAAATAATTACAATTTTTGTATTAAGTATTTTGAACCCAAGCTATTAGAATTATTTAAACTTGACGGTAATCCGTTTTTTCTTCCATCATGTTTATTTAAGTATTCAACTCTCTCCTTGCTGGTGCTTACATTATTTAATTATATTGTTTAAACTTTTCTTGTATTAAATTAAACTTGTTGTTATAAAAGCATTAGATTCAGTTAATAAATGCTGTTCATTTGAAAATGTTGAAAATATTTCAAGAATTTTTAATTTTTAATTGATTTTATTCAGGAACTGAAAATACATGAGAAATTTCTCACAGATTGTAACTACTTATGAAATGAACAAGGCTCGTTCTCATTTTCATAATGCTAACTTTTGGGAAGATTTTATACTTGAATTTTTTTGTTTCAATGAATTCTGTTCTTTTGTGCAAGTTACTTGTCTGCTTTTTCAGGTGAAATCTCACAATGTTTTCTGAGATTGGTAAATACTTATCAGTGTTCTCTTTCAACACTATGTTTTTTGGTGCTAGGTCAGCCAGTTCATTCACCAATATATTAGAGTAAATGGGATCCAACCATGTTGAAGTTTGACTTTTCATTAGATATTATTTATTTTATCTTTTGAATAGTACTATAAAGCTTTAGTTTAAACTTGTGAGAGCCTGGGATACACTTTTGTAACATATTTTGATTGTATCTGTCTAAAGTAATCTTGCTCTGCATTTACTCTTCTGATTGCTTGAAAGTATACAGAATTGTTTTTAGAGGGTATTTGCATTATACTTATCTCCTATTATGTTTCAGCACTCTTTCCTGTGATTGCTGCACTTTTTAAAATTTATTGCCTGGTTGAATAAGATCCTTGGAAATTGGTGTTTCAATTCCATATGGATATAATAAGCTTGTTAAGTGTTCTCTCCTCAGAACAATTTTATCATATGTAATATAGGTATGAATCAAGTTCTTTGGAAAATGTTGCATGAAGCCATTTATTTGAAAATATTCATTCAAAGATTTATTTGATATTAATTTAAGATTTGATTTGCACATGTTTGCTAATAAGAAGCTATCTTGCCTAATATATCGTTTGATATTAATTACAGACACAGTAAGTGCTCCAATTTGTTACTGTTGTAGAACTTGCATTTATTTTCAAATATTTCTAGCTTTGATATCACATTCTCAACATTCCTAAAAAATAAAAACCCTGCTGTTATATATTTTCTGTTGTATGTATTATAGACAGGTAGGGAAAATGCTCATTTTATGATAACAGGCAAATTCCATGAGTTTAAAGTCATCTGTCAGCATTATTATCATTATTTTCTACATATTTGCCACTTAACAGAATTATGATTTTTTTTATTTGTTTTCTTCCAATATCTACAAATATGATTATTCTGAATATGATTTATCTCTTGATTTAAATTATTGTCTTTTATTCTGAATATGATTTATCTCTTGATTTAAATTATTGTCTTAATGAAAAATTTATATTTACTTCCAAAACATGATTAAATGCATTATGATTTCTAAGATTCATGTATTTGTTTTTTAGAACATCCATTTTGCCTTTTAATCTTGAATCAGCTACTTAATAAAGAGAATGAACATTTTCTAAAGAAAAACTGGAGAAATGGTAAGTATACTTACTTATGATTACAATTTATTAATATCTTTGAAATATATTGATATATTTGTAATGAAACTTCCAAATTTTAATGTACTAAGTATATCTGTAATTTTATATATTTCCTATTCACATAATTTTCTCCTTTCAATTTTTAGATGATAAAATTAGTTGAAAAAAGAATGAAAACATGTGAGGAAATATGGTATTTAAGTATGTTATATAAAAGAGTTTCAGAATAAATTTATCTGTATTTTGTAATTGCAGCTGCAATCCGCATTGCTGTTGATGGGGGTGCTTGCCAGCTGAAAAGTATATCAGATGAAGAATTGAACTTGATACCTGATGTGATATGTGGAGATTTTGATTCAGTTACACCTGATGTTCTTGATTACTATCAGAACAAGGTTAAAATAATTTTCTTTAAAATCTCTCTTAATTTAAATGCCCTGCATTGTGAAAAATATTTTGGACCCCCCCCCCAAAAAAAAAAAAAGTATTGAGTAGCAAACAGTGTCTTGAGTAGTGACAGCCTTTCAAGCTTTTCAAGTTGGTAATAAATGATTTTTGAAAGTACTTTGGGGTAACTCCTGACACTGAATTAACCCTCAGAGACTTCTAGAAATATTTTTATGTCCTTCATTGCTTAACTGTCACTAACAAAGTCTGCCAAGCAAACAATGTCTCAAGTAATGACTGTGCAAGCTGGCAATAAATGATTTTTAAAAGTGCTTTAACCTCTAATACTAAATTAACCCTTAGAAACTTCTGGAAATATTTTTATTCATTCATTATTTAATTGTCATTAACAAAGCCTGGCAATGAGTGACTTATAGGACCATGAGTTCAGCCTGAAAGAAATTATGGCCTGATTGTATTACAGGCAAAATCTTTGATAGCAGTAATACTGAGAATTTTTTCATTATTAATGACGATATATATCTAGGCAAAACTAGTGACTAGAAAAATAACAGTAAAGACATGGAAATACTAGAAAACCACAAAAATGAGCTCAATATTAAAGAGCTAAAACATATTCAAATGTGGAATAAAAAGTGATTATGAAAGTGCATTAACACGTCAAAAGAATAGGGAAGAGAATCCTGTACCCAGTTGAGGCTACAAGATTTGTGCCAGATGCAGTAAGGTGTAAAGTTTTCTGGAATAATATCATTCTCATAAAGCTGCAGCAATAACAGCATAAGCATTTTCATTATCATGTCTTGCTTTAGAAATGTTTTAAAAACAAAGCAAATCACATTGGACAATAGCCCTTTGAGTCTCAAACAGAGGGCTAAGAAACAAAGAAGAAAGGTGCTCCAGGAAGATGGATAACTGATGTTTTTGTGGAAAGAGATTTCCTCTCCAAAAAATACATTTTGTGCTTTTCTTTTTCTAAATATTTTCCACTTACGTTATGAACTCTCCTTTCTACAAATATACTAAAATTAAACAGTTATCCTTTTTATCTGTGTAGCATTCTGTTTTTATTGTATCTTTAGATTTAATGATTTTAATTGATTTTGTGTGCCAAATTTGTGCACAAATGCTGTTCGAAAAGTTGAAATAACCAGTCTTCTATAGCCCCATGATAAATTGTATTGATAAAATAGTTTTAGTATATGAAGACTTCAGGTGACAAATGACCTTTGTGAACCAGGATTTCATCGCATTTTAGTGCCACTGCCTTCATCACACTTAAGACATTTCCCTGAAGCATGGACATAAGTTAACTATTCATCTTATCAAAATTATGTTCTTTCTATTATATTTAATCAACAGTTTTTAAATTCGAGAACTTTATTGTTAATAATTTGCACTTTTCCTCTGTTATAGGGTGTTGAAATAGTTCATACACCTGATCAAGATGAGACTGATTTTACTAAAGCTGTAAGACTAGCTGTTCAGTATATAGCTGAGAAAAAGTTGCAGGTAAATTTGTGTACATAATTTTGAATGCATGTCTGAAATTCAAAACGAAAAAAACACTTGACCCCCCTCCGAAAAAAATTACCAGTAATTCTTTATTTTCATTTTTTAATCAGATACTATGCTGAATAATTATTGCTTCTTTTTGTAGTGAAACATTATAGGCTCACTATATCATGTTATTGCTGAAATAGTCTAATTTTTAAATATTTCGAGGAAATTATCTGTGTTGTGTCATTATCACCAAGTTCTGCTACTCATTTATCAATAACTGATAATTCTGTAGATTAAATATATTTGTTTCCTTATGCTACGTGATTTACATTTCTAATCTTTCTGTCTGAAATACAGGAACTAATGTTTGTGCAATGTAATTTTTCTTTGATGAAACAATTGTTTGAGGCTTTGCTAGGAAAAATTAAAGCTGTGTATTACTGAATCTTAAGTTAGATTTATGTGTCAAAATTTTAACATCTTTCTCTTAATATAAATTGCAGAATAATTTTAGATTAATCACAGTTGAAACACTAATTAATTTTAAAAACTAGTTCCTTTCTATGTGTATTCTATGTCTAGTTATAAGAATGCAAAATTTTTGTATCAGTGCCAGAATGTCTTTTTATCCACTCTGTACAATAATCATTATTTTTAAGATTAATGCAATTAATAAAGTTTGAAAATTACATGCAAGGGTTGCCTTAGATTGATATAAATTTGGTACTTTTTCATTAAAGCTATACAACACGCTTCTGGTACCCTGTTGTCCTAATAATATGTCTTCCTCCCCCCCCCCCCGTATTCATTAAATGAGAATTGTTTTTAAGTATATTATTTTAATTATTATATGCATTCTTATATTTCGATGAAGAATGAAATTTCACAAAAGATAATACATTCAATAATGCCATTTTTAGTGTGATATTTAGTTAAAAAAAAATTATAAGTTAAAAATTCAGTAGCTTACAAATTTAGGTATAAATCCTCAGTTAAGTGTATAATTGGCAATTTTTCTTAAAATTCTTCTTGGTTAATTCAGTATTTTGTTGACAATATTATTCACTTACAGAGGAAACTGTCATTGTTTTCAATTTGTGGGATATCAGAAATTCCTTCCTACATAGATATCATTTCTGTAAAATAGTTAAATTCGTTTTCTATTAGGAAAGGTTTAAGGAAAAATATTGCAGGTGTCAGATTCAAAAACAAAAGCAAATGCCAAGAATTCAGATGTATCAGTAGAAGTCATATGCTTCAATCTAATGTCCTGTTCAAAATTTTTGATCCTCTTATCAACTTTGTTTTTGGCAGGGCATTACTATGAAACTTGTGAAAGAGAAAACAAGAAGCTTCTTTTGCTATTAACAAATGAACGGTCTTGCAAATTTTCACAGGGTTAGTTTCGATGGTTTTACTGAATCATCATTGTCAGCTGCCAAAGTGCAAATGAACGAGATTAGATATAGTGATAAGATACAATAAGATAAGAATGGCTGGACATGAGTTAAGCTACTGGTGCCATCTATTGATGAAACAAGAAAACTAAAACAAAATTTCCTTAAAGGTTGAAGGTAAAGATGGATTGGAATTAGAGTCGTTAACTAGAAACAGAAAGTTTTTTTGAATGTGAAATGCCTGTAAAAATTCTTATTCGGCAATGGAATATATTTTTTTGAATAATTTTGGTTGCAGAAAAATGTAAAGTGTGATTTTTGGACCAACAATGCTGCGCGACAAAGGACTTCTGTGTTTCATCTTTCCTAACATATACCTCATATTCCTTAATGCAAAATTTTAAGGCTGTTTTAGTTGGATCAATGTAAATTAAATCACACTGGCAAAGAATCCTGCAAATACCACAGGAATTCATATCCGGAAGGGGGTTCTTAAGTATGAAACTTAGAATTTGATTGATAGGAGAATAAATGACCCGAAAGTTAAATTTCTGTAAAATGCATGCAGTTTTATAGCTAATTGATGGAAAGAAAGGAATGACAACAAAATTCTTATAATCTTTTAAAACAAGAGTGTGCCTTTTAGTGTGTTGAGATGAGAATTTATTAACTGCTTGGTTAATAATGTTGGGTGAAAAACCCCTGTCAATAGCTACTACTTTTAAATAATTTAGTTCTTGATCAAGAGCCAATTTGAAGTGCACGGAAAACAAAGAAATAAAATGAACCTAACTTTTGTTTACTCAAATGACATGATTTGAAGCGTAGTGGAAGGCAAACCGATAAAGGTTTATGGTAAACCAGTGGAGTAGCGAGCATAACTGGCACCCGGGCCAAAATACCTTTTCGCCCCCCCCCCAAAAAAAACACAGTGATATGATGAAAATCTTGTTTGGAGATCATATGGCGCCCCTCTGCGAGCGGGGCGTCATACACACTCTTCCCCCCCTCACTGCGCCATTGTGGTAAACTGTAGTATTGAAGTTGGATATGTGTTACATGTGACCAAAATGTTGGAAAAGAAGAGAGTTGCATGTCTGATGTTCAAAAGTTTACTGAATAGGAGGATCAGTGGAGTTCATTATTGAAAAAATATTTAAATCATCTTATTACCATCAAACAGGGTAAAAGTATCGTGTAAGTAGTGAAACCATTCCGGGAAGTTTAAAGTTTCATATAATTTTGATTCACAATAATGCATGTAGATATCAGCCAGGATGGAACTAAGGGGGCTTTCCACGTCTAATCCCTCAGTTTGCTTGTAATACTTATTTTGGAAAACAAAATGCTTTTGTTTCAAACAGAGTTGAGTAAGGAAAATTTGCTCATCAATTTCGATGCAGGAGAAATGAAATTCACGAAGTCTGGTTTTGAGACATTTTAATGCAACCTCCACTGGAACGTTGGTGCATAATGATTTTACATCAAAAGAAACCATGAGTAAATTTCTAGGAGAAATGCTTTTAATTTTTATTATTTTTAATTTTATTTTATTTTACGAGTTCTATTGAATTTTTATGGTGTAAGTGTGATTATCTATAGAGTTGAAAATCTAGAAACTAAATATTTAGCTAAAGGATACGAGGCAGTACCTAAATTTGATACAATAGGGCGGAAAGGAATACCACTTTTATGAATTTTGGGAAGAGCATATAATCTGGCACAATTCGCAACAGATGGGATAAGCGAATGTTTTAAGTTGCTTGCAAAATGATTTGCGAAGATTTGATCGCAGTTTTATTTTTGGATAAGTCCGAAGGTGAAAGGATCTTTAGGGATCGGATTATATGGTCCTTCGTTTAAGAGTGTTAGTGACACCATCGATGTAAGTGTTCTTATCCATGACGACTATCTGGCCACCTTTCGGCCTTTGAAATGATGATGTCCAGTTTTAGAATGAATTTTGTGCATTGTAGCTGTTTCTCTCGCATTTAGATTTGGTTTTAAAGGCTTATTGTTGAATTTTATACTGTGGGCGATAAGATGCCTAATCATTTCTTTCTGTGTATCTGAAACTTTACTGAATTTTAAAGCTTTTTCGATAGGAGCCAAAATATTTGGATTCGAGGGTTTTGAGGTTTGCGAGGAGTTAAAATTATATTTCAAAATTCACTCATGTTCTAATAAACCAAAACTATAAATATTAACTATTGGCTTAATATTTACAATGGAATTACAGAAGTTATGTTGAATTCATTCTAATTCAGACATTATCATTTCAAAGGGCGACAAATGTAGCAAGATATGATCATGGACAAGAACACTTACATCGATGGTGTCATTAAACTCTTAAACAAAGGACCATGTATTCCGATTTCCAAAGACCCCTTTATCTTCAAACCTCTCAAAAATAAAAACTGTGATCAAATCTTCACAAATTCTTTCGCTCAAAGAATCATGATCATGTCGGGGCAGCTTTTGTTTGTGATAAAGAAATCAAGAATAGTAAACTTCCTGCTCTACCTGTTGCTAGAGCATTTCTCAGTCATTTCTTCATGCCTTCATCAGCATTACAGGTTCATTTCATTAATTCATCTGATACAATGTGTTTGTGTATTTTGGATTTTATTCACCATTCATCTGGAGTATTATAACTTTCAAGGTTTAAAAGTCAACCAACCAGCCAAATCCTTTCAAGCAACTTAAAGCAATTGCTTGTCCCATATATGCTCTTTTCAAAATTCATAAAAGTGGTATTCCTTTCCACCCTTATTGTATCAAATTTAGGCACTACCTTGTACCTGTTAGCTAAATATTTAGTTTCTAGATTTTCAGCTCTATTAGATAATAACATTTACATCCTATTACTTCTTTCCATCAATTAGCTATAAAATTGCATATATTGTACAGAAATTTAACTTTAGGGTCATTTATTCTCCTATCAATAAAATTCTGAGTCCCATACTTAAGGACCCCATTTCGGTTATGAATTCCTAAGATATTTACAGAATTACTTGCCAGTGTGGTTTAATTTACATTGGTCAAAGTAAGAAAGCCTTAAAATTTCGTGTTAAGGTACATGAGGCATATGTTAGGAAAAAGGAAACGCAGAAGTCCTCTGTTGCACTGCATTGTTAGTCTGAAAAATCGAACTTTCCATTTTTCTGCAGCTAAAATTATTCAAAAAACATCTTCCATTGGTGAATTAGATTTTCTAGAGTCGTTTCACATTCAAAAAAATCTTTCTGTTCTAGTTAACAACCCTAATTCTAATGCATCTTTACCTTCAACCATTAAGGAAATTATGTTTTAGTTTTCTTGTTTCAGCAATAGATGGCGTCAGTAGCTGAACTCCTGTCCAGCCATCCTTATCTTATCTCGTTCGTTTGTGCTTTTGCAGCTGAGGATGGTGGTTTGGTAAAACCATCGAAACTAGTCCTGTGAAAATTTGCAAATATGACACTGATTTTTGTCATTTGACTTTTAAATTGATATTTGTTCGGCATGTTATTTTACCTTAATCTAGCTTATAATTTATTTTCTCATAAAATTCTTGCTTTTATCTTCTTGTTTCCATAAGTTCTTGCTCTAGTTCCATTGTTTCATTTGCTTCTTCAACTTTGTTTCCACACATGCCATGCAGGAATTTCACCAAAATTTCTACAAAATTCAGCTACTGAATTTTCTTTTCAGAACCTAAATGCTTTGTTTGTGGTAAAAATGCATTGTACTTGAGCTTCCACTCAATAAGAGAAAACATACCAAATCTAAGGTAGAAAAGTCACAAGGAGGATTACTAAAAACAAATAGTAAAGAAATGATACAGCATTACTTTCTGCCTGTATAACTGTTTGAATGTCACACTTAGCTAAAATGAATGTTGTTGAATTCGATAAGTTGAATAAGGTAGAAATAAACTGCGGAAAAATGACTTTTGAAGGGGTAATTGTCTCTGCTGCTCAAATACCCTTGATTTGGAGTGAATTGATTCCTGACAACAGTGAAAATGGAGAGACAAAAATTAAAACTATTTCTACATTTGGGGAAGCTGAAACTGTACCATTAAAGGTGTTGTGTTTCCTATGAAAATTGATGATGGCTGTCATGGCAAGGTACTGATCACTTGCAGAATGTCTAAAGTCACAGTGTCTACACATATCCTTTCTAATGCTCTTTATAAAGCCTCTGTGTGATTTAGTAGTTATATTTCTTTTTAATTCCATTGTTTTATTTTTTAATATCAAATATGCTCCCAGAATAGTCCTTTTAAGGTAAAATTTCAATTTAGAATACAAAATGTGGTTCACATGTGCTAAGTCATATAAGTAATGAAGATGAGTTATAACAGTTGCACATTGTTTTGCAACAAACTGCTTCATAATAGCTGCTGGATACACAAAGAATGCTCTTGCTTCAGTGTTCAGTTTTTATATCCATAATAGAATATACTTATTACATTATAAAGTATAAATATACTTATTACATTATTAAAAAAAAGTCATATTCTGTCCATAAGGTGATGTAAATAATGAGCTGTGTATATAATCTTTGCCACCCACTCCCTTTTGTCAACCTCATGGGATTGTTCTGACTCTAAAACTTTGTAACTCAATTTAGTTCTGACTCTAAAACTTTGTAAACACACTATGCAAAGTATTCATTCTTAATAATAATTTAGAAAGCAGTTTATCATACATATATCTTTCTATGTTATTTTGTCTTTGAAAATAACTGATGTAGGTATAATACGTATTTATGGTTAATTTAAATCAAGTTCAGAGCCATAACTGATTGAATGAGTAAAGCTGGAACATAATAAGACTGCATATGTCATTTCTGGTTGCAAAAATTAAATGACTTCATATGTGTTTGCAGTTTCTCTTAATGTTATTTACTAAAGTCAAATTTCATTAAGGATCCTTTTTTAAAGGCATTTGCCATGCAGTAATTAAATAGTTTAATTCTTTGCTGTGGCTTTTAAATGGGAGCTTTTTCAAGAACTGCAGTTCCAATGTGATTTTATTTACATGCATTTTTATTTGTATAATTAATGTATATATCAATTTTCTCTGACATTAAGTTTTTTTTCAATGTGTGTAATATGCTTTACTCATTATTTCAGGTATCAGCAATAGTTGCTGTAGCGAGAAATGGAGAACGTCTAGATCACATATTAGGAAATCTGAATACCTTATACACTGCTAATGAAATTACTTCTATACCTGTATTTATTTTAGGGCATGGTTCTCTCACTTGGCTGTTTTGTCCAGTAAGTTTTAAAAAAAGAAATATAGTTTAATTAAAAGTTTACATTTATCTAGTAAAATCATATCAGTGGCTTAATTTATGTGTCCATAAATGTGTTTAATATGACAGTGAATAAGCAATTAATGTGAAATGATAGTTTCAATGTAATATTTTTATTTTGAATTTACTTTCCTTTTTAATGCCGCTCAGACAGAAAAGTGGCTAGTGACCCTGACTGCCATACCGAAGGGCCCAGGTTTGAATCCTGGAGAAGGTATGGATGTAAATTGTCTGCCCTTTTATGGGAGGTAACAGTGGCCGCCTGTGAGGTTCCTCCATACTTAAATTACTACTGCTTCTGGCCTTAGTGGTGAAAGCTTAAAATGGCTAGTGCATACCATTTAATTAAAAAAAAAAAAAAAAAAAAAAAAAAAACTTTCCTTTTTAATTTAGATGTATATTTTATAAGCAGCACCTTACAAAACATTTTCAGTTCTTTAAAATAAATATATTGATAATTCAGTACATTAGATTTGCAGACTGTAGTCGTATCTACATGATAGGTTTTCTTTGCATAAAGACTTAAAAAGTAATTTCAGTTTTGATTGTGAATGGCATTATAAAAAATCAGTATAATCATTTTATTTGATATAACTTTTCAACAATAATAAAAGTTTATCAAATTATTTTTGAATAGAATTGAGATGAATTCCAAATTTTCTTGAATTTGAATCCAAAGGATTAAGATTAAGGATTCCATTTAAAGGATTCTAGAATTTCTTAAATTTCTGTCCAAATTTTTCATATTAGAGTAATAAGAAAGAAAGAAAAATATTTTTATCAGATATTAAAGATTTTTAATTAAAGAAAATTTTGAAACCACATTCATTAAGATAATTCAAATGAAGCTCAGTAAACGAAAGCTGTATTTAAAATTTTTAAATTACCTGGCTCATTTTCTCATTATAATTTGGCAAAGAATATATTGGTAAAAATACAATTTTTTTTTAAATAATTTTCCAGTAACTTTTATTTTTTATCAAATCAAGTATTAAAGGTAGATGATTAATTCAAGAGTTATATGGAATGCTAAATTCTCCTTGGAAATTAAGAATGCAGTACCCTTTGCTATTATAAGGTGGTACTGATGGTGCAAGGCAAATAAAATTTCAGCAACTGCATATAGTAAATGCTTGCTGAAACATAATTTCTTATTATCTTAATTGTTTCCATTTAATTTGTGTGAAGCTAGAATTTCATTCATATGTAGTTCAACATTTATTCATTAACATTGAATGTTTGCTGGCATCAGCTTTGGCTAGAAGTTATCAACAATTTTAAAACACTTCCATTGAAAAGGAAGCTAAAGAAACCGTACAAGCTCCAAAAGCAAATGGCGGTAAAAGATTTTTAGATATGGAAGAAGAATTCATAGAATTAATTGAGAAGTGAAGGATGATGATTTTATAACACCAACTGACATGAAAAGCAGTGTTAATGAAGAAGATAAAGCACCTTTGACTTACAACCAGTTAAAAGAATTAGGAAAAAATAAAAAAATACAGGGACTTCCTGAGTTTGCCATGGAGATTGGTCCAAATGAAGAAAGAAAAGGACATTTTTTGAGAGGCATTGTAAAACTCTGCTCTCCTTGTTGTGACATTTTAAAAAGTTGAATCAGACATTGCCTAAAGCAAAAAAGTCACCAGCTTTTTAAAATCACATACTTATTGAGCAGTAATAAAAATCTTTTCAAAACAGTTCTCGTTGCCATGTTTAATCAAATTTTATCAATTGATTTTTTGTTGTTTGAAAGAAAGAGACTTTCTTTAAAACATCGTGTTAGAAATTTGTAAAAAAAATAAATATCGTTAAGTACAAGGTGTCTGAAATGGAATTGTCACACTACCAGATTATAACAATAATTTATTCCCAGTTTTGTTGCAAAAAGTCAAGTACAGAATGTCACCAACTCATGTGTACATCTTTAGGTATTCATGTTTCATCAAATGACACTGTTAAGGTTTGGTACCGAAAGTTCAAAAACAAGGACTATTATATTCATGAAGAGCACTTTGGCCAGCCTACTGATGTTGATGAAGCCCACCTGCAAGAACTTGTGGAAGAAGATCAGTATGCAATCACTTAAGAGCTTGCTTAAGGAGTTAGATGTTAGTGCCATGTTCATTAGTCATGCTATGCATGGCCTAAACTTGATGTACAAGTATAATCACTGGGTACCACATGAGCTGCCTCAAGCAGATAAGGACAGACCCTAGATAAGGCAGAGGACAGAGACAGATATCCGAGCACTAATCTGCTCTATCAATGCAAGGACACAATTCTGGACTGGATCCTTTTTTGTGATAAAAAGTGGATTCACTTCAACAACACAGGCAGAAAAGAGAGTTGGTCTGCACCTGGTGAGCTCGTCAGTAGCATCTCAAAGCGTAATTTGACTAATAAAAAGATCCTGCTTTGTATCTGGTGGTATTATCCACAAAGAGTATCTGGGAAAAGATAAAACCCTTGACAGTAAGGTCTACAGTGAAGTGCTAGCCCATGATGATGTTGCTAACAAGGCAAAATGTCGAACTGAGTTCCGCCGCAAAAAGGCAATGCTCTGTCAAAATAATGCAAGACTACTTGTGTCTGTATTCACCGACTGGACTCTGTAGGGACTGGAATTGAATCTTTTGCCACATCCACCATATAGCTCCAACATAAATCCTTCGGACTTCTACCTTTTTTCACATCTGCAGTTACACCTTGCAGGTGCTATTTTCAGTTCTACACAGGACTTTGGAAATGATCTGTTTTTGGACTCGCAGCCACCAAGTTTCTGGGCTGAAGACTTCAGAAAAATTTCCAAAACATTGACAGAAAATTTTAGATTTGGGTGGTGATTACTACCCACACTAAAGGTACTGCTTTCATGCGTTTTTCCTCCTAACATTATTAAGAACGTTTTTTGGCAGAAAACTTTCCTTACAATCAGATATATGTTCACATAATTGAGTTCATGAGTTTTGAGTGCAAGAAGGAATGAGGAATATTTTTACGTCTGTGTTAGATATTTTTGAATTAGCTAATAAATTTTTACTGCAATATTATCATCATGCAATGATTTGTAGGTGTTTTATTTTTTTACCACCATATTTCTTATGACGATGCTTTAAAACTTTGATGTTTTTTAATCTCCCCTTTTTTTTCTATGACAATATTTTATACCAGAGATGGATGATCTGCTCTACAACTGATTCAAAGAAACAATTCACTTTACTGAGCGAATGATCAGCAATCTAGCAGAAATGAACTGGTAGTTCTTTTAATAGTTCATGGAGAACTCTTATTAGGAATCTTCCCTAAAATTTGATTCCTCTTATGTAACCACTAAAATTTTCTTCTTCTTTATTTATCAGAATTGTCTCTGACCTTTTTATGTGTGTGTGTTATGTATGTATACGTATGTGCTTTTGGTTTGCTTGTGCTCCATATAGTATTTAAAAAACAAGCCAGTGTATCTCAGAAAAACTGAACACCCTGTTTGCAAATGGATTCAGTATTTTCCCCATCTGGCAGTATGTAAAGTACATAGATTGTAGGTGCTGAGTTTCCTCCTCGGACTCCCAGCTGTCATCGCTTTCGCGCTCCTTCTCTAGTCTCAAATCTGGGTCCTTTGGAATCTTGATCATTTGCTCTTTTCTTCTCTACGCCACTCTTTTTGTAGTCATGGATCTGGTTCGCACTGAGTCCTTCATAATTTGCTCATTTTATTTCTCTGGCACTCCTTCTGTTGCCGCAGATCCGATTCCCATGGTGTGTTCATTATTCGCTCTTTTCATCAATCCAGTGCTCGTTCCCTTAGCCGCAAATCTGGCTCCTGTGGAGTCTTGATTTTTTGCTCTTTTCACTTCCTCAGACTTCTTCGATTGAGTTTTATTTTGATTCTTCGAATACTCTTCATAGCATAGCTATGTATGTTAGGTGCTACCTTATTTATACAATATTATTATAACTGTTATCTAAAATAATAAATTATATATTTTTATTTGTTTTAATAACATCTTGTAGTTGAGCTGTGAATTACTTTTTAATCTTCTTTAGAATCAGGATATATTTATAAACATAAATTTTTCCATCTAATGTGTTTTTCAAGGTTGCAGAACAAAATTTCGACCCTTCTGCATTGAAGAATGAGCAGTATTTGGTATCATTTTTGTTAAATTAGCAAAAAAAAAAAAAAAAAAAAAAAAAAAAGAAGAAAATGCCTGTTTTATCAGCAGGCAATTTCCTGTTCTTTGGGGATTTGCCTCCAGTCTAAAAATTTATTTTTACATTATGTAATGGCAACAAAATATCAGTTATAGTAAAATAATGTAATCTTTTAACAAAAAAGAATTTAGTTTTCATTATTTTTTAACATTTTTAGTATTTTTTATTCGAGAATTTTATTGCTACTTCTATGTAAAAAGGTGTTTTTAGAGGATGTCCAAAGTACAGTTGAAAGAAATCAGGAGTGAGTGGTTTGGTTGATTCTACTGATCTCATTCCTTGTTCGATTCTTTCTGCTTTTGCCCCATCTTTGCACGCCACTCTTTTCCCACATCATCTGTTCCGAGTGCATTCAGTGTCATTGTTAGTGAATGGTAAATCATTAAAAAGAACTGATTCATTTCAGTAAGTGAATGGTTCTGATCTGATCCCTGGCTTTGCTCATCTGTATTTTATACCTATATATTTTAGAATAATAATGTTTTCCCCTTGTTTTCTTTTCTCTAATGATGTTTCCCCCTTCCATTGCTTTCACCTGCAATGTTTTCAGTGGACACATAGTATTGTTGTGAAATACCTCATTAGTCTGACAGTAACATTAGATCAAGTTTATGTATTTTATTATGGCCAAGAAACAAATAATGCACCCATCATTGGGTTAGTTCACGGATATCATACAGGTAAAAAATATTCTAACCTGAATCAAGATTACATTCAGTTCATGGTTAATGGTTGTACATTAGCTGAGAAAGTTATGTGATTTGAAAAATCGCCAAAATTAAGAGAAAAGTAAGTGACTTATCTCATTTGTCTGGCAGTAATATCAGATCAAGTCTACAAATTTTATCATGGCCAAAAGCACAGAGATTTCAACTGTCATTGGTTTAGGCCTTAGCATCAATGGACACAATATAAGTAATAGTATGAGTTTGCCCAGCTTTCATCCCACGTTTGAAGGAGGATCTTCTGGGATCAGATCTGAAATCTTCGACTCCCCTTCTTTTTTTCTTTTTCTACCAATCTCTTAAGAAAACCTGGCTTGACAGTATTTTAAATGCTTCCGTGCTGTAAAGACACTATACACTTACAAACTTCTGTTCTTTCTATTGGGTTCAAACTTGGCCCCAAGGCTATAGCAGCCAACATTTCTACCACCATGCCAACAAGGGGACAAGACATTTTGTGATAGCATTACACACAAAGAAAGGATTGAACTTTTGAAATATTTAGAAATAAAATTTAAAATAAACAACAGAATACTTCCAAGTATAAATAAAACAAATGAAATTAAGCTATGAATGTAAAAATAGAAATTTTTCTTTGGCATTATCACAAATATTTTTTAAATTTTTCTATTATTTGGGTTTTTTTTCCATATGTAAGTTAATATGACCCATTTTCCCTTAGAAAATCCTCCACAAAGATTGTCATTCTCTTAGGCAGATAACCTTCACAAACTTTATCTTAATAAATTTGTGGTGATAGTGATAAGGAGTGCATGTTGCGCTCCCCGTTTGTGCCGATAAATATGCAACCCTATGTAGAAGGAAAAAAGAGAGGCCGCTGGCTTTTCGAGAAGTAGCATATATTTTTGAGGTCCCAAAAGAAAGAACAATTTTTACTGTAATATGTCTGCTGAAAGTTCTTGATGAATGCAATGGGAACATTTAATGCAATATGAGCAACTAAAATCCTATAGGATCCACTACGATCACCACAAATTAAACTAACAATTATGCATTATCATATGTATATATTTTCACAGAGATGTACATATGATTTGATAGGAATTTGTCAATAATGAATAAACTTTACATTCCAGTATTATTACATGCTCAGAATGGATAAAAATTTCATAAAGATCTAATTTTTTATGATTTCTATCTTTCAAGAGAGCATAAATGAAAATTTAAGAAAAGAAAAGTACTGAGAAAGTACTGAAAAGTTTAAAAATCTAAATTTCCTTTCTCCCTTTCCTAGAAATGAATAGTGTCAGTTAATGAAATTTAAATCATTTATTTTCCTTGTCAAGTTTTACATTTAAATACCTTTTTAAGTTAAAAGTAAAAGAAAAAAAAAAAAAAAAAAAAACAATTGTACCATGATATATAAATATAAATTATGAGCCTAAGAAAAATTTTTATTAATTTTTCTTAATTGCTGTGGTCAATTTTCAGCAGTTTAAAATTATCTTCTGTTTCCTTCAGACTTTGCCTCTCAAAATTTGTTTATATACAGTGCAAATATATAATTTGACATTTGGTTTTAATGTTGTTTTACAACCTTTTCAGGGATCACATAAAGTACATATTACTGATGATGTAAAAGATTCCCATCTTGGATTGATACCTTTAGGAAAAGAATGCACAAATGTCTCAACCACGGGACTAAAGTGGAATTTAAGTATGTATATCAATTTATATTCAGACATACCTCATTAACAAAGTAACCAGATAATGGGTGATTTTATTTACTTGGACAGATTTCTTTGGTCCCAAACAATATTTTTTTCCTTGCAATATGATTATCAAATTGCTTTAGAAAAATTTACTCCATTTCTCAGTTCAAGTTCACATTCTAACTCACTATTAGAACAAAATTAAATATATTAATTTTAAAAAACATATTAACTTGTAATTACAATAAAAGGTTTTGTAATAATAAAAGGTCTGGAATTTTTTAGTCACCTGTCTCAGTAACTACTTCCTTAAGATGATTGCTTCTGAAACTGAACAGTGTTTCTAAATACGCAATCAGATGATGGCAGTGAACATTGACAATAATAATGCTCCATTACTATTGATAGTGGTCGCAAAAGTAGAGTTGTAATTAAGGAAGTTTCACTGTAATATTGTAATAAAACAAAAAATTATTAATAAAATTAAAGATTATATAGCTTTCTTATAATCTGCAGTTAGGTGGTAAAATATTACTTTTAGTCTAAATGTATATCAATTTATATTCAGACAAACCTGACAAAACAAATTTTGTAGAATATCTACCTGAAACGTTTTTTTAATAAACCATCTGAAGCAAATTTTTAAACATGAAAATTTGCATTCACTTATAAAGTAAAGGTTTAGCTGATAAAATTCAGTTAGAACAATATGTACATACATTTTCAAAGTTTTGTTTTGCTCTTAAAAACTTCATGTGTATGTGATTGTATAAGTGCGTGTAATTTTCTGTTTTAGATAAATGTATATAATTTATTGTTAATAAAGGTTTATTATTATTATTAAAGTGTGTTTTTAAATTTAAATGTCCAGGAAAGTCCCAAATATATTGTATATTGACAGTACTGTGTGCATATATATATTAAAAAATATTATATATTAAAATTATATTATTATACATTAAAAAATCTATAATACTATATATATATAGAGAGAGAATTTTAGATTTTTTTAAACAAAAAGATCATGTCTATATATTAATAAAAGATATGTTTTTGTTAAAGTGTTTACAAAGATTTTATATCCATAATATAACAGAAAAGATCTTTAAGGTCTTCTTTGCTGTTTCTCATATAAAATACTTCTATAATTTAACTATTTTAAATAGATATCTCTCAATATTAGTAATTTTAGTTGGAAAAAAATGCTATGTTTTTGTTAATTCTATGACTGCAATAGTTTAAAATTTTCTTTTTGTGCAATAGATGGTGATAGGATGAAATTTGGTGGTTTAATCAGTACTTGTAATCTTTTTGATGGCAGCAGTACTGTTACTGTTACAACTGATACAGAGCTTATTTGGACCATGGAAATAAAACTAAATACATCATAATAGGTCATATAATAGATTTCTATATTTCTACTATAATTATAAATGAAGATAATTTCTAATTTGTAAAGTATGAAAGATTTGTAATGGTATTATTTGTTCTACTATCTCTGAGATTTAAAAACAAAATTCTCTATAAAATTTATGTACTATATTGCTTCAAATTTAAACCGCATATTTGATTTAGATTTTTAAGATGTAAAATTTAGGATGCAGCTTAAATTTAAAGTGAGTATTTAACTCTTTTTTAAAAAATTAAATTAAATTTTTTAAAAATAAAATTTTTTTTATATATTATCATTAAACTAATATAAAATTAAAACTAGAAACTCAAGTAAACCGCTTTCTAACGAGGGCCATCCAGGAAGTAGATTACGTTTCCGTCTGTGTCCGCTAGGGGCGGGGCTAGCGCGGCCATCTTGGGGTCAGAGCGTTGCGCAGCTCAGTCTGCATCTAGCCGTGCTAGTGAGAGGTTCGTGCTGTGCTCCGTTCAGATACTGTGACGGTTTGAAATGTCTGCGTTAATTGAAAATCCCGCGAGCTGCGAGGTGCGCTCAGTAATAAGGTTTCTGACTGCAAAAAACTGTAAACCGATAGAAATCTATCGGCAGCTTCGTGAAGTGTATGGGGACAACATTATCACTGAAGGTGGAGTGCGTCAGTGGGTCATAAGATTTCAAAATGGCCGAACCAATGTTCACGACGAAGATCGAAGTGGGAGACCCAGCATAGTGACCGCCGAACTTCTCGAAAAAGTCGATGCTAAAGTCCGTGAAAATCGAAATTTCACAATAACGGAACTTTCTTTGAGTTTTCCACAAATTTCGCGAAGTTTGTTGCACGAAATCATCAGCGAAAAGCTTGGTTACCACAAGTTTTGTGCAAGATGGAAGGCAAGAAGAGGTAACGAAGTGGTTGAAGGCGCAGGCGGCCGAATTTTTCGACGAAGGAATTTCCAAGCTCGTACATCGCTACGATAAATGCCTTAATTTGTATGGTGACTATGTAGAAAAGTAGTATTTGAGTGTGGCTTTCATCTGTATATAATAAAATTTGTTTCCTATACTTTGTTTATTTTTTTATTCCAAAACGTAATCTACTTTCTGGATAGCCCTCGTATTTCTACCAGTCAGTGTCAAAATAACTTGACATTTTTAACTTTGATATAAATTTTTGTTACTGTGGAATTTCATGTAGCAGCTTAGGCTGATATTAGGAATAATACGCAGTGGCCTAAGTTTTAGGATGCCAATGAATTCACTTTGTCTAAGTGCACTTTTCATCCCATTCTTTCTGTTGATAAGAAAAGATAAAATTAAACCTTTAGCTAAGGAAACCAAAACAAGAGCATGAAGAAGTTAGAAAATTAGTTAAGTATGAAAATATAGTAGAAGTCCAGAAATTTGCATAGCTTGGTTTCAGAGATTGTGCGAATTTTAGAAATTTGCAAATTTGAAGTTATAAAAAAAATAATAGAAATTAGGCTGAAAAAAAAGGCCAGCATAAAGAAACCAAATTTTGAAAAAACATATAAGAGCAATTAATTTCTTTGTGATGTTTTAAAACAACAAAAAAAAAAGTGTGTAATTTTCTTATTATAGGATATAATATAAAAATCTAAATCTGTATATCATTGGGTGCATACAGGTTCAGAATAGACTGAATGCACAAGTCCGATAATAGGTTTACAAAAATTTATTTTTATCAAAAGAAATATTTCAGAACTCTGGAATTTTCCACGGAAATATTCGTACAAGTGTTCATACTGGAAAGCGATATGAGGGTGGAATTATGGTTACAGCTAACATAGAAGTCAATTACATTTATTCAATTACAGTACCTATTACGGTAATAAAGGGACTGAACCAAAATGTCGTCAAATTTGGCGACTTTAGCAATTTCTTGCCAAATTACCCAGATATTCATTCACTCAATGTTAAATGCACTTGCCCCTGTATTCATACTTTTCCTGCATAGCTTTCTCTTACAATTTGTCTTGCGCTGCATTACACAGAAAAATACATCAATTTTACTTATAATTCTAATGAAATTACCTATCTAATTACAAAATTCATAACAATATGTATATATATAGAGAGAGAGATAAATGTTATCATATTTTAAAAAAGCAAAACAAAGGGCTTTTTTTTTTAAGAAGTAATATATGTATATATATATATATATATGATGAAAAGAGAATTACAAATATTACTTCTAATCAGTTATATTTTAAAAATTTCATCCATTTTTTCTCCTAGAGTCAAACTTTCATTGACCTGATATCTGTTTTAATATTCTCTTTATCAGTGGTCTTAAACTAAAGTGCTTGGAACCTGAATAAACATTTTGAAAACACATGGTAGACCAGAATTTATTTTAACCAAATGATAAAGTCTGTTAACAAAATAAGAAGTATTTTAAATAAATTTAAAATTTTGCTTACTAAATATTTGTCAAAATATACATAAGCAATAGTAATAATATTGTTAAAAAAAATTCAAATTTATACTTATTTTCTGTCTAAAATCTAAATTTAACTTTAGTTGGTACACTTTGTAATTCAAATATATTGACAGCTAAATATTAAATTCTTAGACTGACATTTCTTCCAAATAATTCTAACCTGTTTAATATAAAATAATTTAATTTCAACTAAAAGTAAGCAAATTATAAAAATTTTCAGAGAAAATTTACCAAGCAGAGCAAAACTTGAGAATAAATAATGATAACCTGGTCTGTTTCTCTTATTTATTAAATTTTTCTTTGATATGTGGTCAAAAATACATATGTATATAAATAATTATAAATCTCTTCATTCTTTACTACAGCTTGACTCTTAATGTCATTTTCATTCTGATAAAGTGTGTAGCCTTATAGAGAAATAACTTGAAATTATTTTCTTCACGGCTATAAATGCTCATAGATGAATTGGTTTAACAGTTGTTCATATTTAAATACATTCCCAAACTAAGTGGTTGTTTTTAATGCAGAAATTCATAACAGATTATTTTTAATTTTTGATAAGGAATAACAGAAGTTAATAACATCTGTATTCAAATCTTTGAATAAGATTTATATCGCATTGTAAATTATTTAGCTCCATCTATAGATTTTCAGGTGTCTTATTCATATTAATTTTTAATGAAAATGAAAACAACATAAATCCATACTTCAAGTACTTAAAATCTTGAAATTTTTGCTACAAATACATAATTGAAATGTTTTTTTTTTCGGGGGGGACTAACTGCTCTATGTCATAAACTTGATCAGAATCTTCTTACACTATATTTAAAACACTGCCAATGATTTCATATTACCATACATTTGATAGTGAATTTTTTAATTCATCCGAACGTATCAATTTATCCGCAATATCATCTTCTGAAAACACTATTTATTTTTCATGCTAACTTTAAAAAAATTAATATGGCCATAAGCTGTGTTACATGCTTATCAAGGTAGACTTAGAAGTCTTTAATTAGAAAGTTTTGTAATTTTTATTAACTTTAAAGTTTTGTAATTTCACTGTTTACATCGGAGAAGCTGTGGGTATTTTTGGTCTTCTGCTGTATCAGTTGCCTTAAAATGGCTTCTTTTGATATGATGTATTCAGAATGTGCACCTTCTGTATCAGTGTGGTAAAACAAAATAATGAGAAGCAAAACAGGAAAAGTCTTATATTCATGAATTCATGATGTCAAATTGTTTATTAGAAAAGACATCTAAAAATCACAGTTAACTCATTCAAGATTGCACTTTTTTTTTTTTTTTTTTTTTTTTTTTTGAGAAAATCGTCAGAAGCTGAACTTTGTTTTTGCTTTATATTAATCATTTTTAAATTAAAAAAAAAATATATATATGCTATAGAAATAACTTACTTCATAACGCATTTCATTCAAATAAAATGACTGAACACCATGTGTGCATTGCAAAATAAAATAAAAAGGCATCATTAAAAAGGAATCATTTATTTAAAGAATGGTCAGTTATAACATGAAATTTTTATTTTAGGGTCAGTTAGGAAGCAAAGAATATTATCGACAAATAAATTTTTAGGAATCGGTATTAAGGTACGAAATTTTCTTGGAAGAATGACCCTTAGTTTTTTTGTGTATGGATGACCTTTTTTTATGTAACTTTGGAAACACTGGTTACCCTCAAAATGATTTTTATTAAATCACCACCAACTGCCCATCTCTCAATATCTTCACTAACTTCAGTTTCAAGCTCTTCAGTTTCACTTTCATTATAATCTTCCCAATAAGTTTCCTCAAAAATATGATTACATGTTTCATCTAAACTAAACTAAACTCAGTGGCATAATAACCCTAGTGGGCCAATGCTTGCAGAGCCCCGAAATCTGCTTTCTTGACCGTGGGCCCTGGGATGCGTAAGCATATGCCTTGAACAAATGGTCAGCTTGTCGCAGGACCTCCAGTGTTTAGTCCTCAAGCGAACTTGGTACTCATTTTATCGACCCAAAAGATGGAAATCAAGGGATAAAAGGCTGATTCGACCTTGCCCACCCCGGACCTGTGGTGCGCTGCGCGATGCACTAGCCACTAAGCCACCGGGCCCTCTACATGTTTCATTTATATTCATATCCATGTCTTCCTCATATTCCGGATCATTATCCATAATAACAACATTTCAGTTCTTTTTTCTATTTCCTGCAAGCAATAAGTTATTACTTTCACTATCACTGCACATTTTCTGTATTCCTGATGGTCCTGGCTTTGGGTTACTCCTTTTAAGGACTAAATTGAAACCATTACCAAATTTTATATGTACATACGTCTAACAGATTTTTTATTTTAAACCTGTCTTATCTCAATGGCTGTTTTTTCTTTACTGATTGATAATTGCAATTCAGTATCATTGCAGACACAGTGTGCTACTCATCTTTTTGACTCAGAAATACATACACACATGGTGTGCTATCTGTTTCAAGTGGATGAATAAACTTATATGAACATCACATGCACTTAATAGTGTAAATGTAACTT